CAGGATTGCTTTCCAGGCATCTTTGCCCTCTCGCAGAGCTTTTTTGCAGAGGTTCTTTGCGATTTTGACTGCCGACTCAGCCTTCCCATTAGCTTTTGGGTGTCGTGGTGATGAAGTGACGTGCTCGAATTCCCATTCTGCAGCAAATTTTCGGGACTCACATGCAGAGAATTGGGGTCCATTATCTGAAATTACCCTATCTGGCTGGCCATAGCGGGCAAACTGAGCCTTGCAGCGTTTGATCGTTGTCTCTGCTGAGAGGTCGGGGAGGAGGTCAATCTCCCAGAAGTCTGAGTAATGATCAACTACCAGCAGAAAGTCTTTGCCACTGTGCTGGAAGAGATCTAGACTTACTATCTGCCAGGGGCGCATTGGTAGTTCGTGGGACATCATCGTCTCTCTCTGTTGCTCAATGGCATATTCATTGCAGATTGTGCATTTACTGACATAGTCTTTGATTTCACTCTGCATTCCTAGCCAATACAGTGTGTCACGTGCTTGTCTGTAACAGGCCTCACCTCCAATGTGACTTGAGTGCACGCGCGCCAACATCTCAGGGCGCAGAGACTGGGGAATAACGACTCTCTGACCCTTGAATATTACTCAGTTTTGAACACTGAGCTCTTCTTTGACTGGCCAATATTCTCTGATGGCTAAAGCAGTTTCTTCATTGCAGTCGGGCCAGCCCATCAGAATCACAGACCTCAATGCCTGGAGTTGCTCGTCCCTGTCTGTGTGCTGTCTGATTTGTATAAGGCGCTAGTCCGTAACATTGAGGTAGTCAGCCTGGTTGATGTGTTCAACATCCACTTGCTCTGTTTGTAAGCTGCACACTGCGTGTTGTTCATGCATGGAGCGTGTGTGAGTGCCTGATGCAGTAGCCCTGCTGAGCGTGTCACTCACATACATCTCTGGCCCTGGCTTATACACCACCTTGAGGTTGTAGTTTTGTAGGGCCAGTAGCATGCTCTGCAGTCGTTTCGGGGCATTCAGGAGAGGCTTGCTGAATATAGCAATAAGGGGCTTGTGATCTGTCTCTGCGGTAATATTGTCACGCCCGTACAGGTAGTGGTGGAAGCGTTGGCATGCAAACACAATGCTGAGGCACTCCTTCTCTATCTGGGCATAATCCTGCTCTGTTGGAGTGAGTGCCCTAGAGGCGAATGCCACAGGCTGGCCCTCTTGCATGAGGCAACAGCCCAGTCCATACTGGCTTGAGTCACTCTGAATCGTGACAGGTTTTGACACATCGTAGTATCGCAGTACAGGTGTCTGGGTGACCAGTTGTTTTATTTCCCTCACCGCTGTGTCATGTTTTGGGAGCCAATGCCAGATGGTGTCCTTGTCCATGAGCCTCCTTAGTGGTTCACACACTTCAGAGAGCCGCGGTAGGAACTTGGCCAGGTAGGTGACGAATCCGACGAAGCGCTGCACTGCCTTCACGTCAGATGGGTGGGGCATATCCAAGACAGCCTTCACTTTTTCTGGATCCGCCTTGAATCGGGTGGAGGACAAGATGTGCCCATGAAAGCGAACCTCTGGCACTTTAAACTGAAGCTTTTTTATGCTTAGCCTTAGCTTGACCTGTCTGCATCTGACCATCAGGGCCAGCAGCTTGGCGTCATGGTCACATTCTGCCTCCTCATCACTGTCCCCACAGCCCACTACGAGGATGTCATCTGCTATGGGTTCCACGCCGCTGAGTCCCATCAACAGCTCGTGCTGTTTCCGCTGATACACCTCTGGAGCCACGGAGACACCAAACGGGAGCTTCAACCACCTCTTCCTGCCCCAGGGTGTCTAAAAGGTGGTCATGTAGCTGCTGGGCTCGTCAAGCTTGCACTGCAGGAAGGCATCTCTGGCGTCCACGAGCGTGAAGACTCTGGCCTTTGGGAGCTTGTAAAGAACATCCTCCAACGTGGGCATAATGTAATGTGAACGTCTCAGAGCCCGGTTGAGGTGTTTAGGATCTATGCATATCCGTAGCTTGTCTGGTTTCTTGGCGATAACCATATTACTTATCCAGTCTGTAGGCTCGGTGACGGATATGATGTGGCCATCTGCTTCGTATTTGTCAAGCTGAGCCTTCGTAGCTGCTTTCATGGCCACTGGTACATTGCGAGGTGCACACTGGACAGGCTGGATTGCTGCATCCAACTCAAAGTGGACTTCGCCGGGAACTGACTCGACCGGTGCGTTGAAGACATCATGGTACTTGCTTAGGAGAGTCTCCTTGCTCAGGGGCCCAGCCTGGACTTTGTCTATAATGTTAAGATCAGCTGGGATGGTGAAGTTAATAAGCCCAAGGCGCTCGCATGTAGAACCTGACAGTAATGGCTGTTGACTAGCCTCAACTATTTCAAACTCAAGAGTGTGTTTCTGGCCACGTAAAACACACTCTGTCACAAACAGGCCTAAATAGGTCATGAACTGGCCTGAATACAGTTTCAGCTTGGTGCTACTCTGTGTGAGTTTTATCTTTAAGGCTCATAACGTTACATGTGGCCCCTGAATCTAGCTGGCATTGCTGTGGTTTATTATTAAGTAGCAGAGTGACAAACCATTTTTTTCCTTTTGCCCTTACTGCCCCTATGCACTCGCTAGCATATACATCCTCTGTGCTGCTGTTCCCTTCATCTGTGTTTATTTCAATGGAGTGCACTTTACCCTCCTTTCTCTTGCTTTTCATGCAGGCCCTTGCGAAGTGATTAGGTGTACCACAGGATTTGCATATTTTTCCATAGGCTGGGCAGTGTTCTTTCCTCGTCCATGAGAAATGCCACAATATCGGCATGCATTGGGGTTGTCTACTGCAGAGTTGGCTGTAGTATTAGCATTAGCTGTGGCAAAAGGGAATTTCTTTACTGGCTGCCTGAATGTAGCATTGACATTGTCCATATGTTGCCTTTCTAGCTCCATGGACCTTATCTGTATATCCGTAAGCTCTGCTGCACGGCATGTCTCCACTGCCAAGACCAGTGTCAGGTCACGTTCTCTCAGCAAACGTCTGCGGGTGCCCTCATCAGTTATGCCAAGCACTATCTTGTCTCTGATCAGTTCATCTCTTAAAGCACCATAGTCACATGTAGCTGCCTTTTCCCTTAGCTTAGTGACAAACCTGTCAATGGACTCCCCGTCCTCCTGTTTGCAACAACCGAAAACATAACGCTCGTAGATAACGTTCTTTGCTGGCTTAAAGTAAAGTTCGAGAGCATCAAGAATAGCTGTAGCGTTACCTTGCTGAGCTGCTGTTAGGTTCAGGTTGTGTTTGTATACGTGTCGGCATTCTGCTCCCATTATAGTCCTCAAAGTGGCAGCCACTACCTCATCGTCCTTTTCCCGAAGTCCCGTTGCTAGTGCATAGTCCTCCCATTCACCTCTAAACGTATCCCAGTTTGTGCTCCAATCTCCGCTGAGCTTTTTTTTAAACCAGAACAGGTGACTCTAATTTGTGGAAAGCATGGTTAGTTATCCGACTCTGACACCATGTTTGAATGTTAAATAAGGAGGCAGAGGCATTGATGCGAGTAACCAGTCTTGTGCAGTATATTGCATTACATCCGGGTATCTCAAGTACACCGGTAAAACACTGGAGTTGCAGTAATGAACATTTACCAACAGATGGCATCATTGTGCCATCTTCCACCCATAACAACTATGGCAGCACCCAAGGGGCTTGAATTTTCGAGCTCTCCCCGTAGATTTTGTGGCGATGTAGTGTCCCCATGAGTGACAAAACACTGAGCCAATCACGGCGCAACTAGAGAACATTACCAACCCCTACGCTCCGTATTTTCCGCTTGCACCACCACAGAAAGCACAGAGCTAGGCTGAAACACCTGCATTTTGGAGCTGCCTTACTCAAGAAAGCAAAAAAGAGACCACGTTTGTATGCAGCTTTATTAACCCAATTATTTATTTTTTTAACATTGTTTGCAAACTGATATGTGACACGTATTAATGCCAAAATAACATACAAAACAGGTAACAAAAAAAATGCAACTAGGGACTGTAATGTTTATTCTGTGCATTTTCTATGGCAGTTGGCAACCAACTTAAAGGTGCATTACCGCCACAAACTGGACTGGGGTGTGGACCAGAGACAGGGAAGGTCTAAATCCTACCCATTATTCTCATCTCTCCCTTAGAAAACATAATACATAATTAAATCCTACATCCAGGGCCGGATTAATGCAGAGTTTAACGGGGCTGAAGCCCCTGGGCCCAGGCCCGTGGGAGGCCCAAAAGGAAGCAAAACAAATACAAAATATATAGATATTTTCTTCCTATATTTTTTTATAAAGAAAATATACACTGAGTGTACAAAACATTATGAACACCTGCTCTTTCCATGACATAGACTGACCATGTGAATGCTATGACCCCTTACTGATGTCACTTGTTAAATCCACTTCAATCAGTGTAGATGAAGGGGAGGAGACAGGTTAAATAAGGCTTTTTAAGCCTTGAGACAATTGAGATATGGATTGTGTATGTGTGCCTTTCAGAGTGTGAATGTGCAAGACAAAATATTTAAGTGCCTTTGAACAGGGTATGGTAGTAGGTGCCAGGCACACCGGTTTGTGTCAAGAACTGCAACGCTGCTGGGTTTTTCACGGTCAAAGTACATTATTTTCTTTAGGAATGTAGTGAAGTAAAAGTTGTCAAAAATATAAAGAGTAAAGTGCAGATACTCCCCCCAAAAACGACTTAAGTACTACTTTAAAGTATGTTTACTTAAGTACTTTACACACCACTGTTGAACTTGAGATCAGAGTAATATCAAGAGCATATTAATTTCCAGTTTATTACTGGGTCAATCCTGGTTTCCTGGCCGTCATTAAGCACTCAAGACCTTTCTCATCCAGGACCACTGAGCCAAAGATTTTTACAACTCTCATTGTTCTATCTGTGACGAAACTGTCCAGTACGCATCTATTTTTGCTGAACGGATATGAATTAATTCTGGCTTCCGGTTTCAGTCTTACCGAACCACCAAAATGGCGAAAATCGCCAAAACACACGAAGGTAAGACTATTTATTTAGAAAATGTTGTAAATGGGTATTATAATTTGATTTTATGTACGTCGGGTTCCTAATAAAAAGAGGATGAAGATGCATCCATTGTTTAGAAGCTAGCTACATGTTTTAGCTCTATTGTCATTCGTGACACCCTAAACGCAACGAGGACTGATAGCTAATGGCGCCCCCCTAAGTTAACTGCTAAGTTAGCTAGACAATGCAGAATTTCTACAACCATGATTGCCTTTATCAGTATGCGCTTCAATTATACTAATTGTGTAGATGTTGCTATAAGAAACTTGCTATGGTATCGATATGGCTACATTTATTTAACAGCGTCAGTGTTGTTGTAAAAACTAAAATGGCGTTGGAAGTATGGCATGTCGGACGTACACCGCACTGCTGCTAGTATCGTAACATTATGCACGCTTCATGTTTGACGTGTTTCAGATTAAACATATCATGAATACATTTTCTAGCTAATTAGCTATGATAACTAACGTTATTTGGATGATCTCATCTTTGTCAAGCCAGCACTGTCTGATTCCGCTCAAATTGAAACTAATTTAGCAGGCTCTAGTTCAGCGTTTCCCAAACTCGGTCCTGGGGAACCTAAGGGCTGCACGTTAAGGTTTTTGCCCTAACACTACACAGCTAATTCACATAATCAACTGATCATCAAGCTTTGATAATGTGAATCAACTGTGTAGTCCTAGGACAAAAACGTGCTCCCCTTGGGGTCCCCAGGACCGAGTTTGGGAAACGCTGCCCTAGTTACTTTGTCAACACAGCGATCGATTTGAGCACAGATGAGAGCTAATTCGTGCTTGACAAACATATTCATTGAATACAATAGCATATTTTTTTTTAGCTAATGTGTAGTTTAGCACTACTGCAGATGCTATTTATGTTTAATATAATATAATAATATGCTTCATATCTTTGGTTATGCGTTTGTACATATTTCAACATACCCTGAAAGTCACTGTTATTCTTCCCCCCTGCCCCCCAGACATTGAGGCCCAGATCCTGGAGATCCAGGGCATGAAGGCTGCCCTGGTGGAGGAGGGAGCAGATCAGGGTGTGGGCCTGGACTCAACTGGATACTATGACCAGGAGATCTATGGTGGCAGTGACAGCCGCTTCGCTGGATATGTCACCTCTATCGCTGCCAATGAACAGGAGGATGTAAGTGTTGCATGTTAAATCATGAGTTGTGATGTATGCATGCTTGTTTTTCTTTTTAACTTTGAAAATGGTCAAATAAAAAAAGTGTTGCATGTCGTCTGCAACACTGACATTCTCATTCTCTTCCTAGGGGTTAGGCGTCAGCTATTCCAGTGTCATATTTTTAATGGCGTTGGCTATTCCAGTATGTCTTGTTGTCTGCGAGCTGGGAGAGTCTGCCTTAAGTGGCTAGGCTTGACCAGACTCTTGTCTCTCTCTTATTTTCAGGATGACGAGGAGGACTCTTCAACAAGTCTACTTGGACAGAAGAAACCGGGGTATCATGCTCCGGTGGCTATACTGAATGCAATACCACAGTCAGATGAACAGGTTAGCCACAGTAACACTATCTCCCTCCAGCTTTTGCAATAAGTGTAGAATTCTACTTTTGAGTTCAAACCTGACAGAGACCCTTTTACTGAACCTTATTGCAAAAGTTTTGGATTTGCTTAATTATCCTGCTCATGTCTTGTCATAGACAACATGTTATAATGGCTAGTTCTCACATTAAATCTCTGTTTACCATGATGACATGTATTTTAACATGCTGTGTTCTCTCTCCTCTCAGTACGACCCGTTTGCCGAGCACAGGCCCGCGAAGATTGCAGAGCGTGAGGACGAGTACAAGGCCAGACGACGACAGATGATCATCTCTCCGGAGCGACTAGACCCCTTTGCAGATGGTAAATTTCACCCCTCCGTCCTCCCTCCATAGTGTCCTCCCCTGTTCATGTTTTACCCTCTCTCCCTGATCCCATGGCTGCCTTTTAAGGGTTTGAACCCACCTCTTGTTGCTTAGCCCTTCGAGCACTGTGCAACGGCTTGCTCCCCAGACTAAGACCTTCCCGTGGTAATCTTTCCTGGCCTGAGGGCGGTTGGTTCTCTTGTCACTGCGCCTTTTATCATTCATAATTTTCTCTCAATAAAATCTCTTTGCTTTTGAGGCAAACGGCCTGCGAGGCAGATACACGTTTTTTTCTTTCTTGGAAAATGACAATAATTGTAAACATGATTAAGTAGTATAAAATACATGTCTGCCAGTGAGGGGTTCCATTTTGTTTTAGGGAGAGGTGGTTTGCCGTTGTCTTGGTTAGACTTTCGTACCTAACACTACATGGGTGGCAGGTAGGTTGTGTGTGTCTCGAAGGGTTAACAGACCCATGTGGCTATCTCATGTACTGATGGTGGAAAGAACTGTCTTACTCTTAAGAAATGTATTAAGTAATGTGAGTAGCAAAGAAAATAAATAAAAAGGCAAAATAAAAATTGACTTCTATATGGGTTTGATGGTCAACCTTGGGGTAATTCACCTGCTCATGCAATATGCTACACCCTGCTGTGCCCAGTAGGCGGGAACGCAATGACCCCAATCCCCCCCCCCCCTAGATGGCAGACCACCTGGGTACAGATCTGAGGCTTCCGAGTATTTCTGTGTAGAACAAGAACACTCATAAAATTAGCAGTGCAATCAGACCACCCCTTTACTTCCAAGTGGCCCTTCCTTCACTCCTACAGTATCTTTGTGTAGGCTTATGGTCAGTTACCACCACTGTTGGCTTGTCGGACTTCTAGGGGTTGGGGAAGTTCCATTAGAAAAGAACAGGACATCACAAATTATGACACTTACACACATGAACTGTAGTGCCGTTGTGTCATCAACATTAGTGAGTTATGGTCTCAGATTTCAAAGCACATTTAAATGGCTTTTAGTCCAAGTCGGGTCAGGCATCTTAACTTGGGCTCCAGGTGTGTGAATAATAGAGTGAATTACAGTTGCGGTATAATCATTGGCCAAAGGGCCAGTCTTGCCCCTTAACTCTCACATGGGCAAGGAGCTGTCACCTAGCTATATTCACATTCCTCATAGCCTAAATGAACTGAATTGTCCATCAGTTAAACAAGGATGGCCTATCTCTCAGAATACGGCTTGACTAGCCATTGAGCATTTGATTAACTAAACACATACCTTCTAGAATAGGTTTAAGGTATTTATCTATGCATTGCAACAATTTCATTTGCAATGCAACAATTTGCCTGTAGCGGATGAAGCACACATATCTCTCTCTGAGATGAAGTGGCCTCAGTGCCTCTATGTAGTCTGGGTAGGGCTGTATCAAGCCTGCATGTAGACAGCTCTGTCATATACAAAGATGTTGTGTAAATATATTTCTATTTTACATCTTTGTAAAATAGAAACATATCAAGAAATCTGTGTGCCGCAATTCCACAGGCCCATACTAACTGTCCTTAATTTCTTTCCTACAGCAGTACTGCTTTGCCAGTCCTGTACTGCACTCTCTTAAGGGTGCAGCAACTCATCCTGTGTAGGTTATGGTGAACACAGACAGAAGCGTGCGCTTATCAGTTTTGTCAGGGTCCGCTGGTTTGTTGTCTGGGTGGGTGTGGGTGAGGGGGGAAAGCAGCTCTTCCTCAACAAACCTCTACCCTAAGAACCTTTTTATTTTTTCTTCTACCAAACTTTATTTTTATATACTTACATTTAAACCGTAGCAATTTTATGTAGTCTTTTGCTTTAGATTTATTTTGTAATTCATAATTAATTTAAAAAATATATCTATTTATTTATAAAAAAGGAAGTCAAGATCTACGTTTACGAAGTTGGAATAGCAATCGACGCTGAAGGCAAACTTCCAACTGCTCAGTAGCAGGCAGCCTGTTCCCACCTGAAACGAAGATATTGATTGTATGGCTCTAATCGTAGCCTCCACTGGCCCTCATGTATACGTGTAACTACATACATATGCTCTCCCTGCCATGGGTTACATAAAGTAGCTACAGAGTTATCTCACAAGAAGATTTGGTAACAAATTGACTTCATTTTGTTAATCAATAATTCACAATCTGGAGGATATTTTTTGTTCCATTTATTTGAGGTTTGAGCCCCAGGAGGATTTTTCTTTTGAGTGACGTAAAAACAAATCACAGGTGGTATGCTTATGTGTGTGAGTTCCAACCCTTTTCCAAAGTGTTACTAATGGTAAAGAGACATTTTCTAGGCTTCTTTTCTGCCGGTTGAAGTCTGACTGCAGAAGGACCCTTGGCACTGAAAGTGTACGTATTCTGGAGAGCACAGCCCAGGACTCCTGCATCAGTGATGGCTTTATCCTCGCCTGTTATCTCCTTAAATGAAAGAAAAAAAACACCTCAGCTCTTTCTCAATGTATCTGCCTGTTGTTTTTTTTATTCAGCTATGTTTGTTTGTATGTAAGGCAAGCAAGAGAGGACTGCCTGTATGTTGTGTATCTAGGGTTGTCTTGTTGTGATTCAGCTTAAGGAACTAAAACAGTATAAGTTTCTAAAGAAGAAGTGAGGGCCTAGCTGAACTGGCTGTGTTATACTTGCTGTGTGTGTTATGAAGCCGGGTCCTGGGGCATGTTCTAATCGGCTGCCCTGTGTCTTGTTGGTGCTCTTTCGCGCAGGGGGCAAAACGCCGGACCCAAAGCTGCAGTCCAGGTCGTACATGGACGTCATGAAGGAGCAGCACCTGACCAAAGAGGAGGTAAGACAGACCGGATATATCCCCTTTGTGGTTTAGCTCAAGGGCATAACTTTGTCTTCGGGTAATGTTTCGATTAGTGGTGTCTCCATAGAGGATTATAATATAAGAATATTGAATTATGTGGGTGTGTTGTTCAATGTGGTGTATTGTTGCCTTCAATAGACTGCCGTCCTACAAAGCTCAAGGGAAACTTTCCCCTGTTGTGGTGAGGTTAGTCTCTGGTTCATGTTCTTACTCTCCCTACGTGCAGAAAGAGATCCGTCAGCAGATGGCAGAGAAGGCCAAGACGGGAGACCTGAAGGCTGTCAACGGCTCTGCTGCCTCCCAGGCTGCTGCTGCCGCTGCTGCTGCCAAGCGTAAACGCCGCTGGGACCAGACGGCCGAGAAACAGGACCAATCAGGAACCCCCAGCAATGCCGGCACACCCAAGAAGATGTCCAGCTGGGACCAGGCTGACCAGGCTGCTGAGGTAAAACGTATTATCTTAGCTGATCAGATCAGTCAAGTTTGTATCCTTACTATGACTTGGTGTGGGCTGGTGTTTGATCAGCAAATTATATACAGTGGGGGAAAAAGTATTTAGTCAGCCACCAATTGTGCAAGTTCTCCCACTTAAAAAGATGAGAGGCGTGTAATTTTCATCATAGGTACACGTCAACTATGACAGACAAAATGAGAAAAAAAAATCCAGAAAATCACATTGTAGGATTTTTTATGAATTTATTTGCAAATTATGGTGGAAAATAAGTATTTGGTCAATAACAAAAGTTTCTCAATACTTTGTTATATACCCTTTGTTGGCAATGACACAGGTCAAACGTTTTCTGTAAGTCTTCACAAGGTTTTCACACACTGTTGCTGGTATTTTGGCCCATTCCTCCATGCAGATCTCCTCTAGAGCAGTGATGTTTTGGGGCTGTCGCTGGGCAACACAGACTTTCAACTCCCTCCAAAGATTTTCTATGGGGTTGAGATCTGGAGACTGGCTAGGCCACTCCAGGACCTTGAAATGCTTCTTACGAAGCCACTCCTTCGTTGCTCGGGCGGTGTGTTTGGGATCATTGTCATGCTGAAAGACCCAGCCACGTTTCATCTTCAATGCCCTTGCTGATGGAAGGAGGTTTTCACTCAAAATCTCACGATACATGGCCCCATTCATTCTTTCCTTTACACGGATCAGTCGTCCTGGTCCCTTTGCAGAAAAACAGCCCCAAAGCATGTTTCCACCCCCATGCTTCACAGTAGGTATGGTGTTCTTTGGATGCAACTCAGTATTCTTTGTCCTCCAAACACGACGAGTTGAATTTTTACCAAAAAGTTATATTTTGGTTTCATCTGACCATATGACATTCTCCCAATCCTCTTCTGGATCATCCAAATGCACTCTAGCAAACTTCAGACGGGCCTGGACACATTGCTTAAGCAGGGGGACACGTCTGGCACTGCAGGATTTGAGTCCCTGGCGGCGTAGTGTGTTACTGATGGTAGGCTTTGTTACTTTTGTCCCAGCTCTCTGCAGGTCATTCACTAGGTCCCCCCGTGTGGTTCTGGGATTTTTGCTCACCGTTCTTGTGATCATTTTGACCCCACGGGGTGAGATCTTGCCTGGAGCCCCAGATCGAGGGAGATTATCAGTGGTCTTGTATGTCTTCCATTTCCTAATAATTGCTCCCACAGTTGATTTCTTCAAACCAAGCTGCTTACCTATTGCAGATTCAGTCTTCCCAGCCTGGTGCAGGTCTACAATTTTGTTTCTGGTGTCCTTTGACAGCTCTTTGGTCTTGGCCATAGTGGAGTGTGACTGTTTGAGGTTGTGGACAGGTGTCTTTTATACTGATAACAAGTTCAAACAGGTGCCATTAATACAGGTAACGAGTGGAGGACAGAGGAGCCTCTTAAAGAAGAAGTTACAGGTCTGTGAGAGCCAGAAATCTTGCTTGTTTGTAGGTGACCAAATACTTATTTTCCACCATAATTTGCAAATAAATTCATTAAAAATCCTACAATGTGATTTTCTGGAGAAAAAAATTCTCAATTTGTCTGTCATAGTTGACGCGTACCTATGATGAAAATTACAGGCCTCTCATCTTTTTAAGTGGGAGAACTTGCACAATGGGTGGCTGACTAAATACTTTTTTCCCCCACTGTAGGACCAAGTGTTTTTGGGGCAGTTTATTTATGTCTTGCCTTGACTTAAATATTATTTTTAAGCTCCTAGTAGAACAAAGTACCTCAACCATGCTTCATTTCTGTGCTGTAAGAACTCATTGATCCCTTTATCCCCTGACTCTCTCTCTTTCGATTTCTCCACAGCAGACCCCAGGACACACCCCTGGCCACACCCCCTCCAACAGCCGCTGGGACGAGACCCCTGGCAGGAACAAGGGCAGTGAGACCCCAGGGGCCACTCCCAGCACCCGGATGTGGGACCCCACCCCCAGCCACACCCCGGCCGGAGCAGCCACCCCAGGCAGAGGGGACACACCGGGACACACCACCCCCGGACATGGGGGGGCCACAGGCAGCGTGCGCAAAAACCGCTGGGACGAGACCCCCAAGACTGAAAGGGAGACCCCTGGTCATGGTAGTGGTTGGGCCGAGACCCCCCGAACAGACAGAGGAGACGAGTCGGTAGGAGAGACCCCCACCCCCGGGGCCAGTAAGAGGAAGTCCCGTTGGGACGAGACCCCTGCCAGCCAGATGGGCTCTTCCACTCCACTGATGACCCCTGGGAAGACTCCCATCGGAACCCCTGCCATGAATATGGCCACTCCATCTCCAGGTAGTGTCAATCACCTAACCTACATCTCAGGCCTTTGAATCCCATCTTCAATTCCTTAGAGGTAGAATATAATTTAAAACTGATAATTCTGTTTGGTATTATGTACTTGTTGTTCATTTACTAGTAGTATAATGTCCCACTAAGTCGTGATACTAGGTTGAGGCATGTTTTACATTATGTATCTGTTTCCTATCCTGTCAGGTCACCTGATGAGCATGACCCCAGAGCAGCTGCAGGCGTGGCGTTGGGAGAGGGAGATCGACGAGAGAAACCGACCACTCACAGATGATGAGCTGGATGCCATGTTCCCAGAGGGATACAAGGTCAAGTAGACTCTTTCACACACCAGTACGATGGAGAAATAGAGCTCAACAGTCATTTGTCACATCAAATACCTATATTAAGTGAGTGAATAGTCTTCGGTGATACGGTAACAAGTTGGAACAGGACAGTCTGTCTCTGGTCAGTGTCACGTTCTGTCTCTCTGGGTTCGGTTCCCCACACCGGCATGTCTCTTCAGTTGAAGACATCAGGGAATTTGTCTGAGAAGACCTCAATCCAGTACACAAAAAATAGTAAACTGTTCTGTAAAATGAGTTAAAGGTATAGGAAGTGAACAGTACTAACGTTTCATCTTGCAACTCCTCCACAGGTCCTTCCCCCACCAGCAGGCTACGTGCCCATCCGTACCCCAGCCCGTAAGCTGTCTGCCACCCCAACCCCCATGGGGGGCATGACGGGCTTCCACATGCAGCAGGAGGACCGCTCCATGAAGCAGGTCAACGACCAGCCCAGTGGAAACCTGCCCTTCCTCAAACCAGACGACATCCAGTACTTTGATAAACTGCTGGTTGAGGTGGATGAGTCCACTCTGAGCCCAGAGGAACAGAAGGAGCGTAAGATCATGAAACTGCTGCTGAAGATCAAGAATGGAACACCTCCCATGAGAAAGGTGAGACCAGCTGCTAACTGTCCTCATCATCTTGACCACAGAATTAAAAATTGAACTTTCCCTGACCAAGATGGCTGCCATTATCCACACATTCTATGAGCTATGAAGGTTTGACATAGGCCACTCTAGTGTTGTATCTCTGGTCTTTACTCCATCTTCCTTTTGGTGTGTAACTCTCACCACTGAAATGTCAACCACCCAGTCTAACCCCCTTGCGTCTCTTCTCAGGCTGCCCTGCGTCAGATCACAGACAAGGCGAGGGAGTTTGGCGCAGGGCCCCTGTTCAACCAGATCCTACCCCTGCTCATGTCTCCTACTCTGGAGGACCAGGAGCGCCACCTACTGGTCAAGGTCATCGACCGCATCCTCTACAAGCTGGACGACCTGGTCCGCCCATATGTACACAAGGTGGGTCATTGTGTGTGTGAAAGAGAGGCAGTACTCACTCACTGACTCCGTTACTGTATGTCTCCTGTGCTGAGATTGGCACTGTGTATGTGGTTCACTAACTGACTGTCTGTTCCTCAGATCCTGGTGGTGATTGAGCCCCTGCTGATTGATGAAGATTACTACGCCAGAGTGGAGGGCAGAGAGATCATCTCTAACTTGGCCAAGGTGAGCCCCACTCCCAGCCCTATAATGTAATCACACACCCACCACAGTTGGGTAATATGCCTGCGAATCATTCTCGCCTGTTCGACCTATCCGTGGTCAGATCAGGGCTAGTACTTCGCTAGATTAAATACCAGCACGAGAACTAGCCGATCTGACATCCATTTCATTTCTGTTCTCACCCTGCACCCGTTGGTTACATTCCTACAGCACGTAGCGAATATTTGTATCTCCTGAAATCACATTAGAAAATGCCACTTATGCTGTCTATGCAAGGAGTATCACGAACACCAATTAATCTGTCCATCTCTTTCCCGGTCTTTCCCTTCCTCTCTAGGCTGCCGGCCTGGCAACTATGATCTCGACCATGAGGCCTGATATTGACAACATGGATGAGTACGTCAGAAATACAACGGCCAGAGCTTTCGCTGTCGTAGCGTCCGCTCTGGGTATCCCCTCCCTGCTGCCCTTCCTCAAGGCTGTGTGTAAGAGCAAGAAGTCATGGCAGGCCCGCCACACGGGTATCAAGATTGTCCAGCAGATTGCCATCCTCATGGGCTGTGCAATCCTACCCCATCTGAGGAGTCTGGTGGAGATCATCGAGCATGGTGAGCCGAGGGCGACCCTGAGATAGTATGTGACCTGAGGGGGTAGTTTAGTTTTCTACTAGCTAGTAATAGTACGTTTTTATATTTGGGAGTGACTATCTAGTAAATGTGACTCAGGTGTAGTTTAGCTTTTTATTAATTTTTTGAGTGCATGGGTTGACGCTTCAAGTTCATTCGCTTTTTAAGTGCATTTCACACATGGTCACTATACACTTTACCAGGAAGGATAAAACATGATCTCTTACTGGCCTCTATTGTCTGCCCCCCTCAGGTCTGGTAGATGAGCAGCAGAAGGTGCGGACCATCAGTGCCTTGGCCATCGCTGCCCTGGCTGAGGCTGCCACGCCCTACGGTATCGAGTCCTTTGACTCCGTACTCAAACCCCTGTGGAAGGGTATCAGACAGCACAGAGGAAAGGTGAGGACAAAACTATTGAGGACCTATGGCCTTCGGTTACGTGTCTGCGAATCATTCTCGCCTGTACGACCTATCAGTGGTCAGATCAGGGCTAGTACTTCGCTAGATGGACACCAACACGAGAACTGGCAGATCTGACATCCATTTCACTTCTGTTCTCACCCTGCACCCGTTGGTTACATTCTTAAAACAAGTAGTTAATGCAAGTTGACCTGAAATCACATTCAACTTTATCGGAGTATCTTGGCTGTGTAGACCTAGTAACTGATTTAAACCTCCCTCTCTTTCCCCTCTCGTGTCCAGGGTCTGGCTGCGTTCCTGAAGGCCATTGGCTACCTGATCCCTCTGATGGATGCTGAGTATGCTAACTACTACACCAGAGAGGTCATGTTGATCCTCATCAGAGAGTTCCAGTCCCCTGACGAGGAGATGAAGAAGATCGTGCTCAAGGTGAGGGAGCCTAACCGTGTGTGCGAATCGTTCTCGCCTGTTCAACCTATCAGGGGTCAGATCAGGGCTAGTACTTCGCTAGATGAACACCAACATGAGAACTGGCAGATCTGACATCCATTTCACTTCTGTTCTCACTCTGCACCCGTTGGTTACATTTCCAAAATGGAAAGGAGTTGCAGATGCTAGCTAGTACACTTAAAACAGAATTGGTGTTTGTGTGCCCTGTTTCTAACCCCCATTGTTCCCTCTCTCTGCCAGGTGGTGAAACAGTGCTGTGGTACTGACGGTGTGGAGGCCAACTACATCAAGACAGAGATCCTGCCCCCCTTCTTCAAGCACTTCTGGCAGCACAGGATGGCCCTGGACAGACGCAACTACAGACAGGTAGGTACACAACACTCACACACCAATGACTCAATACACTTATGACATGTTGAATTGGTTTGGTCAAGTAGGCAGTTGTGTTCCAAGTATAAATAGAAAAGCAGAAATGAAGGTCTGCGCCAAGGCTTGTAGCAGAAGATGGCTGGTGATTTAAGAGTTAGATTTACATTTTTACATTTAACATTTTAGTCATTTAGCAGACGCTCTTATCCAGAGCGACTTACAGTTAGTGAGTTGAACTATACCAAGCAACGAAAAGCAGAAGTCGATTTTATGACTGGATTTCAATGTTTAGTTCAGCGTTAGTTATTTTATCACTGCCATGTTTTGGGATGTGTGAACTAACGCCATCCCTCCCCCACACCTCTAGCTGGTGGACACCACAGTAGAGCTGGCCAACAAGGTGGGAGCGGCAGAGATCATCTCTCGTATAGTAGATGACCTGAAGGATGAGGCAGAGCAGTACAGGAAGATGGTGATGGAGACCATAGAGAAGATCATGGGGAACCTGGGAGCTGCTGACATCGACCACAAGCTGGAGGAGCAGCTGATTGACGGCATACTGTACGCCTTCCAGGAACAAACCACTGAGGTGAGACACGGGGGGGAGACCAGGGGCAAGTTCAGCAAGGAACAGTGTTGTGGAACGTTCAGATAGAAATGGGTTATGTAGAAGAAATATGCCTTTATGACCTGTAGAATAAGGAATCATATCAGCTCTATTCATGACATTTCTATCTGCAACGTTCCAGGATGTTTACCTACTGAACCTGGCTCAGGGTATAACGTTGGGGAATGTTGAGATATACATTTTGTAAAGCCTGTGATGAAACAAGTTATCCCTGTCTGAACAGCAGTGTGGACCTACGGTAGTCTGAGGTTTGATGGGAGCTTCATATTGATTGGAATGGGTAACTGTCTGCGTCCGAAATGGCATACTGTTCTATTTAAACCAGAGCCCTTTGGACAAAGGTAGTGCACTATATAGGGAATAGGATGCCATTTTGAACGCAGACACTCAGTCCATTAGCCTACCTGTGTAGACTATGACTAACTCTAGTTGACCTCTGACCCTGTGTAGGACTCTGTGATGCTGAATGGGTTTGGCACGGTGGTCAATGCCCTGGGGAAGAGGGTAAAGCCCTACCTGCCTCAGATCTGTGGTACGGTGCTGTGGCGTCTCAACAACAAGTCTGCCAAGGTCCGCCAGCAGGCTGCTGATCTCATCTCTCGCACTGCCGTGGTCATGAAGACCTGCCAGGAGGTTAGACTGGGTGTTGTTATACATGCGCACACACACTCTCACTCAAACAGACACACTTGTACTCTCACACACACACACAAACTTTGCTATGAACTTCACTAAAGATGTACAGGGTTTCTCTTCCTTTCTAAACCTCTCGTTCTCTCCCCTCAACAGGAGAAGCTGATGGGTCACCTGGGAGTTGTGTTATACGAGTACCTAGGAGAGGAGTATCCTGAAGTACTGGGAAGTATCCTCGGTGCTCTCAAGGCCATCGTCAACGTCATCGGTACGAAAACATCACCCTCACTACTACACCTGTCTTCTCTCTGCGAATCATTCTCGCCTGTTCGACCTATCAGTGGTCAGATCAGGGCTAGTACTTCGCTAGATGGACACCAACATGAGAACTGGCAGATCTGACATCCATTTCACTTCTGTTCTCACCCTGCACCCGTTGGTTACAAATGAAAAGTCTATTGGCTTTTAGTTTACATTTTACATTTTAGTCATTTAGCAGATGCTCTTATCCAGAGCGACTTACAGTTAGTGAGTGCATACATTTTTCATACTGGCCCCCCGTGGGAATCGAACCCACAACCCTGGCGTTGCAAGCGCCATGCTCTACCAACTGAGCTTCACAGTGCAATTATAAGAGGGGTTATGGTAGTAGTGGTGGTAAGAGTAAGACTGGTTGATATGCATTTTTATTTTTTTATTTCACCTTTATTTAACCAGGTAAGCCAGTTGAGAACAGGTTCTCATTTACAACTGCGACCTGGCCAAGATAAAGCAAAGCAGTGCAATAAAAACAACACAGAGTTACATATGGGGTAAAAAACATAAAGTCAAAAATACAACAGAAAATATATATACAGTGTGTGCAAATGTAGCAAGTTATGGAGGTAAGGCAATAAATAGGCTATAGTGCAGAATAATTACAATAGTATTAACACTGGAATGATAGATGTGCAAGAGATTATGTGCAAATAGAGATACTGGGGTGCAAAAGAGCAAAATAAATAACAATATGGGGATGAGGTAGTTGGGTGGGCTAATTTCAGATGGGCTGTGTACAGGTGCAGTGATCGGTAAGGTGCTCTGACAACTGATGCTTAAAGTTATTGAGGGAGATAAGAGTCTCCAGCTTCAGAGATTTTTGCAATCCAGACATCTGATTGGTTGTCTGTCCTGTCACTCATAGGCATGCATAAAATGACTCCACCAATCAAAGACCTGCTGCCGCGCCTGACGCCAATCTTAAAGAACAGACATGAGAAGGTGCAGGAGAACTGTATTGACCTGGTTGGCAGGATTGCTGACAGGTATGTGTGTGAAATGATTGCCTTGTATATTTCAATCTTTGAATCTCAATTTGTCTTTTGTCGACATCCTGTCTCTTCCTTCTCAACCGTATTGGAAAAGGTCAGAGTTCCCTCCCTTCTGGGAGAGGAGGCAAGCAATCGAGGAAAGATTGAGAAAGAGCCTCTGACTCCTACTCATATGTGCAGAAATGTATAAACTAGTAGATGTTTCATCAACCGTGTTATAACTCCTACCATGGTGTGTGAATAGGGGTGCTGAGTACGTGTCGGCCAGGGAATGGATGCGTATCTGCTTTGAGCTGCTGGAGCTCCTCAAGGCCCACAAGAAGGCCATCCGCAGAGCCACCGTCAACACCTTCGGATACATCGCCAAGGCTATCGGGTGAGTCCTGTCTCTGGCTACTGCATGCTCGTACCATCCTCACAGTTTGTCATCTCAGTTGGTCATTTATTAGGGATTCTGTTTGGAAATTAAATGTCTGCTCAAGGATGTTGTGTTAAATTGAATGTTTGCCCCTCCCAAATGTGAGCGTTTTCAATTGTGCTTGGTCATATTCCTTTTGCTGTTGTGGTTATTAATGTGCACTGATTTAGCATGTGGGTGTCCTCCTGACCTCTCCTCCTCCAGACCCCATGACGTGCTGGCCACACTACTCAACAACCTGAAGGTTCAGGAGCGGCAGAACAGAGTGTGTACCACCGTAGCCATCGCCATCGTGGCTGAGACCTGTTCTCCCTTCACCGTGCTCCCCGCCCTCATGAACGAGTACCGCGTGCCAGAGCTCAACGTGCAAAATGGGGTGCTCAAGTCCCTGTCCTTCCTGTTTGAGTACATTGGGGAGATGGGCAAGGACTACATTTACGCTGTCACGCCACTGCTGGAGGACGCACTTATGGACAGGTGAAAGGAGTATGCATTGTGATGAGCAAGCAGTCTGGTGTTTTGGCTAATGTTCTAGTAACTCAATGAACTCCTTCACTACCCAGATAAACATTTCCCTTGTAATAAGTATTCATCATATCTACAAACATTACATTTATTAACTAGCCATGGTGAGCTTCATCCCTGTATGTCAACAGTGTTGGCAAGCAGTTGACTCAGTTAAATGGGTGGTAGTATGCCTGCGAATCATTCTCGCCTGTACGACCTATCAGTGGTCAGATCAGGGCTAGTACTTCGCTAGATGAACACCAACATGAGAACTGGCAGATCTGACATCCATTACACTTCTGTTCTCACCCTGCACCCGTTGGTAACAAAGGAAAAGTCAAGTGTTATTCATTGTCAATGAGGATTTCACCCTCAGAATTAGAATATATAGTAGACCCCAACTGCTTCTTTCCACCTTTTGACTGGACCCACTTCCTCTCCTCCTTACAGAGACTTGGTCCACAGACAGACAGCCAGTGCCGTGGTGCAGCACATGTCCCTGGGCGTCTACGGCTTTGGCTGTGAAGACTCTCTCAACCACCTGCTCAACTATGTGTGGCCCAACGTGTTTGAGACGTCGCCCCACGTTATCCAGGCTGTGATGGGGGCCCTGGAAGGCCTCCGGGTGGCCATCGGCCCCTGCCGCATGCTGCAGTATTGCCTACAGGTAACTACTACCACTACTACCTACATCAATGGTGGGCAAACTACGGCCCGTGGGCCGCATCCGGCCTGCCAGATTTAAAATGGCCGGTCCCCAAAAAATCTGTGGCCCTCTGTCGAATTTCGAAATCCCGACGTGGCCTGCAAGCCAAAACGTTTGCCCACCCCTGACCTACATCAATGTTCTTGTTTTGAATAGCGCAGTGTTGAGAATCAACATCAAATGTCCAGAAAGGGATGTAAATGTGTTAACTTATATAACTATCAACAGCAACCTACCCTTTATGATGTCCATGAAAGAACTGCTGTGGATATTTAGTAAAAATAACATACCATAATGAAAATGTAGTAGCACTGTAAGTACAGCCATTGAGTTGATAATGCTCTCTAACCCTGTCTCTCCTCTCTCCAGGGTCTGTTCCACCCAGCCAGGAAGGTGCGAGACGTCTACTGGAAGATCTACAACTCTATCTACATCGGCTCCCAGGATGCTCTGATTGCTCACTACCCACACGTCTACAATGACGAGAAGAACCCTTACCTCCGCTATGAGCTGGAGTACTTCCTGTGATACTGATCTGCTCTCTCTTCCCCCCCTCTCTCTGTTTACTCTCTCTCTCTCTGCCGATCTCTCTCCCCTTCCCTCTTTTTCACCGCTCTCTTCTCCTCTTCCTCTATCTCTCTGTTCACTCTTTGTCCTCACTCTCTTGGTGTATAGGACTTGGTCCATTTTTTAAAATTATTTATCTCCTCTGTCTTTGTAGTGGGTGTGTCCAACAATCCAACAGTCACAGTGGCTGTGGCCCGAGATACATTTTTAATACAATAAAAACCATGTATAATAGGGAAATACAGAATATAAAACGGAACAACTTCTTAGCTTGTATGTTTTTGTTTTATTTCTCCTTTTATAAATATTTCCATAAGGAATGACAGACGGAACAGTGAAGTGCAGGATCTAAGTTAGCCTGGTTAAGGAATGGAAAAGCAAGTCAGTGAGTGAAACTCTTTAAAATACTGTCGTGGTTTCTTTTTACTGGCCTTGACCGTTCCTTCTCAATGCTCTGCTCGCCTATCAGTGATCACCCCTTTGTTCTTATCAGAATGTTGCTTTATTTGACTGAATAAACGTTTGTGTATAAAATAAAACCCCTCGGCCCTCTGCTTTATTTTGAGTTGGTCAAAATAAATCATGAGACATGACTACTCATAGGAGTAATAATATGCAATATGGAAATTCATCTATGAAAAGTACCATCTTCCTTTTCCCCATGGTCATTTCCCTATGCCTATGGTCATAACCTTGGAGGCAGAAGAACTCCTTGGTGGAATATGTGGGAACATACCAGCATTCTCTAGATGATTCCAATTCCACACAGATCACCTTTGCCACCTTTCTTTTGTCATGTCACAACCTCATTTTCCACAGGCACTGCTAGGCTTAGATTAATGATTGTTTTGTACTGCAGTTAAATGTACACAAGCAGGCGTAGAACATCGACCATTCCAAATTAGCTATATTTCACCCAGAAATGCAACATTACATTTCAAAAGGCTACAGCTTGTTCAGAAATGTTTATAAAGGGAAACATTAACCCTCTATAATGCCTTTTGTCCCCTTATCGGCCCTGTCATCCTGCTGAGACATAACAAACAGACCAAGGAGAAGGAGCGCTCCGGGTAGCTAGCTCTGTGGTTTTGACGTGGAAACGAATGCTTGCGTGCCTCTGTAAGGCTATATGTCGATGGGGATTCTGGGGAAGGACGTGTGTGGGTATGTTTGGGCTAGAGTCAGTGGGTGGGAGAGAATCAAGGGCAAGGCCCCTATTGGGCTGTAGGCGAAGACTGCTGACACCATATTTGTTTGTACTAAAAAGCACTTTAAATTGAGAGTTTCTATTATACATGCTTTTTAGTTCAGGACTGCTTAATCTGTCCAGGAAACAGGCCCTATATGTTTATGTGGGACACCCTCAGGTTTATGCCAGGAGCAACACTTACTCATGTATCTGTTAACAGAACTCCCACAGCTCTAAAGGTCTGATGATCATTCAAGAAGGTGCACACTTTCCTTCGTAATAGATCAGTGGTACATAGGCTACTCATCGTGTGGGTTAATGCCAGTGGAGCAAGGCAGTGGACCTAGTCCTGTCCCCATACTGTAACATGGCTATAGTCAGCCTATCACCAAGGAAGAGCTCCAAAGCTTCATGGAGACCGTTTCATAGTGTGGTCTTTGAAATGGGCAACCAGTGCCCAGACAGACACACAGGCAGTCTCCCATTCAGCCCTGATAAGAGGAACTCTGAGCTCAGCTCTCTCATCACACACCCCATCCTCAAGAGACTCCGACTGTATCATAGAGCTGAGCGAGCAATGAGCTTGGTGGAGTCTGAGTCTGCCTGGAAACTGGGTCAAAGGCAGCGCATGCATGGGTCTCTATGCATGTGGTGAAGGGGGGGGGTTACTGCTGAAGTATATAGATGTAAGTGGTGGGGGAGGGTTTCCATTGTAGGGAGGTAGTAGGGGGGATGTTGGAGATGAGAAAGAGGCCCTGTATTGTATTGGCTGACTTTATATTTTTTGTATTATCTTAATCTACAAATGTTACCACAATGTTAGAATCTAAAGTATCAGTAATGTGAATCATGCTCTCTTTCGAGAATCAGACTTGATATGGCACCATAAATTAGGAAGATGTACGAAGGAAGTTTGATTCTCTCCCTCAAGGCAAAAGGCAGCCATTCTGGCTACCATGGCAGAGAGTAGGGGGGGATGGGAAACTTGTGAGCACTGGACAGGGATGATGAGCAACAATCACATTCATTCATTAATCACAGCTTGGCAAACACTATGAAATTAGTAAAATGTACTAAAGAAGATTCTGAGTCTCTTCCTCAAAAAAGCTATATCCAGCCATTCTGACAACCGTGACAGGGGGTGGGGCATTTAGCAATGACTTTGCACTAGTGGGGCCTTTGCCAGGTCAGATGTCCCCTGAAGGGCTCAGTGTAGTGGTTGGTTGGTGTGACTGGTGTGGTGTGGCTGGCTGGCTACTAGTATAGGGGTGGAGGTGGGTTTTATGATTTGGTCAACAGGAAGTAAATCAGAGATGCAGGAGAGAACAGTAACCCCAACAATAATAGGATGTAGTGGACAAGCTACATTTGTGCTCCATAGTTCTGTGCCAAATGTCCATTCTCGTGTATATAGAGTTATTTGATTCTCTCTAACAATCCAGCCCTAGGTATGGTAATGGCTGAGACACATTTTCTGTTTGGTCTCCAAAACACAATAAACTCAGGAATGCATCTTCCTGAACACATACAGTATCCTACCTGCTGACTGCACAAAAGGTGGTGTGTGTGTGTGTTGAGAGTGAGATAGGCAACAGTAAACATCTCTGTTGATATTGTACACAGAGATGAAGGCATAAGGACAAGGGCATTTCAGATTGATGATAAGAAACAAACCTGTTTGTTAAAAAATCATATTAAATCAAATTGTATTTGTCACATGCTTCGTAGACAACAGGTGTCGACTAACAGTGAAGTACTTACTTACGGGTCCATTTCCAACAATGCAGAGTTAAAGATGAGATAAAAAATAAAAATATTGACATGAGGAATAAATACAGTGAATAACTAATTAAAAATAACTAGTAAAAATAACATGGTTATATACAGGGAGTACCAGTATCGAGTCGATGTGCAGAGCTATGAGGTAATTGAGGTAACTATGTATTGTATATTGAACAAAAATATAAACGCAACATGCAACAATTTCAACGATTTTACTGACTTACACTTCATACAGTGCCTTGCAAAAGTGTTCATCCCCCTTGGCATTTTTCCTATTTTGTTGCATTACAACCTGTAATTTAAATGGATTTTTATTTGGATTTCATGTAATGGACATACACAAAATAGTCCAAATTGGTGAAGTGAAATGAAAAAAATAACTTGTTTCAAGGAATTCTACTAAATAAATAACGGAAAAGTGGTGCGTGCATATGTATTCACTCCCTTTGCTATGAAGCCCCTAAATAAGATCTGGTGCAACCAATTACCTTCAGAAGTCACATAATTAGTTAAACAAAGTCCACCTGTGTGAAATCTAAGTGTCACATGATCTGTCACATGATCTCAGTATGTATACACCTGTTCTGAAAGGCCCCAGAGTCTGCAACACCACTAAGCAAGGGGCACCACCAAGCAAGCGGCACCATGAAGACCAAGGAGCTCTCCAAACAGGTCAGGGACAAAGTTGTGGAGAAGTACAGATCAGGGTTGGGTTATAAAAAAATATTTAAAACTTTGAACATCCCACGGAGCACCATTAAATCCATGATTTAAAAATGGAAAGAATATGGCACCACAACAAACCTGCCAAGAGAGGGCCGCCCACCAAAACTCACGGACCAGGCACGGAGGGTATTAATCAGAGAGGCAACAAAGAGACCAAAGATCACCCTGAAGGAGCTGCAAATCTCCACAGCGGATATTGGAGTATCTGTCCATAGGACCACTTTAAGCCGTACACTCCATAGAGCTGGGCTTTACGGAAGAGTGGCCAGAAAAAAGCCATTGCTTAAAGAAATAAATAAGCAAACATGTTTGGTGTTCGCCAAAAGCCATGTGGGAGACTCCCCAAACATATGGAAGAAGGTACTCTGGTCAGATGAGACAAGAATTGAGCTTTTTGGCCATCAAGGAAAATCACCCCGAGAACACCATCCCCACAGTGAAGCATGGTGGTGGCAGCATTGTGCTGTGGGGATGTTTTTCAACGGCAGGGACTGGGAAACTGGTCAGAATTGAAGGAATGATGGATGGCGCTAAATACAGGGAAATTCTTGAGGGGAAACCTGTTTCAGTCTTCCAGAGATTTGAGACTGGGACGGATGTTCACCTTCAAGCAGGACAATGACCCTAAGCATACTGCTAAAGCAACACTCGAGTGGTTTAAGGGGAAACATTTAAATGTCTTGGGAAGGCCTAGTCAAAGCCCAGACCTCAATCCAATTGAGAATATGTGGTATGACTTAAAGATTGCTCTACACCAGCGGAACCCATCCAACTTGAATGAGCTGGAGCAGTTTTGCCTTGAAGAATGGGCAAAAATCCCAGTGGCTAGATGTACCAAGCTTATAGAGACATACCCCAAGAGACTTGCAGCTGTAATTGCTGCAAAAGGTGGCTCTACAAAGTATTGACTTTGGGGGGGGTGAATAGTTATGCACGATCAAGTTTTCTGTTTTTTTTTGTCTTATTTCTTGTTTGTTTCACACAAAAACATTTTTGCATCATCAAAGTGGTAGGCATGTTGTGTAAATCAAATGATGCAAACCCCAAAAATTTTTTATTCCAGGTTGTAAGGCAACAAAATAGGAAAAATGCCAAGGGGGTGAATACTTTCGCAAGCCACTGTATAAGGAAATTAGTCAATTGAAATAAATGCATTAGGCCCTAATCTATGGATTTCACATGACTGGGAATACAGATATGCATCTGTTGGTCACAGATACCTTAAAGAAAAGGTAGGCCCGTGGATCAGAAAACCAGCCAGTATCTGGTGTGACCACCATTTGCCTCATGCAGTGCGACACATCTCCTTTGCATAGAATTGATCAGGCTGTTGATTGTGGCCTATGGAATGTTGTCCCACTCCTCTCCAATGGCTGTGCGAAGTTGCTCGATATTAGCGGGACCTGGAACACGCTGTCGTACACGTCGATCCAGAGCATCCCAAACATGCTCAATCGGTGACACGTCTGTGAGTATGCAGTTCATACAAGAACTGGGACATTTTCAGCTTCCAGGAATTGTGTACAGATCCTTGAGACATGGGGCCGTGCGTTATCATGCTGAAACATGAGGTGATGGCGGCGGATGAATGACACGACAATGGGCCTCAGGATCTCGTCACGGTTTCTCTTTGCATTCACATTGCCATTGATAAAATGCAATTGTGTTTGTTGTCTGTAGCTTATACCTGCCCATACCAAAACCCCACCGCCACCATGGGGCACTCTGTTCACAACTTTGACATCAGCAAACCGCTCGCCCACACGACGCCATACACCTGGTCTGCGGTTGTGAGGCCAGTCTGACTTACTGCCAAATTCTCTAAAATGACGTTGGAGGCAGCTTGTGGTAGAGAAATTAACATTAAATTCTCTGGCAATAGCTCTGGTGGACATTCCAGCAGTAAGCATGCCAATTGCATGCTACCTCAAAGCATGATGCATTGTGTTGTGTGACAGAACTGCACATTTTAGAGTGGCCTTTTATTGTCCCCAGCACAAGGTGCACCTGTGTAATGATCATGCTAATCAGCTTCTTGATATGCCACACCTGTCAGGTGGATGGATTATTTTAGCAAAAGAGAAATGCTCATTTTTGTTCAGTGTACATATAGGTAGAGATAAAGTGACTAGGCAACAGGATAGATAATAGACAGTAGCAGCAGCGTATGTGGTGAATGTGAAAGTGTGTGTGTGGGTGTGGCGTCAGTATGCATGTACAGTTGAAGTCGGAAGTTTACATACACTTAGGTTGGAGTCATTAAAACTCGTTTTTCAACCACTCCACAAATGTCTTGTTACCAAACTATAGTTTTTGAACAAGGTCTGCACTGGTGGTGCCCCGATCCTGCAGCTGAATCAACTTTAGGAGACGGTCCTGGTGCTTGCTGAATTTCTTGGGCGCCCTGGCGCCTTCTTCACAACATTTGAACCTCTCTCCTTGAAGTTCTTGATGATCCGATAAATGGTTGATTTAGGTGCAATCTTACTAGCAGCAATATCCTTGCCTGTGAAGCCCTTTTTGTGCAAAGCAATGATGACGGCATGTGTTTCCTTGCAGGTAACCATGGTTAACAGAGGAAGAACAATGATTTCAAGCACCACCCTCCTTTTAAAGCTTCCAGTCTGTTATCCTAACTCAATCAGCATGACAGAGTGATCTCCAGCCTTGTCCTCGTCAACACTTTCACTTGTGTTAACGAGAGAATCACTGACATGATGGCAGCTGGTCCTTTTGTGGCAGGGCTGAAATGCAGTGGAAATGTTTTTGGGGGATTAAGTTCATTTTCATGGCAAAGAGGGACTTTGCAATTCATCTGATCACTCTTCATGACATTCTGGAGTATATGCAAATTGCCATTCTCAAAACTTTTGACCACGACTATATATACAGTTGAAGTCGGAAGTTTACATACACTTAGGTTGGAGTCATTAAAACTAGTTTTTCAACCACTCCACAAATTTATTTTTAACAAACTATAGTTTTGGCAAGTCGGTTAGGACATCTACTTTGTGCATGACGCAAGTACTTTTTCCAACAATTGTTTACAGACAGATTATTTCACTTAAAATTCACTGTATCCCAATTCCAGTGGGTCAGAAGTTTGCATACACTAAGTTGACTCTGCCTTTAAAAAGCTTGGAAAATTCCAGAAAATGATGTCATGGCTTTATAAGCTTCTGATAGGCTAATTAACACAATTTGAGTCAATTGGAGGTGTACCTGTGGATGTATTTCAAGGCCTACCTTCAAACTCAGTACCTCTTTGCTTGACATCATGGGAAAATAAAAATAAATCAGCCAAGACCTCAGAAGAAATTTGTAGACCTCCACAAGTCTGGTTCATCCTTGGGAGCAATTTCCAAACGCCTGAAGATACCATGTTCATCTGTACAAACAATAGTACGCAAGTATAAACACCATGGGACCACCCAGCCGTCATACCGCTCAGGAAGGAGACGCGTTCTGTCTCCTAGAGATGAACGTACTTTGGTGCGAAAAGTGCAAATCAATCCCAAAACAACAGCAAAGGACCTTTTTTCCTAAGATGCTGGAGGAAACAGGTACAAAAGTATCTATATCCACAGTAAAACGAGTCCTATATTGACATAACCTGAAAGCCACTCAGCAAGGAAGAAGCCATTCCTCCAAAACCGCCATAAAAAAGCCAGACAACGGTTTCCAACTGCACATGGGGACAAAGATCGTACTTTTTGGAGAAATGTCCTCTGGTCTGATGAAACAAAAATAGAACTGTTTGGCCATAATGACCATCGTTATGTTTGGAGGAAAAAGGGGGATGCTTGCAAGCCGAAGAACACCATCTCAACCGTGAAGCACGGGGGTGGCAGCATCATGCTGTGGGGGTGCTTTGCTGCAGGAGGGACTCGTGCACTTCACAAAATAGATGGCATCATGAGGAAGGAAAATTATGTGGATATATTGAAGCAACACCTCAAGACATCAGTCAGGAAGTTAAAGCTTGGTCGCAAATGGGTCTTCCAACTGGACAATGACCCCAAGCATACTTCCAAAGTTGTGGCAAAATGGCTTAAGGACAACAAAGTCAAGGTATTGGAGTGGCCATCACAAAGCCCTGACCTCAATCCTATAGAAAATGTGTGGGCAGAACTGAAAAAGCGTGTGCGAGCAAGGAGGCCTACAAACCTGACTCAGTTACACGAGCTCTGTCAGGAGAAATGGGCCAAAATTCACCCAACTTATTGTGGGAAGCTTGTGGAAGGCTACCCAAAACGTTTGACCCAAGTTAAACAATTTAAAGTGAACTGAAATAAATCATTCTCTCCACTATTATTCTGACATTTCACATTCTTAAAATAAAGTGGTGATCCTAACTGACCTAAGACAGGGAATCTTTACTAGGATTAAATGTCAGGAATTGTGAAAAACTGAGTTTAAATGTATTTGGCTAAGGTGTATGTAAACTTCCGACTTCAACTGTATGTGGATGTTATGTGTGTGTGGGCCTATGTAGTGTGTGTCTGTGTGAGTGTGTGGGTGGAGTCCAGTGTGTGTCATAGAGTCAGTGCAAGAGAGTTAGTGCAAAAAAAGGTCAATGCAGGTAGTCCGGGTAGCCATTTGATTAGCTACATTATTTAGCAGTCTTGTTTAGAGGTCTTATGGCCTGGGGGTAGAAGCTGTTCAGGGTCCTGTTGGTTCCAGACTTGGTGCATTGGTACCGCCTGCCGTGCGGTAGCAGAGAGAACAGTCTGTGGCTTGGGTGGCTGGAGTCTTTGAACATTTGTTGGCCCTTCCTCTGACACCACCTGGTTTAGAGGTCCTACACTCTGAAAAGAAAACATTCCTGGTATCCTTTAGGGGTTCTTCAAATTGAAACTGTGGGGGATCCCCTATAAGTTATTCAAAGAACCCTTTTTTTGTGTGTAATTTTTACCTCCCTTTTTCTCGCCAATTTCGTGATTTACGATCTTGTCTCATCGCTGCAACTCCCCAATGGGCTCGGGAGAGGTGAAGGTCGAGTTATGCGTCCTCCGAAACATGACCCTTCAAACCGCGCTTCTTAACACACTTAACCCGGAAGCCAGCTGCACCAATGTGTCAGAGGAAACACTGTTCAACTGACGACCAAAGATAGCCTGCAGGCGCCTGGTCCGCCACAAGGAGTCGCTAGAGCACGATGAGCCAAGTAAAGCCCCCCTCCTGGCCAAACCTTACCCTAACCCGGTCAACGCTGGGCCAATTGTGTGCCACCCTATGGGACTCCCGGTCACAGCCGGTAATGACATTGCCTGGGATCGAACCCCAGGCTGTATTGACGCCGCAACACTGTGATGCAGTGCCTTAGACCGCTGCGCCACTCGGGAGGTCCAAAGAACCCCTTTTAATGGATCCTCAAATAACCTTTTGAATAACTACCCCCCCCCCCATTATTATTATTATTAATAATAATAATAATAATACGCATAACAATAACAACAATAACACAATATTTTAGTTGTCAGTGTTTATTATGATTTTAGTGGCAAAGCAGAATTAAAACATCCAAATATGAGGTAAACTCCCAGCAGAGCTCCAAGTCCAATGGGTATATCCTCTGGCGTGTTGATGTTCTCCGTATCCATACACAGAATGATTTTGCAGTGCATGGTGATCGAACAGGTTTCCTGTTATATTCATCAGAGGTGTAGGGAGGGTGAAGTCTGTGAATCCCCAAAATAGCAATTATACAGATGATTAACAAATGACAGTATTCATACCTTGGTTTTTGTGGTAAATGTGAATGAAAAAAACTGTTTTGATAATGGTTTTCATACACATACCTTGTCCATAATGTAGAGGCCTATGGGATATTAATTGAAGAGGTAAGGGAAGAGGATGGTAAATGTGATCAGCATAACATACCAATACCAATTGACATACCTTTGTATGCCTCCTCGTCTGTAAATCTGCAGACACAGACACAAAAGTGAGCAGTTAAGTCATCTGCACCCAATACAGCTAGCCTTCAACATATTCTTATAGCCTACATATTCTTACCTATTTGTTGATTGATATCCATTGAATTATGTACATGTTCTGTTTAAGAAAGATTTGCACAAATATGAAAAGATAGATGGTATCATCGTAAAAAAATATCAATTCCAAGGGACAAACCTTACCCTAAATTGAGATCTTTCAATTTTTTCAGTTACAGTGGGGAAAAAAAGTATTTAGTCAGCCACCAATTGTGCATGTTCTCCCACTTAAAAAGATGAGAGAGGCCTGTAATTTTCATCATAGGTACACGTCAACTACGACAGACAAAATGAGGAAAAAAAATCCAGAAAATCACATTGTAGGATTTTTAATGAATTTATTTGCAAATTATGGTGGAAAATAAGTATTTGGTCAATAACAAAAGTTTCTCAATACTTTGTTATATACCCTTTGTTGGCAATGACACAGGTCAAACGTTTTCTGTAAGTCTTCACAAGGTTTTCACACACTGTTGCTGGTATTTTGGCCCATTCCTCCATGCAGATCTCCTCTAGAGCAGTGATGTTTTGGGGCTGTCGCTGGGCAACACGGACTTTCAACTCCCTCCAAAGATTTTCTATGGGGTTGAGATCTGGAGACTGGCTAGGCCACTCCAGGACCTTGAAATGCTTCTTACGAAGCCACTCCTTCGTTGCCCGGGCGGTGTGTTTGGGATCATTGTCATGCTGAAAGACCCAGCCACGTTTCATCTTCAATGCCCTTGCTGATGGAAGGAGGTTTTCACTCAAAATCTCACGATACATGGCCCCATTCATTCTTTCCTTTACACGGATCAGTCGTCCTGGTACCTTTGCAGAAAAACAGCCCCAAAGCATGATGTTTCCACCCCCATGCTTCACAGTAGGTATGGTGTTCTTTGGATGCAACTCAGCATTCTTTGTCCTCCAAACACGACGAGTTGAGTTTTTACCAAAGAGTTCTGTTTTGGTTTCATCTGACCATATGACATTCTCCCAATCCTCTTCTGGATCATCCAAATGCACTCTAGCAAACTTCAGACGGGCCTGGACATGTACTGGCTTAAGTAGGGGGACACGTCTGGCACTGCAGGATTTGAGTCCCTGGCGGCGTAGTGTGTTACTGATGGTAGGCTTTGTTACTTTGGTCCCAGCTCTCTGCAGGTCATTCACTAGGTCCCCCCGTGTGGTTCTGGGATTTTTGCTCACCGTTCTTGTGATCATTTTGACCCCACGGGGTGAGATCTTGCGTGGAGCCCCAGATCGAGGGAGATTATCAGTGGTCTTGTATGTCTTCCATTTCCTAATAATTGCTCCCACAGTTGATTTCTTTAAACCAAGCTGCTTACCTATTGCAGATTCAGTCTTCCCAGCCTGGTGCAGGTCTACAATTTTGTTTCTGGTGTCCTTTGACAGCTCTTTGGTCTTGGCCATAGTGGAGTTTGGAGTGTGACTGTTTGAGGTTGTGGACAGGTGTCTTTTATACTGATAACAAGTTCAAACAAATGCCATTAATACAGGTAACGAGTGGAGGACAGAGGAGCCTCTTAAAGAAGAAGTTACAGGTCTGTGAGAGCCAGAAATCTTGCTTGTTTGTAGGTGACCAAATACTTATTTTCCACCATAATTTGCAAATCAATTCATTAAAAATCCTACAATGTGATTTTCTGGAGAAAAAAATTCTCAATTTGTCTGTCATAGTTGACGTGTACCTATGATGAAAATTACAGGCCTCTCTCATCTTTTTAAGTGGGAGAACTTGCACAATTGGTGGCTGACTAAATACTTTTTTTCCCCACTGTAAGTGCCTGCACCTGCTGTCCTTTCAAATTCAAATCCAAATGTTTCAGTTGGGCAGTTAGGTTATTGCAAGAAGCCCCACCAACTAAGGAGGTTCCTCAATGAACCCCACCTCCTATGAGGTTCTTGGAATAACCTTTTGTGGGCAATTTTCAGTGCCAAGAACACTAAGGTTCTTCAAAGAACTTTAAGGATCTTAGAATAACTATTGTTGAACCCCTAATTTTTAGAGTGTAGATGGCAGGGAGCTCATCCCCAGTGATGTACTGGGCCGAACACACTACCCTCTGTAGCACCTTGAGGTCAGATGCCAAGCAGTTGCCATACCAAGAGGTGATGCAGCCAAGATTATCTCGATGGTGCAGCTGTATATCTTTTTGAGGATCTGAGGGCCCATTCCAAATCTTTTCAGCCTCCTGAGGGGGAAGAGGTGTTGTCGTGCCCTCTTCACGACTATGTTGGTGTGTTTGGACCATGATAGATTCTTAGTGATGTGGACAACCGAGGAACTTGAAGCTCTCGACCCGCTCTACTACAACCTCGTCGATGTGAATGGGGGCGTGCTCGGCCCCTCCGTTTCCTGTAGTCCACGATCAGCTCCTTTGTCTTACTGATGTTGAAGGAGAGGTTGTTGTCCTGGCACCACACTGCCAGGTCTCTGACCTCCTCCCTATAGGCTGTCTCATCATCGTTGGTGATCAGGCCTACCACCGTCGTGTTGTCGGAAAACTTAAAGATTGTTTTGGAGTCATGCGCGGCCACGCAGTCGTTGGTGAACAGGGAGTACAGTAGGGGACTAAACATGCACCCCTGAGGAGCCCCCGTGTTGAGGGTCAGCGTGGCGGATGTGTTGTAGCCTACCCTCACCACCTGGGGGCGGCCCGTCAGGAAGTCCAGGATCCAGTTGCAGAGGGAGGTGTTCAGTCCCAGGGACCTTAGCTTAATGATGAGCTTGGAGGGCACTATGGTGTTGAATGCTGAGCTCTAGTCAATGAACAGCATTCGCATGTGTTCCTTTTGTCCAAGTGGGAAAGGGCAGTGTGGAGTGCAATCTACAATTCTAGATAATTCACCTGTAGTGTAGCTAGCTGTAGGCCACTGAACATTACCAAAGCAATTTACAAACCCATCTCTGCCATTACTCAGAATAGTTGTTTTTCCTATTCTAGCCACTGGAGGGCAGCAGAGGGAGCGATCTACCGGGCGTTACTACTGACAATCGGCGATGACTCTCCTCACATTCTGCATCTGAGTGGAGGAGAGAGCGAGAGGCTGGAACTTCCTGTGTGCAATCTCTGTTCACCCGTTTTACATACTGTACACAGGAATATTTTCGGAGCTGCAAAGTGAGAAGGAGGGAGTGTATGGCTATTTAGAGAGAAAGTCCTCAGTGCAGAATTAGTAAATGCAGATTGTTTACATCAGTTGGAGAAGCTTTTCCTTCTTCTGCGCATTGTGGCGACGGTTGCCTCGACTCACCCTCGCCGCAGATAGCGTCAGTGGAGCTGGCCATGGGGCCGTGATACAGCCCGGGCCCTGACGGAGGATCTGCGTTGCATGAGAAAAGGAACATTATTTACTTTCCTGACTGCTGCATGAAACAAGAGCGATATCAAGGAAAAAACGGCTTTTTTCTAACTGAAATATTGTTCCAAGACAATTGCATGATCTGATATTTGAGGGAGTGTGTTGATGTGCCGACCAAGCTGACCGAGATTATTATGGCTGTTCTAAAACTCGTCGAGCAGGTAGCTATGCCAATTTGACTAATAATTAACATTTAGTTGTTTCTAGATGGTCTATAAGCATTACCATTGTGGTTACTCTATTGATAAAGAAATGCGTAAGTAAGTCCTATTTCCTGGGCAAGCAGAATGTTTTTGTAAACGTTGCATTTGAGAAATTATTCTCATGCATTGCATGCAAGCGAGAGGAAATTGTTTTTCTGGTGCCCATAAGGAACAGATGTGGTCCGCTACGCGAGCGAGGTGTGCTTGGCATCTTGCGCAGTGAATGAAATTGTGCGGTGTGTTATCGCATTTTATAGATGCCTTTGCAGTATTTCTTTAGTTATTTGTTCTGTTCAACTTTTTAAAATTAGGACAACGGATTCGGGGTTACTTAACTCCTGAGTGGCGCAGTGGTCTAAGGCACTGCATCGCAGTGCTAACTGTGCCACTAGAGATCCTGGTTCGAATCCAGGCTCTGTCGCAGCCGGCCGCGACCGGGAGACTCATGGGCGGCGCACAATTGGCCCAGCGTCGTCCAGGGTAGGGGAGGGAATGGCCGGCAGGGATGTTGATAGAGCATGGCGTTTGCAACGCCAGGGTTGTGGGTTCGTTTCCCACGGGGGGCCAGTATAAAAAGATATGTATTCACTAACTGTAAGTCGCTCTGGATAAGAGCGTCTGCTAAATGACTAAAATGTAATGTAAATGTTACTTCCTGCTGGCTCTCCTGCTGAAGAAGCTGTACCCTGGTTGTATCACTGCCACCGGAATTTAGCTGTGAATTCCTTTATCGTGTTCTAATTATAATGTTACTGTGTGCTCCTGTTATGATATTTCAAGTTGATACATGTTACACTCTCTCTGGCTACTTTTACTCTCTCCATTTTGTCTAAAGACAGTGTTCTGCATTTTGGGCTTGCCTAATCAAGTTCCACATTTCTTTCTTCCTCCTAAATTATAAATACATTATAGTCAGCAAGAAGAGTAGGATGTTGAGAAAAATGGCCTACTTGTGTCACTTAACTTCAAACTTCACCATCAGAGCATATACTATATTTTTACAGCCATTGGCCACAATGCAATGTTTCTGGCACCACACGCATATCTGAGAGGTTGTTCACCATGTAGGGGGCTGTTTTCGTTCTAGAGGTGCTGAGTGGCAGGGTCAAGGGGATAATAATAAAACCTCTACAGAGGTCAAACAAAAAACATACATTTCAAAGTTTAAAGGTCCAATGCAGCCGTTTTTATCTCAAATCATTTCTGGGTAACAATTAAGTACCTTAATGTGATTGTTTTCAATGAAAATTGTCAAAAATAAAAAAATAGCTTCTTAGGAAAGGGCAATTTCTCAAGCAAGAATTGAACTGTCTGGACATGGTCTGAGTGGGGTGGGGAAAACAGAAAACTAGCTGATATTGGCAGAGGTTTGGAATTCTCTTTCTTATTGGTCTTTTAACTAATTTACCGCATGGTGATGTCACCATGGAAGGCCATAACTCCATCCCATCAAAACTTTTCAACCAGCTCTTACATTAAAAGGGCGTTATAATAATTGTCACAATTTCACAGTATTATTCCAACCTCAGAGTGTGGAAATATATATATATATATATATATATATATATATATATATATATATATATATATATATAAATAACACAGGAAAATCATGTGTTTGACTGCACTGGGCCTTTAACAAACCATACAACTCTATGCTCAATGACTACTTTGAACAATTTACACAGTAAAAAATAACATTTACTTAAATTGTGCAGACGCCAAGTTTGGTAACAGAATTACAGTAAAGTCTCCCTCAGTTGTATTCTGTTACCAAACTTTGTATCTGCACAGTACCTCCTATGAATGTGTTTTAGTAACATTTTAGAAATTGTTAAAAGTAGTAATTTTGCATAGAGTTCTATGATTTGTGAAACTTTGAAATCAATGGTTTTTGTTTGGTATACATTTTAAAGTGATGAATCTGAGTCTCAGTGTAATTCCATTAACATGGAATTGCCCGTATGCATAATGGGTCAACTTTGAGTACCTCTAGCTCCTGATTGTTCTGGTATTGAGGTCCAAAATGGCACTTTCTGACCACTTCTACCATGGGCAAACATGTATGGAAGGTTTCGTTTAAATCAAAAGGGGTGTGGTCAGAAAGTGATTTAAATCATATGGAACCACCCAACGGATGTGTATGTTTGCAGAGAGATTATAGAAGTGTACGGCTGTGTCGGCTGTATGTGTGTGTGTGTGTACTGTCCAGTAGGTGTCTTGTCCAGTGTAATCCCTCTTCTGTGTTAAAGGAAAGGGACAGGAAGTTATTGGGTCTTAACACCCCCTCCCCTTTTCTTCATTTTTCTTCTTACTGGATCCCCACTGGTTGTTCGTCTGTGTGTGTGTGCGCATCTGTGTGTGGGTTTGTTCAGAAGGGGGGCTGAAGGGTGCTCATGAGATGTTGTCTTTCCTGTTTTCTTCCTCTTCTTGTTTTGAATGCTGCTGGGCTTCCTGAATTGAGATAGCAATATCTACTTAACAGGTGAAACGCCTACACGACCCATATATGTGCGTTTGCTGTCACACACACACACACACACACACACACATACACACACAGAGAGAGAGACAGACAAACAGACTTATCTTTTCCCTTTCTCTCTCTGTGAGGCGCTGCCAACAGTGAGGGAAGGAGAGAGAAACACAGTCAAGCACAGCATGGTTTTAATTCTGCAATTCACTTATAGTGGGACATCATCGGCATCAGCAGCTTTTCATTTTGGAGCTGTGCTGTGAGGGTGGAGATTCAGATCTGTTCTGTACCCTCGGGCACCAATTGCAATGCGGCTCTGATTATTCACCATCCTTATGTTATGGAAGAAAAATCGCAGAAAAGCCCAAAAAGTGCTTTTGTGTGTGTGTCAGTGTGCACATGCATGGACGCACCAGATTGCATGTGTGTTTGCAGATTAAAGAATGAAAACAGAGTTTTTATCAGATTCAGGAATTTTGTGTAGGATGAGGTCAACACATAGAGAGAGATTGAAGGGGAAACCGGGGGGAAACATCCATTTGTTTTGTCAAATGCCGGGGACCCCTCTTGGTTCCATTGGGACTCTTTGAGACGGGACTAGTTGATTTAAGACGCTGGCCCTAAGGGTGTTCTAAATGTAGACAAGGAAGAGGCCACTCTCCTATTGGACAAAGGGGTAGTTTTGAGAACATTCATTGGCCCTTGGAGTCAGGGGAGGGAGGAGGATGAGGGTAGTGTGCTGTGCCTGTGCTGCAGCAACAATGGGCTCAGTGTTAGAGGTTTTTGGTTTGCCTGGAGGGGTGGTGGTGTGGGGTTGGGGAATGTCCTCATTCAGGACGGCTGCTTGCTTTCAGCCAGGACCCCCCCCCCCCCCCCCCCTTCTCCCCTCCCCCCAACCCTTAGTAGCACTGTCCCCCAAATCCCCAGTGCAATTACAAAAAGTGACAGACACCAGCTTTGTGACCAGTAGGTGATGCCAGCTGTTTATGTGAGTGTGTGAGTACTTGAAAGAGACAGCAAAAAACAAGGCAATATGCTGCCAAGTGCTCTCTCATCTCTGTTTTAAAGGCACAGCTCTTCTCTTAAACTTTGCCTCAACTTCTTGTGTGATTGTGAACCATATTTAGCCTAACTATACTCTTTAAGGACTTGTGTCGCCCACATGGCCACACATATCCTGCTATTAGTTGCATTTCCTGTCTTAGTAGAGTGAAATTAGTTATGGGTGTGGGGGTGCGAGAAAAGGCGGGAAAATGCTCTGAATCAATCCATAAAGAGGAGAGCCCCATTCCCATAAATCACTACTCCTCTGGCAGTGGCCAGTGGGGTTGTTTAGATCCCCATGGGAAAGCTGGGATGTGGGGAGGCTGTAGTGTTTTATGCTGTGGCCTGCCCGCCTCTGTCTCTCCACCTGCTGTTTCATATAGGCCTACACATTTTCTGTGCAGGTCCTTGCAGATTATAGGATCAGTAGTCTAGTGTGTGGGTGTGTGTGGCCTGGAAGCGGAACTGAAAATGCAGAGTTAGCTAGGCTTCCTCTCTGCGTGTCGATTCTGAGAAGGTGACAGAGTGTTACAGGAAGTCAGGCGGTGAGGTGGAGGAGGCACAGGAAGTCAAGATGCAGCAACATGGTCTGGTCTTACTGTAGTACATAGGGCTCAGCCAGTCAGTGCTCCGACTCAATCCTCTTCCTGTGTCTCATTAACTTTTATGTTGTATGTAACTAACAGGCTGTGGAAACAATTTCCCTCTCAGTCATCATCACATGACGAGGGCCTGCTCTGCAGCACCCAGGAACAGCTTCAATATGGAACCAGTCTGTCTCGGTCTCTGAACCATGTCTCCCCTTGTCTGTCACAAAGACTTAGGGCTAGAAAGGTCCTGTTCGGATACTTTAAGAACTGGGCACCCTTCTTTCCTCCCTTCCTTGAGGGTAATCGCTGATCTGTGTGTTCTTGGATAAAAAGAAGGCAGAGTTTCCATTACATTGCTTTCACCAATCCTGGCCAGATCAGTGACTAGTGACTTTCAAAGGGGAGGGGTAGGTAGGGGTATCTCAACATTCTAGGGCCTTCCTGCTTGCCTGTTCAAGGAAGGATGGAAGGAATTCATCTATTCTACAGCCTAAAAGTATTAGAACATCACCATTACTCATTATGGTCGGCCAGCCCCCATCATGTCCTGGCCAGTCCCCATCATGTCCTGGCCAGTCCCCATCATGTCGTGGCAAGTCCCCATCATGTCCTGGCCAGTCCCCATCATGTCGTGTCCAGTCCCCATCATGTCGTGTCCAGTCCCCATCATGTCCTGGCCAGTCCCCATCATGTCGTGTCCAGTCCCCATCATGTCCTGGCCAGTCCCCATCATGTCCTGGCCAGTCCCCATCATGTCGTGTCCAGTCCCCATCATGTCGTGTCCAGTCCCCATCATGTCCTGGCCAGTCCCCATCATGTCCTGGCCAGTCCCCATCATGTCGTGTCCAGTCCCCATCATGTCCTGGCCAGTCCCCATCATGTTGTTTCCAGTCAGTTAGCCCTTTCTGCTGTGTTTCTCAGAAAGCTGACTGAGCGTGCTGATCTAAGGCCTAGTACTGATTGACTCTGATCATTTGTGCCTGCATGCCGGCGATGTCCGGGACCTTCATTTAGGTCGGAGAGAGAGGCAGGAGAGACTATTTGGACTTGGGCACTGTGACCTCACTCACTAGACTAAGATAATGGCCTCTAAATGCTGCTGTACTGTTTGTTCCCTTGTGGAGTTGGAGGACTTTTATATCCCTCTATTTGTAAATAACCTCATACAGTTGTCTTATAAAATCCACCACAGTCTTAACTACACAACTAGGCCTATATCAAATGTAGACCTACAGTGTCTCACTCAGACACTCACTTCTCCAGCTTTTTAAAAACAGATTGAAGCATCACACAGCTGCTCATTTACAAGCATTTCGCTACACCTGCAATAACATCTGCTAAATATGTGTATGTGACCAATAAAATTGTATTTGATGTTGGCAATGCTCTAATTCCATACCGTGGGAAGGACCTCTCCCCCTCTTGCCTTGTTTACACACAGCTGATAAATCTGATATCTTGAGATTTATTTTAGGGTGACTGTTTAGACACGTATTGGAGATAGACTTGATCAGTATTTGGGGAGACTTGCATTGTCCCTGCTTGTGTTTGGGACATGCATGGCGTTTGCAACGCCAGGGTTGTGGGTTCGATTCCCACTGGGGGCCAGTATGAAAAAAAAGTATAAAAAAATAATGTATGCACTCACTAACTGTAAGTCGCTCTGGATAAGAGCGTCTGCTAAATGACTCAAATGTAAATGTAATGTATCCACTTGATGTTTGAATGTCATATGAGGGCAATAAAGGTTTCCTCTACTGTTCTATTATTAGGCTTGTAGGATTGGTGAACGACCTTGGATCTATAGAGGAGGATTAGTGAATGACCCCAGAGTCTGACCCCTTCTCCTCTCTCTCTTCTCCCTCAGCCTCCGCTGGTTCAGGCCATCTTCAATGGAGACCCTGAGGAGATACGTATGCTCATCTACAAATCGGAAGACATCAACGCTCTGGTAAGACCACTAGACATGTTCCATTCACCGTACTTCCATGCTCTAGAGCACGCAAACGGAGCACGGGTACTGTTTCCCCTCTTGGTCCGAGGCCCAGGGGTCGGGTCAGTATGGGCAAAAGGTCAAAGGTCAAACCTATGTTTATTTACAACAGCCCAGAGATATTCTTAATGGCTCCAGCAGGACAGGACATGGGCTGGTCCCAACCTTTGTTCTCTTTATTCACGGGTTATTTAGTCTCCTATGGGCAGTTGACTGCTATCAGAGGCTCTACAATGAGAAAGCTGTCAGTAACCAGGCTTCCATCCAACCTTTTTATGCCAGTAAAGTAAATGTTGGATAAAACATGTCACGACAGGCCTGATGGAAACAGGACATTTGACGGTAAACTTTCCAAATGTCGACAAAACAAAATATGCTTGACAAGGTGGGAACTTTTTGTGTCTGTAAAATTAATTCAGTGAGTAATGGCGGTGGAAACGCTTTTATTCGCAAATATTGATATAATAACCATAATATTGAAGTAAACTTGCAGTCACGCAGTAATATGTTGTGTGGTCCGCTACGACTCGGGAAAGCACACACTTTATTAGGCTACAGATTAAATAAGGTATGATGAACTTCACAGGGTGATGAGCTTGATGCGCCTTTCCAATAAATATCGAGGGTCTTATTCTGGTGACATGGTGATCGATACTTGGCTGCCGTTTGACAAATAAAAATAATCTTGCTCTTTTGTCCATAATAATCTCATCATGTAGGCTATACCCGCACCGTATCTGCCAGCTGTTGGCTAGTGCACACATGCCAAAACCAGAGTGGGCACATTTGGTATACAGTATAACACAACATATTATGTGACAAAACCATCAGTAGAGTTGAAGATGCGATGGAAACCCATTTACCTTGTATTTTTTATTCAGTACATGGGAATTTAACCGCAGAAGTTATTTTATGTGCACATCACGCACAGCCTTTTATCCGCAACAAGTCAATTTGATGCAAACACGTCTCTGGTGGGAAAATTTGCATATTGTTTTTATGCGGATTTTAGAATATTCACATGAAAATATGTCGCCATTGGATGTAAACATAGCTATTTTACAGTTTAGATGTGTTTTTTGTTTGAGAGGCAGTGGAGGGCCGGGCCGGCTGGATTTGAGGGGTTGTTTTGTCTCTGGTAATGTTTGCCTTGCCATTGTAGATGGAGTGGGGTTGGGCTCTTTGGCCTAACTCTGCCTAAAATATCTGACTTCAGTTGGTTTGAACTGGAAAATAATTGTACCAGTGGCCCTGGATGTTGTCCACATACAGATCAGATATATGGGCTAATAAAGCTCCCTACCTCTCTCCATCTCTCTCCGTCAGGATGCAGATAAGCGCACCCCGCTCCACGCTGCAGCCTTCCTGGGTGATGCTGAGATCACTGAGCTTCTCATCCTCTCCGGTAAATAAACTCTCTCTCCTCTCTCCTCTCTCCTCTCTCTCCTCTCTCTCTCTCACACAATATCCCCTGCTTTACAGCCTTAGTGAAAAAAAAAAAAAAGATTTATATGGTTACAATGTATGGAGTAGAAAGTAGCTTTTATCACAGATTGTTTGGACAATGTGGCTCCAAGATCTTTCATTTTCCCTCCCTGCTAATGCCAGATTGCCTCTCTATCTATCTCTCTCCGTCTCTATCTCTAGGGGCACGGGTCAACGCCAAAGACAGCATGTGGCTCACCCCTCTCCACCGCGCTGTGGCGTCCCGCAGTGAGGTAGGTCGGTGGATACACACACACACACACTGCATGGGATGTACTCATGTGTGAGTGTACTGTGGCCCTGACACACACTCACACACACGCATTTCTCATGACATACAGTGACAGGCCAAACAGCATGGCGACACATTCTTAGGGCCCCATGCTGAGACACAGGTGGTAAGATGCTAAACCAAGCCTAAGCTGCCCAGCAGGATCTGTGGTAGAGAGGAGAGGAGAGCACACTCGGCTACAATCACCAGCCTGACCATCGTCCACCACTCTCTGCTCTGAGAGCCAGTCAGTCAGTAGCACATTCAGCATAGAAACCAGAACCATATCCATAGCAGAGCCGTATCAATTTATCAACACAGCCAACACAAATCTCTGTGTCAGTCCCCTGGAGTAAACTGGTAATTCAACATGGCTAGGATAGTTTAGGATTGACTGACTCACTCACTAATGTGTGGGCCTGTGTATGAACTATTAATATGTGCATCTCGGTTTATGTCTAGTTGTTGAATGTTTGCGTCTCTGTTTACAGAGGCATGTACATTCATGAATGTTTAAAGGCATTTCCTGTATACATGTTCTTCTCTCTATGCTGCTTACGGAACACACACACACACACACATTGTACTGTCTCTACTCTCCTCACACGTCTCATGCTGTTCTAACACTGGTCTACAGGAGGCGGTTCGCGTGCTGATCCGTCACTCTGCTGACGTGAATGCGCGGGATAAGAACTGGCAGACGCCGCTTCACGTTGCCGCGGCCAACAAGGCCCTGCGCTGCGCTGAGGTCATCATCCCCCTGCTGAGCAGCGTCAACGTGTCGGACCGCGGGGGGCGCACCGCCCTGCACCACGCCGCCCTCAACGGGCACACTGAGGTACTACAGACTGGGGGATCACATATTTTATTTATATCTCTTATGTACATCCATACAAATGCCCAATTCAGGAAGTGAAATGCAATCAACCCCTAGTGAGACAATCGCCTAGGGCCTAGGCACTCCATGTATACTGAACAAAAATATAAACGCAACGTGCAACAATTTCAAAGATTTTACTGAGTTACAGTTCATATAAGGATATCAGTCATTTGAAATGAATTTATTAGGCCTTAATCTATGGATTTCACATGACTGGGAATACAGATATGCATCTGTTGGTCACAAATAGGGCTGTGGATCAGAAAACCAGTCAGTATCTGGTGTGACCACCATTTGCCTCATGCAGCGCGACACATCTTCTTCGCATAGAGTTGATTAGTCTGTTAATTGTGTAATGTTGTCCCACTCCTCTTCAATGGCTGTGCGAAGTTGCTGGATATTTGCGGGAACTGAAACACGCTGTCGTACACGTCGATCCAGAGCATCCCAAACATGCTCAATGGGTGACATGTCTGGTGAGTTTGCAGGCCATGGAAGAACTGGGACATGTTCAGCTTCCAGGAATTGTGTACAGACCCTTGCGACATGGGGCCGTGCAATATCATGCTGAAACATGAGGTGATGGCGGCGGATGAATGGCACGACAATGGGCCTCAGGATCTCGTCACAGTATGTGCATTCAAATTGCCATCGATAAAATGCAATTGTGTTCGTTGTCCGTAGTTTATGCCTGCCCATACCATAACCCCACCGCCACCATGGGGCACTCTGTTCACAACGTTGACATCAGCAAACCCCTCACCCATATGATGCCATATCAGCGGTTGTGAGGCCAGTTGGACGTACTGGCAAATTCTCTAAAACGACGTTGGATGCGGCTTATGGTAGAGAAATAAACATTCAATTATTTGGCAACAGCTCTGGTGGACATCCCTACAGTCAGCATGCCAATTGCACGCTCCCTCAAAACTTGAGACATCTGTGGCATTGTGTTGTGTGACCAAACTGCATATTTTAGAATGGCCTTTAATTGTCCCCAGCACAAGGTGCACCTGTGTAATGATCATGCTGTTTAATCAGCTTCTTGATATGCCACACCTGTCAGGTGGATGGATTATCTTGGCAAATGAGAAATGCTCACTAACAGGGATGTAAACAAATTTGTGCACAACATTTGAGAGAAATATGCTTTTTGTGTTTATGGAAAATGTCTGGGATCTTTTATTTCAGCTCATGAAACATGGGACCAACACTTTACATGTTGCGTTTATATTTTTGTTCGTTGTAGATCTGAAAGACTTGGATAGAGGTGTAGGAAATATGGTAATGGTGCCATCTTGCCCTCTGAATGGCTAGTGAGTGACGACAACTGTATTTAAATATTTTTGCCCACACAAGCAGCATAATAGGTAGTAAAGGTAAAGTTACACAGGCACATATTTGAATAGTTGTTTTTGCTTAAATACTAGTCTGATTTACATATTTAGAATGGTTACATAAAGAGCCTCGCCCACTCTTGGCCCTCCGAAGTACACACACACAGACCTGACTCACCACTGAAACACACCGCTCACACACTCCCCTCTCCCTCCTTTCCACTTTCTTTCTGTCTCTCACTATCTTTTTCCCCTCTCCATTTCAGATGGTTAACCTGCTACTGGCTAAGGGAGCCAACATTAATGCCTTCGATAAGAAAGATGGCCGCGCCCTGCACTGGGCAGCATATATGGGTGAGACATATAGACATTATAGAGTGTACCTCTCTGTACCAAGTCTGCTTCAGGCATTCAGATCTTTATATGTGAAATGGAAATAGTATGAGTCATCTAATAGTCAGAAAACAGAGCCAAACAACATTGGTTGGTTTATTGTGGGATTACTCATATTGCTGAACATTTGATGGAAACATTATGGTTTTGAATGGTGACTTTCTTGTAAGATTACTGATGTTGCTAAACATTTGTAAGTGGAGGACTGTACATTGAGTGTGCTATGGTGTGCCCCCTGCAGGTCATCTGGATGTAGTGTGTCTGCTGGTCAGCCAGGGGGCAGAGGTCAGCTGTAAGGATAAACGTGGTTACACTCCACTACACACGGCCGCTTCTAATGGTCAGATCGCTGTGGTCAAACACCTACTCAACCTGGCCGTGGAGGTATGAAGAAATGGACGCATGCACACAAACACACGCGCGCGCACACACACATAATGTGGAATGTTGACTTGCTCTCCGCTCCTCTGTGACTGCAGATAGATGAGGCCAATGCGTTTGGTAACACAGCTCTGCACGTGGCATGTTTCAACGGTCAGGATGCTGTGGTCAGTGAGCTGATAGACTACGGGGCTAACGTCAGCCAGCCCAACAACAAGGGTTTCACCCCACTGCACTTCGCTGCAGCCTCCACCCACGGAGCCCTCTGTCTGGAGTTCCTAGTCAACAACGGGGCTGACGTCAACGTCCAGGTGGGGATAGACGCTGTTTCTGTCTGGGAGAGAATTAATGCTATGACTAGCTTGGTTTCCATCTTATACATAATCTCATCATGTACCCTCTGCACTGTATCTACCAGCTGTTGGCTGGAGCGCATCTGCCAAGACCAGAGTTGCCACATTTGCTGTTTATCACAGACTAATATGAGGATTTTACCAGCAGCGGTATGTTTCCATCAAACTGGCTTCTTGTGAATTAAAAGCTGTGCACAATGATATAGTGCACATGATGAGATTATGTATAAGAGCGAGATCATTTTTATTTGTCAATTGGGAGCCAATCACCGATCATCATGTCACCAGAATACAAATGAAGACCCTTAATATTTATCGGAAAGGAGCATCAAGCTCATCACCGTGTACTTTCACCACCCTGTGAAGTTCATCATAACTTATTTCATCTGTAACCTAATAAACTGTGCGTGCTTTTCAAAGTTGTAGCAGGAGGACCATACAACATAGCATCATGTTTCTGCAAGTTTACTGTGACATGGTTATTCTATCAACTGCCATTTGTCGAGTGATGTATTTCACCTTCCCAAAAATTCTCCACCCCTGTGTAATTCTCCAGCCCTATTTTGTTCTGTTGACATTTAAAGATGCACTATGCCGAAATCGCTCCGCCATTTCCTGGTTGCAAAAATTGTAATACAGTAGTTCACTTCATTTCAGTTTGGCAAAACAAGCAAGTATAATGTAGAGAATCATTGTACCATCTAAACAGCTGTGAAATATATTTTCCATAACCTAAAATATTGTATTTTCAGCTGTTTGAAGCTGGTGTACAAAACCGAAAGTAAAAGACGCAAAAACAAAACTTAAGACTTTCAATGAGAATGACAGATCTATAACACAAATTTCTATGTGAATTTGGTCGGGTCGCCCAAAAAGTAACATATTGCAGCTTTAAGGAAAGTTTACCGGCAATTGCTGTTTCCATCAGGCCTGTCATTAGTTTTTTTTATCCGACAGGTACTTTACTCGCATAAAAATAGTTGGATGGAAACCTGGTTACTGACTGTCTCTGGATCTGTCTTTCTCTGACTGACTCTCCTGTTAGTCTTTATTTCAGTCTATTCCACTGCTGGTATCACTCCCATCTTTTTTCTCTCTCTCAGAGTCGGGATGGGAAGAGCCCCCTCCACATGACAGCGGTCCACGGCCGCTTTACTCGCTCCCAGACACTCATCCAGAATGGTAAGACGTGTGTGTGTGTGTGAGTTCACAAGGATTATTGTAATTGTCCTTATTGACTAAACTGTGCTTACTGTACTGTAGGTGGTGAGATTGACAGTGTGGACAAGGATGGAAACACTCCTCTTCACATCGCTGCTCGCTATGGTCACGAGCTCCTCATTAACACACTCATCACCAGCGGAGCCGACTGCACAAGGTGTGTGTGTGTGTGTGCGCACGTGGGGGAATGGATGCTTGGATCCCTTTTCTTTCACTTGTTTTGGTGTAATATATAGCGGTACAGTATGTATTTATAGTAAAGACCTCTTTCTCTCTCTCTCTGCAGACGAGGGGTCCATGGTATGTTCCCTCTGCACCTAGCTGCTATGAACGCCCACTCAGACTGCTGCCGGAAGCTGCTCTCCTCAGGTAACCTACCAGCACCGGCACAAAGCCATTGGCTGTGTGTACTCTGTTTCACCCTCTTCCTTGGACAAAGAACAGGAATGTCTTATTGCTGCTTTCCAGTCCTGAATTCCTCAACAGGGGAACTATTCAGCCTTGGTCAGATTGGAGTCACATTGTTCCTCTGACAGCAATACAAGGCAATGGGCCTGCAAACACAGACAGGCATTGGGCCAGCATACAGAGATGGTCTGATCAGGCATTGCTAGCTGTTTCTCTCCTTGCAGACAAGAATTTGTCTAAGCTAGTGCTCCTCTTGAAATAAGAGACCTGATTGTTTGATAGATACTGGCAAACTTCTATCTAGAGACAATTTTGGCTCTAGTCTGGAAATCTCAGGCTCTGTTTGAAAGGATCTGTGCAGTTTCACTTGACTGTGGGGTCAGACCCATATGGTAGGGGGAAACTGAGCTCTGTGAGGGCTCTGAGGCCGCTACTGTAGGAAAACAACAAAGGAAGGCCTTTGATGTTGAGTGATTTACATGAGCTGGAGCACTCAGTGCAGCTGCACAGTTTTATTTGTGCTGAGGAGACAGCCGGCTTGAACCACAGGGTTAGAGGGGTGGTTTAAGGGCAATATTCATAGCCTTCAGTATCCATAGCTGTTAACCCCCCTCCCCCTTTACTGACTACAATGGTTTGACCCAGCATACCCAGATTCTAGGCAGGACCAACGTGTGATGGGGATTCAAATAGAACTCTGCACGAAACAGTCCTTAACTCATAGCATGCTTCCCCTGCCTACACTCTTTCTCACTTCCTCTGTTTTGTGTGCTTTCAGAGTAGAAGTATGTGTAGAAGTAAGAGTATTAGATTATATCTCAGCCTGCCTGTCTCTCACTTTACCTCACATTGTAACCCTGTGTGTTTTCTAGCCTGCCTGTCTCTCACCTTGTAATCCTATGTGTTTTCCTGCATTAACACCTGTCTCTTTCTCCACCTCCCTGTCCCATGTGTCTCTCCCACTTTCTTCCACTGTCTTCCTTGCTATGTGGCTGTATGTTGCCTCCCTCCCTCTCTCCCTGTGTACGTCACCCCCTTTAGGAAGGAGGTATAGCATAATGTGTCCCCTCAGTAACGACCCCTCATCCTCGGCCCTGTCTGCAGGCTTCCAGATCGACACCCCAGACGCACTGGGGAGGACCTGTCTACACGCTGCCGCCGCCGGGGGGTGAGTCTCTCTCTCTATGTGTTTGTGTGTGTCTGAGGAAGAGAGAGAAATACCCGCACGCTGTATATGCTCCTGTACAGTTTATTTCACCATTTCTGTCAGAAGGGCTTCATCAGGTGTCTGTCTGTTTCTGTCTCTGTACATCTTTCTTCATGTCACTGTATTCAAAACAGAATTTGTCATGATTATAAAATGTATTCTCCCTCTCCCTCTCCCTCTCCCTCTTCCTCTCCCTCTTCCTCTCCCTCGTTCTGCAGTAATGTGGAGTGTGTGAAGTTGCTTTTGAGCAGCGGTGGGGACCACAACCGGAGGGACAAGTGTGGCAGGTGAGTTCTCTTAGAGGACAGGTAGAAGGGTGGGGGGAAGTCTGAAGTAGGGGCAGATGAACAGGAGTTGAAAGCTGGTTCTTACTGAGGTGAGGACCCTGCTGAAAGGACATCATGGAGAAAGAGAACAGAGCTTAGAGTGGGGGCTGCATCCGTTTGTGGTCTATTTCTGTCAGTTCCTCTCTCCAGTTCCTGTGTAGGTGTGTTTGTGTGGTCACAGCAATTTGAGTCCTCTGACTCAACACTTTAGTCCACGCTTCATATTTTTGTTGCACTCTAAAGTGTGACTCATCTCAATGTGCTGGCGTATAACACTGTCCTTGTGTGTCTGTCCGTCTGTCTCTGTCCATCTGTCTGTGTGTCTCTCTCTCTCCAGGACCCCTCTCCACTATGCAGCGGCCAGTCGTCACTATCAGTGCCTGGAGACCCTGGTGTCGTGTGGGACCTGCATTAACGCCACTGACCAGTGGGGGCGCTCTGCCCTGCACTACGCAGCTGCCTCTGACCTGGACAGGAGGTGAAGCTCACTGACCAGACTTAGGGACGAATCCTAACTTCCACTTAAGAGTTAAATTCCCACTTAGTCTCCAATATACAGCAATGCATGACTAAGTGAACATTTGTCATACATGCAAACTACACCGGCCACGTTGCGTGCACGAGCGTTGCAAAATAAATGTACACTTACATGTTATTCAATAATTTCACCCACACCGCTCGCTCACGTGAACGAGCGTCTGCGTAGCCAAGTGCTAAATACAACATGGTTCTAATTAAGAAGCTCCACGCGCTGCGAGTCCCCTCCTTATTGGATAACAGGAAGATACAAACCCATGTGGATGCTTGAAAGACAAACAAGGAGAGATTAATTAAAGATAACTAACTAGGTGTCTGTACGTACTAGGGATGGGCATGGTTATTCGAATATCCGAAAGGGACGTTAGTATTCGATCACTATTCATTTTTGAAAGCATTTTTATTTTTATAGTTAGCACTGTAAACATAGCCTACAGTTCTGAAGACGCACAAAGAAATTATTTTATTTTCGAGTTAATTTTCTCTCTGTCACGACTTCCGCCGAGGCTGCCTCCCCTCCTTGTTCGGGCAGGTTTCGGCGTTCGGTGTCACCGGCTTACTAGCTACTGCCGATCCATTTATCATCACTCCATTTGTCTTGTCTTCAATCACACACACCTGGTCCTTATTCCCTCATTAGTCATGGTATAAGTGTTCCCTCTGCTTCCTTGTCTGTGTGGGTGATTGTTTATTGTGGAGGTTAGTGAAGCTCGGTGGAGCGCGTGTATTTTGTATCGACGGGAGTATTTTCCAGTGCGCCTTGTATTTTCCAGTGCGCCTGTTTTGTGCCCTGGAGTGTGTTTGACGCATTTCTATATTAACCTGTATTTTGCGGATTAAAGCCTGTTATTCTGTGATTTACCCTCCTGCGCCTGACTCCTTCAACACCGCCTCATCACACTCTCTCTCATGTTGTGCTTTACATGAAAAGGCAAAGTGGATTTAAACCTCCAGTCAGCCCTGACAACGGTAGCCTATTGTATTTTCCCCACTTCAAATAGCCTCTAACGGAGATTCCACTATATCTGACACAGATCAATGCAAAACACTCAGGAAACGTTTTTGAAACGGAATCTATCACGGTGAACATCAGAGATCTCTGTCACTGTTGCTGACTGTTAGCTAAAAACTACCGGAGAATAGCAGTCAAAAAACAATCTGGATATCCGAAGAAATGTCATGATATTATTCGAATAGTGAAATCATTTCAAATGCCCATCCCAAGTCGGCAGCAGACTTAAGTCTGTTCAGTGTTCACACCCCTGATTGTTTTAATACCAGGAAATTCAGACTAGCACAGCTGTAAACGCTTGGTGACCCTGAATACGACCCCTGAATAATAGAAAGTCCATCTAAACCCCACTTTTCCCATAGGATTTATCTTTGCCTAAGCTATTGTCAGAAAAAATGGCGTATTGCGAATGTCTTAATATTTTTCTGCTGTGTGTCTTGTGTTGTAAAGGCGACGTCAGGCTCTGGAGCCAGAGAGTGAAGGGGTCCAGGCAGAGAAGGAGAAGGAGGCTGCACTGTGAGTATACTAGTTTATTTCTATGAGTATTACTGCCTCAATCTGGGCATCCAGGTAGTCAGTCAGCACAGACTATGGCTCAGTGCAAACCGTGCCTATGGTTCGGACTATTTGAGAACGTCCCTCTTTCTCTACTCTGTGTACACAGACCCGTTCAGACAGACAATACCTTCTCTCATTGGCTCTCTCAGCTTGTTTGAATAGCCTTTGCATATGTCTGTAGAACATGTCTGACTCTCTCTCTCCCTCATATTCTCTCCCAGTCTGAGGCTTTGTTCACTTTTTAATAACCTTTATTGAAATATTGAAGTGTTTACGTCGGACGATATTGTGTGTTTTTGTACTAGATGTCTGGAGTTCCTGTTGCAAAGTGGTGCTACTGCCTCGCTGAAAGATAAGCAAGGCTATAGTCCTGTCCACTATGCTGCAGCCTATGGCCACAGACACTGCCTGGAGCTGGTGAGTACACACACGCTTATGCAAAATCATCTGCGCAAGTGCAACCACACATGAGGAAATCCATTTTTTTGGGTTATATAATCCAGAGATGGCTCTTGTCTTTTGCCCCATCTGCTAGTTAACAATGAATCTGTGTGTAGAATATCGTAAAGATATCGTCAATACACACAGCTCACAAATACCACTTACCGAATTTGAATGATTTGTTTTGATGTGAACTGTGTGGTCTGTGGTTGTGGTTTCAGCTGTTGGACCGAGACGAGAGTCACCAGGAGGACCCAGAATCTCTGAGTGCCAGGAGCCCCCTGCACCTCGCTGTGAGTCGTTATAATACGCAGACATACATTATCATATATCCACTCTAGCCATGCATTTTCTCATTCACTGCCATGCATTATAATGGGGGCGAATGAGCAGGAAAAATACTTGTTTTTATGGTCAGGGCACGTGATCAGGGAAAACGGATAACTGGCGTTATCACTTATATACAGCCATACAAACATTACCACAGAGTATACATTGCATAGACTGTGTCTTTGAATGCCAACAGCTGGTGTGTGTGTAATCTGTCTGTATGTCTCCCCATCCTCCAGGCATACCACGGCCATGCCCAGGCTCTGGAGGTGTTGCTGCAGGGGGAGAGGGAAGTGGACCAGGGGGACGAGGCTGGTCGTACTCCACTTGCCCTAGCGGCCCTCAGGGGCCACACTGACTGTGTCCACACCCTCCTCAGCCAGGGGGCCTCGCCACGCACCACAGACACCAACAGGGGACGCACCCCTGTACACCTAGCAGGTAATGGAGACCACTGTGTGTGTGTGTGTGTGTGAGAGAATTTGAAGTACTCTTTTGTGTGGTCCGTGTCACATGAGGTTGGTGGCACCTTAATTTGGGAGGACGGGCACGTGGTAATGACTGGAGAGGAATAAGTGATAAGGTATCAAAAACATCAAACATGGTTTCCATGTGTTTACTGCCATTCAATTCGCTCTGTTCCAGACATTATTATGATCCGTCCTCCCCTCAGCAGCCTCCACTGGTCCGTGTGCACTAGTTCTGTACTCCGTTTTCTCTGTCTGACTTTCTCTATCTCTCTCACGCACTCTCTCTCTTTCTCTCTCTCTCTCTCTCCTCTCTCTCGCCCCCTCTCGTGTGCTCTTTCTTTCTTTCTCTCTCTCTCTTTCTCTCTCTCGCCCCGTCTCGCTCTCTTTCTCTTTCTCACTCTCTCTCTCTCGCTCTCTGTTCTTAGTGATGAATGGTCATACGTCGTGTGTGCGCCTCCTGCTGGATGACCAAGACAGTGCAGACCTGGTGGATGCCGCTGACTCTCGTGGACAGTGAGTTGACCAATCCATTCATCTATTAATCTATTGTACATCTATTGGATGGGTTTTTAGAAATATGCTAACCATTCATGTACACTGAACAAAAATATAAACACAACATCTAAAGTGTTGGTCCCATGTTTCATGAGCTGAAATAAATGATCCCAGAAATTTCCCATATACACAAAAAGCTTATTTCTCTCATGTTGTGCACAAATTTGTTTACATCCCTGTTAGTGAGCATTTATCCATTGCCAAGATAATCCATCCACCTGACAGGTGTGGCATATCAAGAAGCTGATTAAACAGCATGATCATTACAGAAGTGCACCTTGTGGAGGGGACAATTAAAGGCCATTCTAAAATGTGCAGTTTTGTCACACAACACAATGCCACAGATGTCCCAAGAGGGAGCGTGCAATTGGCATGCTGACGGCAAGAATGTCCACCAGTGCTGTAGCCAGAGAATTGAATGTTAATTTCTCTACCATAAGCCACCTCCAACGTTATTTTAGAGAATTTGGCAGTACGTCCAACCGGCCTCACAACCACAGACCACGTGTAACCACGCCAGCCCAGGACCTCCACATCTGGCTTCTTCACCTGCGGGATCGTCTGAGACCAGCCACCCGGACAGGTGATAAAACTGTGGGTTTTCACAACCGAAGGATTTCGTCACAAACTGTCAGAAACTTCTCAGGGAAGCTCATCTGCGTGCTCGTCGTCCTCACCAGGGTCTTAACCTGACTGCAGTTCAGCGTCATAACCAACTTCAGTGGGAAAATGCTCATCTTCGATGGCCACTGGCACACTGGAGAAGTGTGCTCTTCACGGATGAATCCCGGTTTCAACTGTACCGGGCAGATTGCAGACAGCGTGTATGGCGTTGTGTGGGCGAGCGGTTTACTGATGTCAACATTGTGAACAGAGGGCCCATGGTGGCAGTGGGGTTATGGTATGGGCAGGCATAAGCTACGGACAACGAACACAATTGCATTTTAACAATGGCAATTTGAATGCACAGAGATACTGTGACGAGATCCTGAGGCCCATTGTCGTGCCATTCATCCGCCGCCATCACTTCATGTTTCAGCATGATAATACACGGCCCCATGTCGCAAGGATCTGTACACAATTCCTGGAAGCTGAAAATGTCCCAGTTCTTGTATGAACTGCATACTCACCAGAAATGTCACCCATTGAGCATGTTTGGGATGCTCTGGATTGACGTGTACAACAGCGTGTTCCAGTTCCCGACAATATCCAGCAACTTTGCACAGCCATTGAAGAGGAGTGGAACAACATTCCACAGGCCTTAATCAACAGCCTGATCAACTCTATGCGAAGGAAATGTGTCGCGATGCATGAGGCAAATGATGGTCACACCAGATACTGACTGGTTTTCTGATCCACGCCCCTAACTTTGTTTTAAAGGTATCTGTGACCAACCGATGCATATCTGTATTCCCAGTCATGTGAAATGTATTTCAATCGACTGATTTCCTTAAATGATCTGGAACTCAGTAAAATCTTTGAAATTGTTGCATGTTGCTTTTATATATTTGTTCAGTTGTAGTTCTAAAGGGACTGGATAAGGTATACATTATATAGTAATATCTTGTGCTCACCTTTCTCTCTGATAGGCGAGGTAGAATTTTGGCCATAGTGCTTACACCCATGTAATCCTTTCAGGTCTGATTGGATGGATGTAAGTAATATGGTGAATATTCCACCTGACCTATAATACTGGTACATCGGGATGGGGGTTGATTTGGGATTGGGGATGTGTCTACCGATCCGGTTGTCCCGCTCTGACTGTCCCCTCTCTGTCCCTGTCAGGACTCCTCTGATGCTGGCGGTGGCAGGGGGACATGTGGACGCTGTGTCTCTGCTGCTGGAGAGAGAGGCTGTTGTAGACACAGCAGACAGCCATGGCCTGACCGCCCTGCATCTTGGGGTGAGTGAGTGTGTGTGTGTGTGTGTGTGTGTGTGTGTGTATGGCTGTAACTGTGTGACTGTGACTGGTCATGTGTATATGGATGTGTGTGTGATTGTACTGAATTCTGGGTAGCTTGTAACAACATGATCTCTTTGTCCAGTCTAAAAGTTTAAAGGTGATCACTGTCTCGTTCCCATTTTCCCTTTATCGCCACTCTCTCCTCTCTTTCTTCCTCCTCCTCTCCCAGTTGCTGTGTGGTCAGGAGGAGTGTGTCCAGTGTCTGTTGGAGCAGGAGGCCTCTGTGTTGCTGGGGGACTCCAGGGGCCGAACAGCCCTCCATCTGGCTGCAGCGAGGGGCCACGCATCCTGGCTCGCTGAGCTGCTGAGTATCGCTTGTTCTGAACCACCCATGCCCCCCCTCCGAGACCACCAGGGGTACACCCCCCTGCACTGGGCCTGCTACTATGGTCAGTCACTAGACCTACCTACTGCAGGCCTGCCTCAAACCATGGCTTGATCTCCAATCAATGTGCCTGAGGATTTTGTCTCTACGTATGTATTTTATGTGAAATACCTTTTTATGTTTGCATGTTCTAATAATCTTGTGTGTGTCCAGGTCACGAGGGCTGTGTGGAGGTACTGCTGGAGCAGAAAGGTTGTCGCTGTATCGACGGGAACCCCTTCACTCCCCTGCACTGTGCTGTGTAAGTCTTCACATACATGAAGCACAGTATTGCCTATAGATGTCAGTGTTGACTGTGTTTTGCCTCATGGACAACAGTGTTAACATTCTGTGTTTTGCTTCTCAGGGTGAATGATCATGAATCCTGTGCCTCACTACTGCTGGAGGCAATGGGATCAGACATCGCCAGCTGTAAGGATGCTAAGGATAGGTAAGTCATCACACACCTGATTCAGATACATATTGGAGTTGCCCATTCCTGGATCAGATACGGATGTATCTCACACAGCCTGTCCTCAATCTCTAACTTCTGTGTTTTATTCTCTCTTCCTCATTCTGTTTTCCTTTCCTCTCCTCACACATCCTCCCCTTTCTCTCTCAGGACTCCACTCCATGCTGCAGCGTTCTCTGGTCATGTGGACTGTGTCCAGCTGCTTCTGTCCCATGATGCACCTGTGGATGCTGTCGACCAATCAGGGCGCAGTGCGCTGATGATGGCTGCAGAGAAGGGAGGAGTGGGAGCTGTAGAGGTGCTGTTGACCAGTGCCAACGCCAGCCTGGGTTTGGTGGACCAGAATGGCAACACAGCCCTCCACCTGGCCTGCAGTAGCGTGAGTGTCCACTAGGGAGATTTCGCTCCCTATTTCTTTGACATACCACATACAAATACTATATTTACAATCATAGTGCATAATATATTAATTTGTCTTCACTCTCTCCCACCCCCCCCCCCCCCACCATCCCCCTCACCCTCTCTCAGGGAAAGGAGGATTGTGTTCTGTTCATCCTGGAGAGGCTAAAGGACACTGTTCTCATAGGTGCCACAAACGCAGCACTGCAGACGTAAGTGTTCGTCAGAGATAGGCCATGGTTAATCTCGGAACCGAGAACCAAATATTGTGTCCGCTAGCTACCTCAATTTACTTCTAGGGTGGAAATGTCTAGATCTAAAAAAAAAAACCTGCAGATTTAGCCCACTACAGAAACACTACAAACTTTCTGATTGTTCTGTCCCTCCCAGGCCCCTCCACCTAGCGGCTCGTAGCGGTCTGAAACAGGCTGTCCAGGACCTGCTGTCCAGGGGGGCCAGTGTTCAGATGTTGGATGAGAATGGTAGGTCTAAAGGTCTGGTCTGGGCATGAACCAGTACCAGTGTGTTAAAGGGGTCTAACTGCATGCTGCTATTATTTCAGCTGCCTGTGGTTCTGTGGTGTTGGCATGTCTATGTACATTAGCTAGCTACAGCGGTCTGTGTCTGTCTGTGCTCTGGTAGGCTAGAGCTGCAGCTAACGGGTTTGTAGCTCTCTGGCCCAGTCCCAGTCCCACCTGTCGAGTATTGTTATTAGGGCCAGGAGTTTTTCCTGACCCTTGTCACCTGACTAGGAAAAACTTGAGGCCCTTGTCATTATGTCCAGGGATTTAGGTTTGTATTCATTATGATGTATAAGGAGTTATATACACTACCAGTCAAAAGTTTGGACACACCTACTCATTCAAGGGTTTTTCTTTCTTTTTACTTTATTTTCTACATTGTAGAATAATAGTGAAGACATCAAAACTATGAAATAACACATATGGAATCATGTAGTAACCAAAAAAGTGTTCAACAAATCTAAATATATTTTATATTTGAGATTCTTCAAATAGCCACCCTTTGCCTTGATGACAGCTTTGCGCACACTTGGCATTCTCTCAACCAGCTTCATGAGGTAGTCACCCGGAATGCATTTCAATTAACAGGTGGAATTTATTTCCTTCTTAATGCGTTTGAGGCAATCAGTTGTGTTGTGAGGGGGTGGGGGGGAATACAGAAGATAGCCCAATTTGGTAAAAGACCAAGTCCATATTATGGCAAGAACAGCTCAAATAAGCAAAGAGAAACGACAGTCCATCATTACTTTAAGATATGAAGGTCAGTCAATACGGAACATTTCAAGAACTTTGAAAGTTTCTTCAAGTGCAGCCGCAAAAACCATCAAGTGCTATGATGAAACTGGGTCTCATGAGGACCACCCCAGGAATGGAAGAACCAGAGTTACCTCTGCTGCAGAGGATAAGTTCATTAGAGCTACCAGCATCAGAAATTGCAGCCCAAATAAAGGCTTCACAGAGTTGAAGTCACAGACACATCTCAACATCAACTGTTCAGAGCAGACTGTGAATCAGGCCTTCATGGTTGAATTGCTGCAAAGAAACCACTACAAAAGGACACCAATAAGAAGACGAGACCTGCTTGGGCCAAGAAACACGAGCAATGGACATTAGACCGGTGGAAATGTGTCCTTTTAGTCTGGAGTCCAAATTAGAGATTTTTGATTCCAACCGCTGTGTCTTTGTGAGATGCGGTGTGGATGAACGGATGATCTCCGCATTTGTATTTCCCACCGTAAAGCATGGAGGAGGAGGTGTTATGGTGTGGGGGTGCTTTGCTGGTGACGCTGTCTGTGATTTATTTAGAATTCAAGGCTCTCTTAACCAGCATGGCTACCACAGCATTCTGCAGCGATACGCCATCCCATCTGGTTTGGGCTTAGTGGGACTATAATTTGTTTTTCAACAGGACAATGACCCAACACACCTCCAGGCTGTGTAAGGGCTATTTTACCAAGAAGGAGAGTGATGGAGTGCTGCATCAGATGACCTGGCCTCCACAATCCCCCGACCTCAACCCATTGAGATGGTTTGGGATGAGTCGGACGGCAGAGTGAAGGAAAAGCAGTCAACGAGTGCTAAGCATATGTGGGAACTCCTTCAAGACTGTTGGAAAAGCATTCCAGGCAAAGCTGGTTGAGAGAATGCCAAGAATGTGCAAAGCTGTCATCAAGGCAAAGGGTGGCTATTTAAAAAATCTCAAATAATTTTTTGGGGTTACTACATGATTCCATATGTGTTGTTTCATAGTTTTGATGTCTTCACTATAATTCTACAATGTAGAAAATAGTAAAAAATAAAGAAAAACCCTTGAATGAGTAGGTGTCCAAACTTTTGACTGGTACTGTATATATATAAAATCAAATCAAATGTTATTTGTCACATACACGTGTGTAGCAGTTGTTATAGCGGGTGTAGTGAAATGCTTGTAAAGGTGCAGTATATGTTGTATGTATTCCCTGTCTGCTTGTCTGTTGTCTGTGCACTGTCTGCTGTCTGGGCTGGCTGTGTACTAATGGAATGCTGCTTTCTCCCATTGTCCTCCCTTCCCTTGTCCCCCCATCTCTCTCTCTGTTTTTTGCTTCGCTCTCCCCGCTTCTTCCATGTTTCCTCCCCCTCTTTCTCTCTGTCCATTTTCCCTTCTCTCTCCCTTCCTCTTCCCTACTTCTTTCCCCTCCCTATCGCTCTCTCTCTACCATCTTTCTCCACACCATCTCTCTCTCCCACCCTCTTTCTCTCTCCCCATCCTCTTCTCCCTATCTCGCCCACTCTCCTTCTCTCTGCCCTCCTCTTTCTCCCCCAGGTCTGACGCCTGCTCTAGCTTGCGCTCCTAGCAGGGAGGTGGCTGACTGTCTGGCTCTCATTCTGGCTACCATGATGCCTTTCTACTCCCCTTGCAGCTCCGGAGTCCCCTCCCCAGGTTCCCTCCTGAGGGCCCTATCCAGGCAGGACAAGGGTTCCCGGGACCCTCGTAGCCCCAAGGCCCCCTCTGGCCCCTCCAGCGAGGGAAGTGCCAGTCAGGGCACCACTGAAAACGACTCAGACTCAGAAACCTTTTGACCCCTATGACTATGACCTATGACCCTGACTCTTATCAGACTACCTGGATGTCTGCAGAGCCACACTTTCACACCACCAACCACCCCTGATCCCTCGCTCGTGTCCCAAGAGCAGAACCTCTCAGTGGGGGCTTATACAGGATTTTGTCCCCACTAATGGCTGGAGGGATGGAGCTCAAACTCTAATCTAATGTGATCCTGCCTGCTGGTGCATCTTCTCCAGATCAACCTAGGTACTCCGTCTCAGCTTGGCTATCTATGACAGCGGCTGAGACTTTTCTTATTAAAGCCATTTTTTATTGTTTGTATGAAAAGAGGACCAGAAAAGAACCTTTTTAAAAACCTTTTTTCTTTTGGTTGGTTGATGTACCAAATATTGACTTAACATATAGTTAAAACAAGTATATGTATATTTTTGTGTCGGGGTAGGTATACATGGAAAGGTACATACTGCTCTATCTGCCCAGTGATGTGAGTATAGCACAAACCAACTAAAGCACAATTCTAGAATTCACTTATAAGCCTATTATAAAGAAACATGGTAGAATGCATACCCTCTAGTTACAGTGTATGGAATGCTCTGTGCACGAGTCAGAGTCTGGCCTTGGTGCACAGAAGTGGCACCATTTCAACCTTGTATGTTTCCACGTCAATAGAAATCAGACATTTGGCCATGAGTTTTTCCTGACCACATCAACTGACCTGGAAAACTCTGGGCTGTAGTTATTGGCTATAGGTAACTCGGACCCAGAATTGTTCCTGATCCTGTCACGTGGTCAGTTAGGAACCTCCTGTCCCTAGTGTTACAGGACAACAGTGTTTCAGTAGTTTACATGCTTAGATACAGTATGTCAGATCAGGTCTCCAGTGAAGAGGTTGACACCTGTACGGTATTTATTAACGCTTATATTATGGTACAGAATACTGCTTGCACTTAAAATGTAAAGGAGAGCAGGACCTTGACCACTCTTCTCTTCCCCTCCTCTCTCCATCCCCCTTTCCCATCTAGTCTGTTGTCTACCAACAACAATGTGCCAGTCTATCAAACTTGTCCAGTGCCTTGTTAAACCTTTGTATTCATTTTTTGTTTCAATTTTCCAAAAAAGCGTACTCTTCTGAAAGAGTATGCACATTTTCCTGGTGCATGTGGTCTCTATTCAATCCGTATCGTGGAAGTTTAGCTTTACATTTAAAGGCAATGTTCCTGCTTTAGTGGAGACTAAATTCACGGTAAACACTGCATATATCGGCTCAATCTGAAATTACCTTAACATTTCTATAGCGGAATCTGTCACGCTTCAACTTTACAGATTGAATAGAGCCCTAAATTGTGTATTATGGGTGTATGTGACTTTGAATGGAAAAGTTTGAGATTAGAGTTGGTTAACTCGGGGGGTTTGTCTGCAACAAGATGTCTAACAAAATGAAGTTCTGCTTTTGTACAAACTGTATGTCATTGTAAAGCACAGCCTTGTCTGTAATAACTATCTCTACCACAGAGAAAGAGAACCCGAGCACACACCTTTTAAAAAGCACAGTGTTAGTTTAATGCCTCAAGGCTTGTCGTTGAGAATGAAAGTAAGGAAGAGATTGGGTGTGTGTCCCAAATGGCCCACTATTCCCTACATAGTGCACTACTTTTGACCAGAACCCTATGTAGTGCACAATAGGGAATGTAGCCATTTGGGATGCAGCCATGGGTCAGTATTATTATGCCAGAGGGAGCATCACACCACTAGTCAGTTGTGACAATCGTATTGGATTGATTTTCATACCAGTTCCTGATGCAGTATGAAATGCGGAAGGCTGTTTGTTAGCTACCCTTTGGTTTTTTTAATGAATGAATTGTACAATTATAATATAAAAATCTGTTTTAATTTAGTGCTGTGTGTCTGTACTTTCCTATTTGATACCAAGTTGACAAACAAACATTACTTATGTTTTGGGTATCTAATGCTTACCTGAGAATGGATCCTCCATTTCAGTCTTGGAACCCTCAAACACCTCTACATAAACTAGCTTGTATTTAAGTGTGTAAGGAGTCAACATACCGGTAGACTACAGTCTATTCTGGACATGTGATAAGTAAAATTTGATTTGATTAACAATAACTTTCTATCCTCATCTATGTAGTTTTACAAGATGGGAGGACAAACAAAACATCTCATTGACACAGGTTTAAAACATTGTGAAATCAGTGTTAATAATCTTTAATTACATAATCTCTGTACATTTACAAACTTTTACATCACATCGATTAATTTGTTCACCAAACTAGGACCACCAAGTAAGATTTGTTTTTCAGTGCTATCTCACTGTGTCCTCGTGAAACAGTTGGACATCTTGGTACTTCAAGGTCATTAATCCCCTCAGGGAAATAATGTCATGATAGGGACGGGAGTTCTTTCCTTTCCATGCCAGGATAAACTCTGGCCTGTTATTAGGGCCCAGTCATGACTTCCAATAATACTGAAGAGTCACTCGTTTACAGGCTGATATAACGGTTATGCAGCTCTGTCTGTGGTAGATACTATTATTATGGAATGATTGAGTCGTTGTACACTGGCCATGCTTTCCTTTGCATTACAGCCATCTTTTTTCATTACTCTTCTTCTATTCTATTCCGTCTTCATCCATCAATCCATCCAGTGTGCTTTTATGGTTCCTTATAGGGCTAAGGGTTTTTCTGCATTGTGGTCTCCTGTCCACCCTGGTAACTGATGCCCATGTGTTCTGTAGCTAGCAGCTAAGTCACAGATCCGTTTATGCTGTCTTGCCAAACGTGCCGTGACAATGACATAGTAATTGGCTAGACGACACAAACAGATCTGGGACTCAGGCTAGCTCCCTGGTGTCAGTTAGCAGTTGACCCCCAGACCTGTCCAGTGGTCAGGCACCATGAGGAAGTATTTGTCCATGGCCTCACAGAAACGGGATCGGTACAGCTCCGGGGACACCACCGTGGGCATCTTACCTGTGAGCGCGACACAAAATACACCATATTAATAACACATTATTTACATTTTAGTCATTTAGCAGACGCTCTTATCCAGAGCGACTTACAGGAGCAATTAGGGTTAAGTGCCTTGCTTAAGGGCACATCGACAGATTTTTCACCTAGTCGGCTCGGGGATTAGAACCAGCGACCTTTCGGTTACTGGCACAACGCTCTTACCCACTAAGCTACCTGCCGACACATTTTATTTGTATAGCGCTTTTCATTTACAGGAAGAAATCAAAAGGTCTTTATATATATATATATATATTTAAACTACTAGAGATCTCAAAGCTAAACGTGAAAGAGCGCAATCTTAAAATAGACTTCAAGGACTAACGTAGGGGGAATGAGGTGTTAGTGTCAGACAGACAGATGATGAATTACCTTGCCCCCCCAGGATCCCTGTGGATTTCACCACCATCTCCAGCTTCTTGTCCCATGTGAATGTCCGAATGTAATCTGATACAATGGGAGGAATGTTTGTTTTATAAATACAGCCAATTAAATTACATTTGAACGTTTGAAAGAGGGATATTAATGCTTTTCCCTCACCTATGATTCCCACCACCAGCTGGTCTGTGGCGTCGTCTCGTCCAACTAACAGAGAGTAGTCTATGATCAGGTGACTAGACAGGAAGTAGGCATCACTGTGTATGGCCGCCCTCAGGATGGCCTTGCAATGGGCTCTGATGTACAGAGGGTTGTCATGGACCAGCTTCAGTAGGTTCTCATCCAGCAGAACCACCTAATATAGAATAATGTATGCCATTTAGCTGATGCTTTTATCAAAAGGTTGTTATTTCAAAAGAGAACGTGTTCCCATTGACATACCTGGTCAAATAAAGATAAATGCATAAATAAACAAAGCAACTTACAGTATAGTCAGTGCATACATTTGTTTTGTATGTGTGGTCTCAGTGGGAATCGAACCCACGACCCAGTGTTGCTAGCCTAGCGCCATGCTCACCTCACAGCTCTCCTTCCCAGAGTCGGTCTTGACGTTGCGGTTCCTCAGAGAACCCTTGAGGTCGAACACCTGGGCCATCTTCCTGCCATAGAACAGGTTCTCCATGACCAGCAGATCCAGCTTCTTCTCTGAGTTGTTCTGGGAGTTTTTGTAGCCGATCCGGTACACACCCAGGATCTTAGCCAGGGCAGTGGGTCGCTGTGGGACAGACAGGGGGTTTAGGATAGGAATGTGTTGTAATCTATAACCATTAGGGGTGTAACGATCCATCTACTACATCGATGTATCGATTTATATTCATATGATCCAACTACATCGATCTGTGCTCGGCGAGTTGGCCTTTTGGACAACATATATCGATCTAACATCGTTTTAAAATGTAATAAATCGATTGTATCGATACTAGGAAATAACCCATTGGATTTAAGCACGTCAGACTTTATATGCAGGGGTGCACATAACTGGTACGCAGATACGCAAGCGCGACAAAAATCAGGAATGCGTAATGCCACCTGTGTTACTACGCGCCTTTGCGTACTTGACCGATCTTCTCATCTAGCCTTACACATGACATGTTGCTTGTCAACTACTGTCAGGGATGTCCAAAAAGCAACAGACATTAAGCAGCTTCTTTGGCGTTTCGCCACCTACAAAGAAACGCCAACTGGAGCCAGAGCCGAAGAAAATACTTTTTTCGGAAAAGTGGCTCCAAGATGTGCAGTGGCTTGAAGCTAACGATGAGCGCACTGAAATGTGGTGCAAGATTTGCCGCTCAAATCCACATCTAGCAGACAAAACAGGTGCATTTTATAAAGGCTCAAAGAATTTCAACCATCCTTTATTTGACAAACATGAAAAGAGCAAGGAGCACACGAATGTGGCGCAAGCCATTGCTAAAAGCTAGCCGAGAATAAATGTCCAGTCGCCCACTTGCCAGATGGCGAGACAAGCTGAATGAAGAACAGCGGCAAGCTCTGTTTAATATTTTTCTCTTTCCATAAAGCTAAACATCAGATCCATCAAAAAGCAGCCCCCAAAATTCAGCAGACTGCAACTTGGCTCATAACTCCCCGCTGATGGTGTGAGCGATGCTAGAGCAAAAAAAACTGCTGCACTGAATAAAGCTATGTGAAGAAAATGGGATCTCCTTTGTGGAACTGGGTAAGTTTCATAATACCAGATGGTCTGCATGGAGGCATGAAACACTGTTAAAAATATAAAGACTATTGCCAGCCATTAAAATGCAACTGGTTACCAGGTATTTATTTCAGTCACACTGGTTGAATTTTTGGCTAAAAGGTTACTGAATCGATTTCAAGTCACTGAATCGTTTCGGATCGTTCTAAATGAACCAATATCGTCCTTGAATCGTATCGACAACCACGAATCGTGATACAAATCGAATCGTTGTTAAAACGAATCGTTACACCCCTAATAACCATCCATCACAGACAATAACACAGCTCCTTGAAAAACATTTAAGAAATCTAATTTCCTCAAATTAAATTAATTATCTGGACGAATAGATTACTTTATAAGCAAGGCAAACGTAGATACGACTTTTATCACCAAAATAGTTCATATTTATCTATTTAAGTCAATGTAACTATATGGGTAGTGTAGTTAGTGTAGTTTACCTTCTGCTGCACAGCTCCGGTGATGTAGGTGAAGTAATGAGGGGCAAAGTCCAGAAAGGACTGAACCTCTAGTCTGGGCATCTGCTTCAGGATGAACCGGTCATCTGAGGGAGGGAGGGAGAAAGAGAGAGAGGGGGAGGGACAGAGAGCAATAGGTATAACCACTACAGACAAATAAATAGCACTACAGGCGGGTGACATGGACTGCACATATTTAAAGGCGTTATCTTGCCCTAAATAGGACTTCCTGGTAAATACAAGTTAAATAAAACAATATGACTCTGGTGTTGACGGTCACCTTCTGTGGCGTAGAAGACGGCCCCAGACTTGCCGCCGCGGGCCTGCCAGTTGACGCAGTGGGAGAGCGAGCGGACAAAGTCGTCCTCCGTACTCGCCATGATCTCCTCTCTCATCTTGTGGAACTCCTCTGCATAGTAAATCCTGCAGTAGAACTTAGCATTGGCGTCAGAGAACTCTGAGAGAGACAGAGAGAAGAGAGAGCGAGAGGTTACTGACTAGGCCCTATGCTTGTTATTGAGAGTAAGTTTGCGGGCTAAGCACTTCACAGGTAACGCCATCCCAAAAGGCACATAAATCCAATGAGAAACACTCACGTAATTCGATATGAGGGTTTCCTGCTGACTTCTTATGCTTGTCTCCTATGTCTGCATCTTCTGTTCAAAGCAAAAGAAAAAGATGCTAGGAATGCCAGAAACATATTGCACATTAGAACAGAGCTGAACTTAGGTAAAAATGCAAGACTTTCTAGCACCCCCCTCCCATATTGCCCGTTGACCCTGAGTATCCACTACTCACTGAGAGGGTCAGAGTCCATGCTGCTGCGGCCCAGACCCATCTGGGAGGAGGATGTCTCATTGGGCTTGGCTGGGCTGTTCTTGGCCCGGCTCTCTCCAGAGCTGCACACAGACAGGATGAGACAAGGCATTATACATCAGGTAACATACACACAGTCATCATCAGCAGTGTGTGTGTGTACCTGATGGTTTGGGTGGTATCCTCGCCTCCTGCCTTCACCGTTGTCTTTGACAGCTCATCCAGAGCGGTCTTATACTCCTTACAGCTAGAGGTTAGGCAGAGGTCATTAAAATAACATTAGAACAACATAACTATAATGATAATAACTTTAGAACAACAACAAGACAACATAACACATCAGTGAGTGTAAGACGTGCAGAGAATGGAGAAGAAATGGAGAGGAGCGGTTACCTGAGAGCGAATGCGATGATGGAGCTGGGTTCTCTCTCACACACGGCTATGGGCACTCTTTCATGCTCATACATCAGGTAATGCTTGTCTGGGTCACTAACAAACAAAGATCACAACAACGTCAGAAAACGTACAGGGCTCAATAGTAAATAATACAACACTATTTATCTGTCCATTATACAGAGGATACAACCAGGGGTTGGAACCGATTTAGGGAACAGAACTGAAAACAGGAAAACAAAGACAATTTTCGAAGAACAGAACCGAGAACGAAAGTGATATACAGTGAGGGAAAAAAGTATTTGATCCCCTGCTGATTTTGTACGTTTGCCCACTGACAAAGAAATTATCAGTCTATAATTTTAATGGTAGGTTTATTTGAACAGTGAGAGACAGAATTACACCAACAAAATCCAGAAAAACGCATGTCACAAATGTTATAAATTGATTTGCATTTTAATGAGGGAAATAAGTATTTGACCCCCTCTCAATCAGAAAGATTTCTGGCTCCCAGGTGTCTTTTATACAGGTAACGAGCTGAGATTAGGAGCACACTCTTAAAGGGAGTGCTCCTAATCTTAGCTTGTTACCTGTATAAAAGACACCTGTCCACAGAAGCAATCAATCAATCAGATTCCAAACTCTCCACCATGGCCAAGACCAACGAGCTCTCCCAGGATGTCAGGGACAAGATTGTAGACCTACACAAGGCTGAAATAGGCTACAAGACCATCGCCAAGCAGCTTGGTGAGAAGGTGACAACAGTTGGTGCGAGTATTCGCAAATGGAAGACACACAAAATAACTGTCAATCTCCCTCGGCCTGGGGCTCCATGCAAGATCTCACCTCGTGGAGTTGCAATGATCATGAGAACGGTGAGGAATCAGCCCAGAACTACACAGGAGGATCTTGTCAATGATCTCAAGGCAGCTGGGACCATAGTCACCAAGAAAACAATTGGTAACACACTACGCCGTGAAGGACTGAAATCCTGCAGCGCCCGCAAGGTCCCCCTGCTCAAGAAAGCACATATACAGGCCCGTCTGAAGTTTGCCAATGAACATCTGAATGATTCAGAGGAGATCTGGGTGAAAGTGTTGTGGTCAGATGAGACCAAAATTGAGCTCTTTGGCATCAACTCAACTCGCCGTGTTTGGAGGAGGAGGAATGCTGCCTATGACCCCAAGAACACCATCCCCACCGTCAAACATGGAGGTGGAAACATTATGCTTTGGGGGTGTTTTTCTGCTAAGGGGACAGGACAACTTCACCGCATCAAAGGGACGATGGACGGCGCCATGTACCGTCAAATCTTGGGTTAGAACCTCCTTCCCTCAGCCAGGGCATTGAAAATGGGTCGTGGATGGGTGGTATTCCAGCATGACAATGACCCAAAACACACGGCCAAGGCAACAAAGGAGTGGCTCAAGAAGAAGTACATTAAGGTCCTGGAGTGGCCTAGCCAGTCTCCAGACCATAATCCCATAGAAAATCTGTGGAGGGAGCGGAAGGTTCGAGTTGCCAAACGTCAGGCTCGAAACCTTAATGACTTGGAGAAGATCTGCAAAGAGGAGTGGGACAAAATCCCTCCTGAGATGTGTGCAAACCTGGTGGCCAACTACAAGAAACGTCTGACCTCTGTGATTGCCAACAAGGGTTTTGCCACCAAGTACTAAGTCATGTTTTGCAAAGGGGTCAACTACTTATTTCCCTCATTAAAATGCAAATCAATTCATAACATTTTTGACATGTGTTTTTCTGGATTTTTTTGTTGTTATTCTGTCTCTCACTTTTCAAATAAACCTACCATTAAAATTATAGACTGATCATGTCTTTGTCAGTGGGCAAACGTACAAAATTAGCATGGGATCAAATACTTTTGTCCCTCACTGTATACTGTTGTTTTATTTTAAAAGCTTGGGAACAGGTTAATAGCATTCTTTGACATTCCAGGCATTTTTTTCTAGTCCCACAAAAAACGCAACAAAGCACCTCTGCATAGGCCTCACTGTCACTCAGAAATGTATTCCAGAGACTGCCTGCCTGCCAGCTGAACATCTTTGCCAGTGTGTGTGTAGGCTACCTGCCTCTCCCTCTGAAGCATGCATAGTCTACTGTAGCTCCTGACTTTACAGCAAGCGGTAATGGAATGGAACTGAGAGTCGTGATCAAGGGCTAGCTCTGGTCCAACGTCAGTTAAACTAACTCTCTGAAGTTCAACGACTTTCAAAGTTTCCTCATAGAAGCCGCTCCTCCGTAGGTATAATTTGTGGGCCTAATTCAGATAATGCATGTCATAACAACAAGATGCCCAGCGATTCATGCCCAGTGCTCTCCTCACCCGCATGTCGAACCCTACACTCCACTTGTCTGTCCAATGCATGTACATAGCTTGCCCGCTCCATAGCAAGCTGCTGTATCTACTGGTGAAGAAATGTAATGTTGTGCTAGATGTAAAAAAATATATATATATTTCAGAGGTTTAAAAAGGAACAGAAAGGAATGATATAAACCATGACTTTTTTGGGGTTCGAACCGGTTCAGAATTTATTTTGCTGATTGGAACTGTGGAACGGAACCCCAAAAAAAGATGGTTCTGTTCAGAACGAAACGATTGGAAAATAATTTGGGTTCTGACCCCTGGATACAACAGACATTTGTTATTTTGGCTTTCACAGTGCCCAGCCCCACCACAAAACAACACAACAGCACAGGGTCAGCGGCAGAGCAGCGCAGTGCTCTGGAGCAGGTTAGGGGTTAAGTGCTTTGCTCAAGGGTATTGGTGATTTTTCCCGTAAAAACTGGGTTTCAAGCTAAACATTACAACAAAGTAAGAAAATGAACAGGGCTCAATATAGCATTGGCATTTATATCAAATGCCATCTTATATGGCTGATCATTAATCAATTTATACTACAGGCAAAAAGCTTATTCAGAGGTGAAGGCATACTGTACTCACAATGGGAATGGGATGGGGTTGTAACTGTTTCCTGGCAGCAGGTTGGCTAGAATGGCCTTCATGGTGGACTTCTCTTTCACCTGGCTGTCGTTGGAGCCCAACAGGTGTCCATCAAACACATCTAGGAGACAATGAGAATGAGTTAGGGACCGGAGAGGTCTGTTTTTAGATACATACTGTAGATCTACAGAAAGTGAATGGTAAGCGTATGTGGGGGGTTGTGTGTGTGTCTACAGGTGTGTGTGTGTGTGTGTGTGTGTGTGTATGTGTTCACCCTCTGGGATGCTGACGGAGTCCTGGTCAGGGAAGGACGGTCCAGACGAGAGGGGTTCTGAGCCTGGTTCTCCTGGTGACGGTAATGTTAGCAATGACGACCCAGAGCTGGAGGGCAGGGCAGAGAGGTGACGGTCCTCTGTCAAGAAAATAACAGACACGCCCATCAACTACTGTCCACCAATGAGAGAAGTACTATAGCATTCTGACTAATAGCTGAACAACTCCCCTCACCTTTGTCACCGTTTTGTACCACAGGGGAGGGGTTGCGTGGAGAGGACTCCAGAGCACTTGTCTGTTAAACAAAATAAAAAACGTAACATTCCATCCATTATGATACACTAAGTGCTTATCATATACTAAGTGCTTCCTATCATCTGAATTCTATCAGGTATATACTGCACTGACCTTGCTGTCGTCTGTCTGTCTGTGTCTCCCAGGGCTAGCTGGGACAGACAGCCGCTTCCTGCCCTTCTCTTGCTGGAACAGGTCCTGCAGCCTGGAGGTTAAATGGTTCAACAAATTCATGATATGAGATCTCCCACTGACATCAATCAATTGATGTGAAAGTCTGATCCCAAGTTAGAATTCAGCCCTAAGGACCAGTTTCCTAGACAAAAATGAATCCTAGTACTAGACTAAAAAGCTTGTTTATTGGAGATTCATCCATTGAAAGTGCTTCTTAGTCAAAGACTAGGCTTTATTTGTGTCTAGGAAACCGCCCCTAACATTAAAAGCTGCTCCGATGTCAGTGTTCTCACCTGCTGTTCCAGGACTGCAGTGTTTCACACAGGCTCTGTTTCTTCACTACCACTGACTCCACTACAGTCTGGAGCTGCTGGGGAGAGTCACTACCACAGGCCTGGAGACGAGCCTGCAGCTTCTCTATCCAGCTACGCAGCTCTGCCTCCTCCATCTGAACACACACACAAAGGAAACTGATGGAAACCATGTGTTTGATACCGTTCCATTCAATCCATTACAATGAGCCCATCCTCCGATTTACAGTGACAACACTGATGCAACATCAGCCTCCACTGCACTATACATACACATAATGAGACATATTTGGAGTGTAGCTCCCACCCTTCGAGGAGGAACCTACGTCTTTCTGTGCAAACAGGTCCTCCATCTTCTCCTCGCGTGTCTTGCTGAAGGTGTCCGTTTTCAGGGAGGTGAGGCGGTCCTCTATGGCCAGGTACACCTGATTCACCCTGACAAGAGGGAAGAGAGGGAGATAATGGAAAAGGACTGGTCAGAACTAGATAGAAGGTAAAAACTAGTCAAACTAGATTCTTCAGTTGGAGCCTGGTCCCAGATCTGTTTGTGCCGTCTTGCCCACTCACAGAGGACAATAACCATAGGACTCAGCTATACAGCACAAACAGATCTGGGACCAGGCTACTTAAGGCCATGGTAGACAGACAACAGGTAGACAGTTACTTCTGTGAGAAGTCCTTGAGGTCCTGCTGCATGCTGCCCTTGGAGGGCCCCTGGTTTCTGATGAAGATCTTAGGAGGAGGGAGGCAGATCTCCAGCAGTCTCACTGAGATGTAGCTGGGGGTTAGACAAGTGGAATGGCATGGGCATATACAGTTTACTACACTAATAATACCTCTAGTGATATTTATCTGAATTCTACAGGAGATTTTGTCTTTCCAGTGTTATACAAAAAATAGGTCATTTGAAGATGTTTTGAATTGATGCAAAAATGGTAACAAAAAATTGTAAGAATGATAAATGATGGATAGATGTATGGCTGGATGAATGGATGGCAGGTTGGATGGATGAAAATCGAAGCCCTGGACTGTGTTTCCCACCTGAATGAGGCCACCATCTGGTTGTAGGAGAAGTACTGGTGGTAGTCTTTGTGGATGGAGTGGCCACAGGGCTCAGCATTAGCCCTCCTGGTATACTGGTGACCATAGAACCTCAGTTCCAGGTACTTAGCAAAGGACATGGACCACGAGTCATTGGACAGGGGCACCACAGGAGTCACCTAGAAAGACAGAGTAGAATCCAAGGATCAAAGCTGTGTGAGCGATAGAAGCTAAGCAGACCTGGACAGCAGCTTTTTGCTCTAGCGAAAAACTGGCACATCTGATTAGCAAGCATTTGATTAGTTGAACTAGGTGAGCCCGCTATTAACTAAAGCAAACAGTTAGGTGTGCTAGCTATAGAGCAAACGTGCACTCCTGGGGGTAGTGATGGAACAGATAAGAAAACACAGATTAACAAGTTACTGTACCTGTTTGCATATGCGGCACCAGGAGTAGTTGAGGATGGTGTGTTGGTATCCAGGCACAGGAGAGTCCAGCTCCTTCAGTACGATCTGAACACAGCCACTGCCATGGACAAACCGCCGCACATGGTGCACCATGGGAGTCTCACAGAACATACTGGGGCACTGATAGGATGGCCTAGATCATGCATACACAGACACACACAGACAGACAGACAGACAGACAGACAGACACGGCAGGGCAAAGAAGAAGGGCTTCATTGAGTTACATTTTATTACATATCAATGACACATTTTATCGTAAAATATTTTATTGTAAATTCAATCAAATAATTTGTCAGGTTCTGATCGTTTTCCCCTCACCTGAAACAGTATCTCTCCAGGAATATTCCTAGTGTGAGGTCATTCTTTCCGTAGAACTCCATCGTGACAATCCTGTTGAGAACAAATAAGTATTTGTGAATAGCTGACCTTTCAGAGTTCAGTCATCTGGTCTTTCACAGCGGGTTCACAAGATTTCTGTATTGCCCCTAAGGGGATAAATAAAGTTGTATTGAATTGAAGACCACCAGGGTTGAGTGGGGTTTACCAGGGACTGACGCAGGGGTTGGGGGCGTTGTTGGACTGGGCTGAGGAGCTGCTGAACAGAACACACAGTCTCTGGTGGTTCACCGGGTTCAGGCAGTCCAGCTAAAAACACAGAGAAGTAATGGTGGTCAACAACAACAACAAGCACATATGCTTTACAATACAAGAGCGCACTTCACCTCTTCAGACCTCACCTAATATCTCTGTAGAGTGAGTGAGATGGTGTGCTCATCAATGGAACACACTGATCAGTAAACTAGCACTGGCTAAGGGAGATGTTAACATTAGGTTGTCTGTAATGGAAAAACACTCAATATACACACACATCAGAACAATAACTCCACAGATACATCAGAGAGACTGTTGGAGATCTGTCTCCCTCCTCTGTGCCATCCAGCTCCTATATTGTGGTGTGTGGACGTACTAACTACCTCGCCATGTCTCACCTTGGAGGCCCAGGTCATGTCGTTCTGTCCCGCTGGCTTCTCGTCCTCACTATCAGCCTTGACGGGGTGCTTGGGCGGTGGAGCCTCCAGGACTGGTGGCTGGGTTAGGGGCTGGGTGAAGGGGTCTGCCTCCTGTCGGAGGCGGCCCCCCTGGGCACGGTAGTCTGCCAGCATCTTGGCCAGGTCCTGGCTGCTGCCCAGCTGCTCTGCGATGCGGGCACTGGTAAGGTGGTGGGAGGGTAACACCTGGATGGGGCGGGGGGGATGGCCTCCGGTTGCGATGCCTCCACCTGACGGGGCGGAGTCTTTGAGGAGTTGTCGCTTACGTCGACAGTCTAGTTCTTTGAAGTCCTTGTTGAGCAGCGGAGAGAGATACACCTGCACAAGGAACTAGTATGTTAAATCTCAAATATGAAAATATCTTATTGGATCATTCGCCCAGCACTTAAGTGTTATGAAATGTGCGTAATGCATTTGCATTACAACAAACATTTTTGTAGACATCTCCACTATAACCAACAACTGAGTACAGAGGAACTGAAAGTCACAAACTGATGATCTAATATTCTATTGTACATTACTGAACTACATTGAGCGATTTGATAGAAAAAAGGTTGAAAAACCTTCAGTGAATGTAAACCAACAGACCTTTTCAGGAAAGTAGTCTCTGCTGGGGCAGCGTAGGCCAGCAGGCGTGAGGAGGAAGGGCTCTGTGAAGGTGATGAATGGGGAGATACAAAGGATGATGTCCTTCAGCTCCTGTTTGAAGCCTGCCGTAAGTGTCTTGAGACGGTCGTCCGTCGAGGCCACCTGCTCGGTGGCAAAACAGAAGAGGATATTGTTGGACACTCTTGGAGGACAATGGAAACTAATTTCAAAATGCTTCTTTATTATTAAAACCAACGTGTTTCTGTCTATAGCCTTAATCCGTTTTTCCCCTCACCTGCTCTGTGACAAACAGCCCTGTGTCATCCTGCAGGGGGTCTCTGAACAGCCTGGGGGGCGTCTCCGAACCCGAGCTTTCCTCCCGCGACTCACCCCTCCCCAGAACCCCCGACCCGCTCCCCCCCTCAGTCTCCCCCTTCCCCGGCCCAATCTCATCTGCCAACTCCTCCAGGTCATCAATGAGATAGGGTGGGGACACTGGAGGTTGCAGCACCGGGCGATTGGACAATGGCGTGGAGGTCATGACCTCTGCTGACTCCAGCCCCTCGGCCCCCAGGGAGGAAGAGGAGGACAGGAAGTGGTTTTTGTTTACTTTTACACCATTGACATCTTTAGGCGAGGAGGACTCTGATACAGATTTCCGAAGGGAAGGCTTCTCCTCCTCCTCCTCCTTCTCCCCCAGCACAGTCTCTCCTCCCTGGGAGAGGGTGCTCTGGTCGGTCCCATTTTCCTGGTTCTCGCCCTGGCTCTCCTCCTCCTCCTCGACGGTAGTGCTCTCCAGGAGACAGGGGAAGGAGTTGGTCTTGGCCAGGCTGGGAGGCATGGCGAACTCATCCATGAGAAAGGATATCTCTAGCTGGGAGTGGTAGGCCACACACACCATGAGGATGATGATATCTTTAACCCTGGCCAGCTCGTACTCAGACGCCCCGCGAAGCTTTATGGTACAGCCCAGCTGGGGAGAGCAGCCCTCAAAGAACATCAGAGACTTCAACTCATCTGTCACAGAGAGAGCAGAAGGGGAGAGAGGAGAACATATTACACAGTTGTGCTGTGGCACTCAGAAGGAGGAGCCTGGAGGTAAGTCTAGACTAGGAGGGAGGAAGTTGTGAATGAAAGCACCTGGTTGCAGTATGTTTCATGTGTTGGATTATTTAAGTGAAGTAAGTTTTATGAATGGCTTTCAATATCTAAGAAGTAGAGATTTAAGATGTAGACTAAAAGTAGCTGAAGGCAGGAAGTTGAGGACAGAGTCGTTTCCCCTCACTGTTGGCCAGCTGGAAGGAGTGTAGGTAGAATTTTTGGCAGGTTCCCAGTCGAGGCTTGGTGAGCAGCTGGTCCATAGACATGACTAGGTCCCCCTGGGTCATACGACTCACCCTGTCCAAGACTTGCTGCAGAGAACCATAGAGGAGGGAAATAGAGACTGAGAGCAGGTATGGTTAATAGACAGCTGGCTACAGACACACTCATAAAGAGTAATACAATTGTTATAAAATATATAAACTAACAACAGCTACATACAGGTAGATGCCAAAATAATGGGAACACTTGAGTAAACGAGGGATACAAAGTATATTGATAGCAGGTGCTTCCACAAAGGTGTGGTTCCTGAGTTAATTAAGCAATTAACATCCCATCATGCTTAGGGTCATGTATAAAAATGCTGGGCAGGCCCACGGGGCATGAGTGGTCACTGAATGGTTTGGTGAGCATGAAAACGATGTAAACCATATGCCATGACCATCTCAGTCATCAGATCTCAACCCAATTGAACACTTATGGGAGATTCTGGAGCGGCGCCTTAGAGAGCGTTTTCCACCACCATCAACAAAACACCAAATTATGGAATTTCTCGTGGAAGAATGGTGTCACATCCCTCCAATAGAGTTCCAGACACATAGAAGCTGTTCTGGCTCGTGGTGGCCCAACGCCCTATTAAGACACGTTATGTTGGTGTTTCCTTTATTCTGGCAGTTACATGTATGTAATAATGTTCTAAAGCTAGCTAAAAGCTGGGTTTGGAAACATAACCCAGGCTAGTACGGTAACTAGTACACAGCGCTAGCGAGAGGGCAGGGCAGTACTGACTGGTTTGACATTGATAACCACAGCTAATAAGGTAACTAGCAGTACAGAGAGCTAGAGAGGTACTGACTGGTTTGACGTTGATGACCAGTGCGATCCCGTGCTCCAGCAGCATGTCCTGAGCGATACGAGACACAGTCTTCTCCACCAGCACCAGGTTGGGACGCACGTCCGCTATACGCTGAACATAGTTCTTCAGAAACTCACGCTCCTGGGGAACAAAGACAGACAAAGATTTGTTTATTTTTCTTAATTTCTAGAAATTGTGGATGGGTGCTAGCAAATTTGGAATTACTGAAATATTTATTCTAAATTTGCTTGTCTTAATGCCTAGCCCTTGATTAGGCTATTTGAAATGATACTTGTCATCTTGTTATTTTAGCTACATCAATCAGTCGTGCTTTAAACCAATATGACAGCCCAACCCACAAACCACTGATTGAGTGTCTAACTGACTGACCTGAAGCACGATGGGGTCAATGCAGGTGAACTTGGTCTCCTCTCTGTAGAGATACTCTATGGAACACTTCAGCAGCAGGATCTTGGGGTTCTTGATGTACGAGTTCATCTAAGATAAGACAAAATAGTACTTTACTGAGTTCATCTGCACATAGACAAGCAATACACGGTGTCATTCTGGCTCTGTTTACAGGGAGAGATGGTGGTTGTTGTTACAGGAGAGGAGAGGGAACCTACCTTTTTGTGGGCAATGTTCTTGGTACAGACAAAACCATTCACTACGGCAGAGTCAAACTTCTTCCCTCCAGGAATCTAAAAAAAGAAACATAGAAATAATGCCATTTTGGTTACATTAAATTACTCGAAAGTCAACTCCTACAGTGTGTGCAGTATAAGTACAGCTAAATGACAAATAACCTGATTCAGAGTTCAGATAAGTGCAGGCAACTCAGACTTTAGCGTAAATCTTTCATTGACTTCAATATGGAGACTTGCACAGAAAGTCCAGTTAATCACCCAAATCTCAAGTCAGAATACCTCCATGAGAGCGCTGTCAGTGTAGCCTCGTAATTACCAGACTGATTACCGCTGTGCTACAGAATGTAAGCTTGCGAGATTTCCGGATGGTTGTACGAGGTTACTGTCAGTGAGCTACCTTCTTGATGTGGACTAGTTGTCTGATGTCCATGTCATCATCACAGCTGCGAACGTCCGGCCGTACCGTCTGCACCACCTGCCTCACCACGGGAACAATGATGTCACGCCAGGAGAGGGACAGGGACTCGCTGTACAGCAGCTGCTGCAGCAGCGCCATCATGTGGCTGTGGTTGGCAGAGCTGGGGAAGGGAGGGAGGGGAGAAAACAGCAGTTTTAGGCAAGTATACCATGCTGATTCACCAGCTAAATATTTTACATAACACCATAGTATGCTCCAATTCATACTGAGATGTTGTTTTATCTAAAAGAATGACTCATAAATATGTTCCACTTCAGTTCCAGTTCTACTTCACTTCAGTAGGCTAAAGACTAGTCTTTAGTTTCCAAACATCCCACATACCTATAAATAAGAGGAATGACAAAAACATTTGAGCAACTTTCTAACCTCTAAGTTATGACTGTACTCACAGTAGCCTCTCCATTGCCTTCTTCTCTCCATTCTCCTCCCTGAGCTGGTCCAGGGAGCTGTGGTGCCAGCCCAGAGGAGTAAACAGCATCTCTTTAACCTTCTCCTCCACACGACGGTTAAACAGGGACTCTACAGCACACACACAGAGACAGAGAGAAGCGTGAGAGAGCGAGATATAGAGAATGTTAGCTTGGCTTACAGCTACAATACATTAGGTTCAGTACCAACTGCTTGTTCAATAGAAAGAATACACAGCTGCAAAAGAGTTGAAAAGGAAGCAATACTTGGGGAGGAAGTGGGGAATTCCAGGGTCATTCCACAAAAAGAGTGCCTTTTGCGTGCATCCCTTTGATATTTTAAGTAGGAATTGTGCACCAATATTGCATTTTAAAGCCTGTTATATTAAATTAACTGCCCTTTAATATAGACCACATGGAGAATAAAATAAAATAAAATTAACTTTTATTAAAGGCTCCCTTTGTCAACCCTGTGTCGTCACTTCTAAGAAGATTTCAACCCACTTAATCCCAACATTCTCAAAGTTTCAACATCATTGTAAAGTCCTAGTTATTTTGTTGCTTTGAAAAAAGTCATTTCTGAACATGATAATTTATTTCATGTGATCAGTGATTCATTTACATCTGTCCCTCATTTTAAGGTCAACCCTGTTATGTGAACTGAACTTTCATTTTAATATGGTGAACCGTGGCGGCCCACCCATTAGGGCGTTAGGGGAAGTGCCCCACTTTTGATTGGTTTAAATAAGTGAAAAACAATAAATAGAACAAATCTAAAGTTATCTACTGCTCTGTCCTCAGCAGCACCGGGCATCCGGCCTGCCGCCCAGCACGCGGATTGCATTGCCAGCTATTACATTGCTTGCTATTGGGTCTGCTCACTCAGGTACTGAACAGATTGGGCTAAAGAGCAAATTGCAAATGACCTTGTACATAAATAATCATGAAAGTCTTTGGGAGCCTGGGGCCTGAACCAGACACTTGCTAAAACCTTCTCACGGATCTGGTAGGACAAAAAAAAACATTGCTCTGTGCCCAATTCGCAAAACACTGTTTTTTGTTTCCTGCCATTAGATGCTATCTAGTGGACACTAGCTACCAGAAAGCTAGCATACCGGTAACTAGCTTGCTAGCTCGCATGGCAATCAACTCCAACTAAAGTTACTGCCGACTTCATCATGCTATCTAGCTATCCCCAGTTAGATCATTTGTTTTCACGTCTCGCATTTGTGCTTGTTGCGTTTTCCCTGTGCGTGTACATCGATGCACTCGTGAGCTGGCTGCGAGCTGCTCGTTCTAAAGATATAACTTTGGTAATCAAAACAGTGGCAGCATGTGCAGCAGAGGTGATTCAGTTTTTACATGCAAAAGTAAATTGGTGTATTTATGCTGTTGTTCAAATGCACAGATAACTTTATACAGTTGAAGTCGGAAGTTCACATACACTTAGGTTGGAGTCATTAAAACTTGTTTTTCAACCACTCCACAAATGTCTTGTTAACAAACTATAGTTTTGGCAAGTCGGTTAGGACATCTACTTCGTGCATGACACAAGTAATTTTTCCAACAATTGTTTACAGACAGAATATTTCACATTTAATTCACTGTATCACAATTCCAGTGGGTCAGAAGTTTACATACACTAAGTTGACTGTGCCTTTAAACAGCTTGGAATATTCCAGAAAATGATGTCATGGCTTTAGAAGCTTCTGATAGGCTAATTAACATCATTTGAGTCAATTGGAGGTGTACCTGTGGATGTATTTCAAGGCCTACCTTCAAACTCAGTGCCTCTTTGCTTGACATCATGGGAAAATCTAAATAAATCAGCCAAGACCTCAGAAAAAAATTTGCAGACCTCCACAAGTCTGGTTCATCCTTGGGAGCAATTTCCAAATGCCTGAAGGTACCACGTTCATCTGTACAAACAATAGTACGCAAGTATAAACACCATGGGACCACGGGGCCGTCATACCGCTCAGGAAGGAGACGCGTTCTGTCTCCTAGAGATTAACGTACTTTGGTGCGAAAAGTGCAAATCAATCCCAGAACAACAGCACAGGACCTTGTGAAGATGCTGGAGGAAACAGGTACAAAAGTATCTATATCCACAGTAAAACAAGTCCTATATTGACATAACCTGAAAGGCTGCTCAGCAAGGAAGAAGCCACTGCTCCAAAACCACGATAAAAAAGCCAGACTACGGTTTGCAACTGCACATGGGGACAAAGATTGTACTTTTTGGAGAAATGTCCTCTGGTCTGATGAAACACAAATAGAACTGTTTGGCCATAATGACCATCGTTATGTTTGGAGGAAAAAGGGGTTGGCTTGCAAGCCGAAGAACACCATCCCAACCGTGAAGCACGGGGGTGACAGCATCATGCTGTGGGGGTGCTTTGCTGCAGGAGGGACTGGTGCACTTCACCAAATAGATGGCATCATGAGGAAGGACAATTATGTGGATATATTGAAGCAACATCTCAAGACATCAGTCAGGAAGTCAAAGCTTGGTCGCAAATGGGTCTTCCAAATGGACAATGACCCCAAGCATACTTCCAAAGTTGTGGCAAAATGGCTTAAGGACAACAAGTCAAGGTATTGGAGTGGCCATCACATAGCCCTGACCTCAATCCTATAGAAAATGTGTGGGCAGAACTGAAAAAGCGTGTGCGAGCAAGGAGGCCTACAAACCTGACTCAGTTACACCAGCTCTGTCAGGAGGAATGGGCCAAAATTCACCCAACTTATTGTGGGAAGCTTGTGGAAGGCTACCCGAAAAGTTTGACCCAAGTTAAACAATTTAAAGGCAATGCTACCAAATACTAATTGAGTGTATGTAAACTTCTGACCCACTGGGAATGTGATGAAATAAATAAAAGCTGAAATAAATCATTCTCTCTACTATTATTCTGACATTTCACATTCTTAAAATAAAGTGGTGATCCTAACTGACCTAAAACAGGGAATCTTTACTAGGATTAAATGTTAGGAATTGTGAAAAACTGAGTTTAAATGTATTTGGCTAAGGTGAATGTAAACTTCCGATTTCAACTGTAAATCTTCCCAAAGAAACAACCAGTAATCTGAATACTTAATTCAGTCATGCTGCTTTGTTGACAGTATGACAACTCCCCAGTTGACAGTAACACTTCTCAAAAGACACAGAATTGGTGGAACGACCCTCCTACCTTTGATGAAGGCGTCGCTGATGGAGATATTCTGTCCTCCGTCCTCTGAGACCAGGTACTCTGATAGGAGAGAGAAAGAGGAGAAATGCATCAACACACACAACTCCACCTTCCAAAAACATATACCGGTACCTGTTATGGGAACTGGCAATGCCAACAGATAGGTTATGTTCCTCTTTGTGTGCTATACTATATTTTTTTCTGACCGCCACACTTATTTCCTGTCACAGTTCCTTTAAACGTTGGGCTGGTTGTTGTTGTAACAGCAGGTCAGGTGCAAAAATCCCACTTTAGAGCAAAATAAATCTGAATTGAGCTTTCAGACTGAGGTTGCATATGAAACATTGGAATTGTATTAGGATTGAGAACCACATAGGCAGCCCAATTCTGATTTTTTGCCCAATTATGGGCAAAAGAGCTGATCTGATTGGTCAAAAGCCCAATTAGTCAAAAAAAGATCAGAATTGGGCTGCCTGTGTTAACGCAGCCATACAAATGTGAACTCAACAGACCAGATTCCACGGAGAAAAGATAAGATAGGTATCAGATAGGACAATACATCAGATTTTGGGTGATTGTGTAAACACAGCCTTAGTAAAGGTGTTTGCCTACAGCAAGACAACAGCAACCAATCAATATATGTGTGTGTGTGTGGCTCAGTACCTTTCTGCTCCGTAGGGTGCGGAGGTACATGCGGGTACTTGGACTGTTTCTTAATGTGGAAGTTGACATTGTCCTGCTCCATATTGAGGTTGATGGAGGCAGCTGAGTCACTGTCCACCGCTGACTGGAAACTGCTGACTGACGTCCTCTTACTGGGACTGGACGAGTCTGATTGGGGGGGGGGGGGGGGGGGGGGGGGGGGGATTTATTTATTTATTTATTAGTCATGTAATAAAAATGGAATTTCTCTTCTTGATACATAGCAGCATGGAGGGGAATAAATACTAAGATACATATCAGAGACAGTACAAAAGGGCTCTTAGAATTAATTATTAGTTCATTAGTTGAGTAAGACATTTAAGCATGTTAACCCCCGCAAGGCTGCCGGCCCAGGCGGCATCCCTAGCTGCGTCCTCAGAGCATGCGCAGACCAGCTGGCTGGTGTGTTTACGGACATATTCAATCTCTCCCTTTCTCAGTCTGCTGTCCTCACATGCTTCAAGATGGCCACCATTGTTCCTGTACCCAAGAAAGCAAAGGTAACTGAACTAAATGACTATCGCCCCGTAGCACTCACCTCTGTCATCATGAAGTGCTTTGAGAGACTAGTCAAGGATCATATCACCTGCACCTTACCTGTCACCCTAGACCCACTTCAATTTGTTACCGCCCCAATAGATCCACAGACAATGCAATCGCCATCACACTGCTCACTGCCCTATCCCATCTGGACAAGAGGAATACCTACATCAGAATGCTGTTCATTGACTATAGCTCAGAATTCAACACCATAGTACCCTTCAAGCTCATCATTAAGCTCGAGGCCCTGGGTCTGAACCCCGCCCTGTGCAACTGGGTCCTGGACTTCCTGACAGGCCACCCCCAGGTGGTGAAGGTAGGAAACAACATCTCCACTTCGCTGATCCTCAACACTGGGGCCCTACAAGGGTGCGTGCGCAGCCCCCTCCTGTACTCCCTGTTCTCCCATGAGTGCGTGGCCAAGCACGCCTCCAACTCAATCATCAAGTTTGCAGACAACACAACAGTAGTAGGCTTGATTACCAACAATGACGAAACCGCCTACAGGGAGGAGGTGAGGGCTCTGGGGAGTGTGGAGCCAGGAAAATAATCTCTCACTCAACATCAACAAAACAAAGGAGATTATCGTGGACTTCAGGAAACGACGGGACCGCAGTGGAGAAGGTGGAAAGCTTCAAGTTCATTGGCGTACACATCACTGACAAACTGAAATGGTCCACCCACTCAGACAGTGTGGTGAAGAAGGTGCAACAGAGCCTCTTCAACCTCAAGAGGCTGAAGAAATTTGGCTTGGCACCTAAAACCCTCACAAACTTTTACAGATGCACAATTGAGAGCATCCTGTCAGGCTGTATCACCGCCTGGTACGGCAACTGCACCACCCGCAACCGCAGGGCTCTCCAGAGGGTGGTGCGGTCTGCCGAACGCATTACCAGGGGCAAACTACCCGCCCTCCAAGACACCTACAGCACCCGATGTCACAGGAATGCCAAAAAGATCATCAAGGACGTCAACCACCCGAGCCACAGCCTGTTCACCCCGCTATCATCCAGAAGGCGAGGTCAGTACAGGTGCATCAAAGTTGGGACCGAGAGAATGAAAAACAGCTTCTATCTCAAGGCCATCAGACTGTTAAATAGCCATCACTAGCACACTAGAGGCTGCTGCTGCCTATTGAAATAACTGGCCACTTTAAGAAATGGAACACTAGTCACTTTAATAATGTTTATATATCTTGCATCTCATACAGTGAGGGAAAAAAGTTGATTTGCTGATTTTGTACGTTTGCCCACTGACAAAGACATGATCAGTCTATAATTTTAATTGTAGGTTTATTTAACAGTGAGAGACAGAATAACAACAAAAAAATCCAGAAAAACGCATGTCAAAAATTGTATAAATTGATTTGCATTTTAATGAGGGAAATAAGTATCTGACCCCTCTGCAAAACATGACTTAGTACTTGGTGGCAAAACCCTTGTTGGCAATCACAGAGGTCAGACGTTTCTTGTATTTGGCCACCAGGTTTGCACACATCTCAGGAGGGATTTTGTTCCACTCCTCTTTGCAGATCTTCTCCAAGTCATTAAGGTTTCGAGGCTGACGTTTGGCAACTCGAACCTTCAGCTCCCTCCACAGATTTTCTATGGGATTAAGGTCTGGAGACTGGCTAGGCCACTCCAGGACCTTAATGTGCTTCTTCTCGAGCCACTCCTTTGTTGCCTTGGCCGTGTTTTTTGGGTCATTGTCATGCTGGAATACCCATCCACGGCCCAGGGAAGGAGGTTCTCACCCAAGATTTGACGGTACATGGCCCCGTCCATCATCCCTTTGATGCAGTGAAGTTGTCCTGTCCCCTTAGCAGAAAAACACCTCCAAAGCATAATGTTTCCACCTCCATGTTTGACGGTGGGGATGGTGTTCTTGGGGTCATAGGCAGCATTCCTCCTCCTCCAAACACGGCGAGTTGAGTTGATGCCAAAGAGCTCCATTTTGGTCTCATCTGACCACAACACTTTCACCCAGTTCTCCTCTGAATCATTCAGATGTTCATTGGCAAACTTCAGACAGCCCTGTATATGTGCTTTCTTGAGCAGGGGGACGTTGCGGGCGCTGCAGGATTTCAGTCCTTCACGGCGTAGTGTGTTACCAATTGTTTTCTTGGTGACTATGGTCCCAGCCACCTTGAGATCATTGACAAGATCCTCCCGTGTAGTTCTGGGCTGATTCCTCACCGTTCTCATGATCATTGCAACTCCATGAGGTGAGATCTTGCATGGAGCCCCAGGCCGAGGGAGATTGACAGTTCTTTTGTGTTTCTTCCATTTGCGAATAATCGCACCAACTGTTGTCACCTTCTCACCAAGCTGCTTGGCAATGGTCTTGTAGCCCATTCCAGCCTTGTGTAGGTCTACAATCTTGTCCCTGACATCCTTGGAGAGCTCTTTGGTCTTGGCCATGGTGGAGAGTTTGGAATCTGATTGATTGATTGCTTCTGTGGACAGGTGTCTTTTATACAGGTAACAAACTGAGATTAGGAGCACTCCCTTTAAGTGTGCTCCTAATCTCAGCTCGTTACCTGTATAAAAGACACCTGGGAGCCAGAAATCTTTCTGATTTAGACGGGGTCAAATACTTATTTCCCTCATTAAAATGCAAATCAATTTATAACATTTTTGACATGCGTTTTTCTGGATTTTTTTGTTGTTATTCTGTCTCTCACTGTTCAAATAAACCTACCATTAAAATTATAGACTGATCATTTCTTTGTCAGTGGGCAAACGTACAAAATCAGCAGGGGATCAAATACTTTTCCCTCACTGTATGTATATACTGTATTCTATTCAATAATATTCTACTGTATCTTAGTCCATGCCGCTCTGTCATTGCTTGTCCATATATGTATATATTCTTAAATTCCATTCCTTACTAGATTTGTGTGTATTGGGTATATGTTGTGAAATTGTTAGATATTACTTGTTAGATATTACTGCACTGTCGGAGCTAGAAGCACAAGCATTTCGATACACCCGCAATAACATCTGCTAAACACGTGTATGGGACAAATAACATTTGATTTGATTTGAGAAATACTAAGAAACATCTCAGAGATATTACAGAAGGACTCAACTACCTATTATTTAGGAAAACAACAGACATGGACATGAGGCTAGTTGTAGTAATGCATAGCCAGAGTGCCAGAGTCACAAGGCATGCTGGGATACTTACTGGGCGTACTCGGCATGACATAGTCATTCTCGTCAGCCACCTGGTCTGTGTCACTGTCGTCAAACTTGATGTCTTTGAACCAGGAAGGTTCTGAGTGTCCTTCCAGAGAGTTGACACTGTCACTGTCAGGAGACGGGGTCTCAGAGAAGTCTGTGTTCTGTGAGAAGAGAAGACACCTTCATCAACATCACCATAGTCATGAGCAACAGTATCACCACCATCATTATCATCATCAGAAAAAGCATAATCAACCATCATCATCTACACAATCATCATAATGTTCACAATCATCGTCATCATCAGGAGCAGCAACAGCATCATCATCATCAACACCACTATTGTCATGATCATCATCCTCACAATTATGACCACCATCATCACCAACACCACCCCCATCAGCATTGTTAAAAATATCAGTGTCCTCTTCCCCTTATTCCCACAAAACAGTATCTCACCTGGAGGGGGCGATAGAGAGCATACTCATCCCTGAACAGCTGGTCGTGGTGAGTGACACAGTCCAACCAACGACCATCTACCAGAGCCTGGCCAATGGCTATCGCCTGGGCCCTGCAAGAGTGTGAGTGAGCGATAGAGAGACACAGAGAGAGACAGAGACAGAGAGAGAGCGAGAAAGAGAATAGAGGATAGATGAGGGAGAAAGAACATTTAGTAACTAATGTAACCTCTGCTTAATACAATAGGATGCTTACTCAGACTTCCACAATGGTTTTCACTCAGCTAGCCATGATGTCTGTCTTTACCTGGTAGAGATGGTTCCATTCCTTAGCAGCCAGTTGACCAGCTCCTTCCCCACAATGCAGTTGGGGTATGTACGGAGCCAGTAGCGGTGGTCCTGGAACTCCATACCAGTACTGTTGTGACAAATCTTCTTCCACAGGTCTTTGAGCTGGGACGAGTCCTACATGTCATGACAGTCAGTCAGTCAAAAATGACTTTTGTGTTTGCTTTGTCAACAATGGATTGTAAATTGGAGAGAGAAAAGTATACAGACCAAGATAGAGGGAGAGATAGAGGATAGAGGGAAGCGAGAGAGCGAGAGAAAGCGAAAGAGAGTAACGGTGAGATGGAGAGAGAGGGCGAGCGAGAGATTCAGAGTGAGAAAGCGTGATTCAGAGTGAGATAGAATAAGGGGAAAAGAGGGAATGAAAGTAAGAGAGCATCATTACCAACAGTATCTTCCTCTCCTCTTCGCTGTGGTCAGGTTTGGGCATGGCCCTGCTGGTCTGTGGGCTCACTGAGCTGTCATAGGAGGGCACCATGGAGGAGCCAGACCGGTCCAGGGACAGGTTGGTCACACTGGCTGACCTGGATAAGACAGGGCTGGCATTACAGGACCATCACTCAATAGATGCAACAACACATTTTCATTCTGTACCTTACTTCTCATTCTATTTCTCTAACTACTTTGTATGTTGATTATTGTGTGTGTGTGTGTGTGTGTGTCTGTGGAAAAGGCATCGGTATTTGAAATTATTTCACTATTCGAATAAAATAAAAATAAAAATCTGGATAGTTTAAATACAAGGATTTTTTTATTTATTTTTTACTTGCTCGAGCGACTCGGGAGAAAACCGGTGCGCTGAGCTCCGCTTGTTTCAGCAGAAGGGTGGGGTAGGTGCGAGAGAGGAGCAGGGGCTGGTGTGTGGCAGTCTGTGTGTGGCACGGAGGGAGCAAGAGAGAGATAAAGTAGCCAAACCAACTCGCGCTAGTTAGACAAACTTGTTGCTGCCATTGGTTATATTTTATACCATCTGGTAGTGTCTGTCTTGGCTGCATCAAATCGTAGTAAAGAAGCTAGCTAGTTAAAGTAGCAAGGCTGGCTAATTGAGGCTATTTTGCTGCGCTCCCTGTCCTTGTCTACAACAACTCCATTCATATTAAACAACAGCCTACATGTTGGTGGATCATTGTAGCCTACTCCTTCAGCCAATTTAATTCTGTAATTATAATTCCATTTTGCATTGATTACAAATCTCCCAGTTCACTTGCTACACATTGAGCCTAGGACTTCGATGACAATAACAACAAGCTACACGTGCGAAATGTGTGTATGATACCGTCTTTTTTTTAATGGGGCGCACTCATAAAGAATGTAATAAAACTGTAGTTTTATTAAAATTGGAATGTAATGTCTGTCCTTGTAGGCTATGTTTCGATGTCACATAGATAATTACATTTCATTTCAGACAAAGCCTTTCCATTGTTAAAGTGTGGAAGGGGGGAGGGGGGGGGGGGTAATACATGTCAAAAAGGGTGCAACAGAAATAGAATGAACACACTATTATAACTATTCTATATTTTATTTAACCTTTATTTTGACAGGGAAGACTAGGGTCTCTTTTACAGATGAGACCTGCATAAATACATCAAACATATACAATATACAAAATTACAAGACAGATAAACAGACACATTTATCAACATAGAGGTCTCTGATCATTACTCTAAACTGACCAATGGGGACCAGAACATCTCATTTCAGAGAGCTCTGTAAGTTGTTCCACATAAAGGGCGCAAAAAAACTAAAAGCAGCTTTACCCAACTGTGTGGAGACCAAAAGGGCCTCCAGTGTTATCCAAGCCTGAGACCGGGTTTGGTCATTTGGAAGTCTAAATTGAATGAATGATGATAGAAAGTTTCTGCATGAGTGCTTTGTAGATAAACACAAGAAAATGCTGCTCTCTCCTTACATACAATGAGGCCCAACCCACTTTTTGATACAAAACACAGTGGTGAATTCTATAACCATCACCAGTAATAAACCTAAGGGCACAATGGAAAACAGCATCTAGTGGTTTAAGTGTAGATGCTGCTGCATGCATATAGATAATATCCCCAGAATCTAAAATAGACAAAAATGGCCTGGACAATTTTCTTCCTATTAACAAAAGTCAGACATGCTTTGTTTCTGTAAAAGAAACCAACCTTGAACTTCATATAAATCTCTCTCTGTGGGATGCACCATCAGAGAATAGGGCACCAAAATACAAGCCCTAAACCTAGCTGGAATAATGTAAAAGTAGCTGTAAAAGGGTTCTATAAAAAGCTGTTGGGCCAAAAGCAGACACTCACCGCTTCCTTATTGGTGACTTGCCTCCATCCTCTTGTAGCGTGGTCCGTCTAGAATTCATGCCACTGTTCTGAGACTCCTGGTGAATCAAACTGACACACACAGACATACAAACCAATTCATTCCTGAACTAAATAATTTTACATCCATCTTTGATGTCCATATAACACTCCCGTTACTTGCTATGGTAGACGCATGCAGAAGTCTCAATATGGTAGGGCTCGAATGGTAAAGCTCAACTCAAAAGTAAAAGAAAGACAAAACTGTTACAAGCTGTCAGAGAAGTTGGAAAGTTAATAAAAATAACAGCAGGACTCACTTCTTTCTCATCCCAATGGGAGTTTTTCTATGCCAGGAGAGAAGGGGGGAAATATTTTCTTTGAGCAAGAGCAGCACACTGATAATTGGATCAAAGCTGGTTATATAGTTCAAAGGAATGGCATTTTAGTAGAGCTAACCAACGATATAAAAGCATGCGTTCCCTGTCAAAATCAAACAAAGGGATGTCTGAAAAACACAATAGGAAAAAGTATTTTCAATTGAATAATATGGCATACCTCTTGGTAATCATTGTATCAAAAGTCAACAATTTATTAGAAATCCCTGTTTTTCAAAAGGGTCCCCTCTCAAAGGTAATACGAATGATTGGTTAGGAAGAAGTAGAGGGCCAATAAAACCGTGCCCGTGAAAGTGGACCAAGCAGGGATAAGGAACGCACCCAGTACACAAGTGATGAAAAGGAGGACAGGCGGAGGAGACAGGAGAAGGATGGAGTGGGCAGGGAGGGAGAGGACAGGACATGGAGAGGAGAGGATATGGGGGATGAAGAACGCTCAATGTTTCTCTCTCCTCTGTCTCTTCAACTCTGCATTTGGAGGAAAAGACAAAGATATGAGAGTAGGGATACAGAGAATCATGCAGGATATACACTGAGAGAAAGAAAACACTGATGACAAGAGAGGTGAAGAGAAGACAACAAAAGACTAGAGGTCAATGCGAAGGAGGAGTGCATGCATCGTTCGTAGGACAGGACGGGAGGGGAAGGGAACAAAATGACTAGAGGAAGGATGCAAAAGACTGGAGAGTGCATGCATGGGGTTCCTCCCACAGAGTTAAATCTATGATTTAAATATTGATTTATCTCTATGGTTTCTCCTCTCCGTGCTGAGTGCCATTTGGGATGCAGCCGTAGTTTACCTCTGCCAGGCCAGGTCCTCCTCTAGGAAGATGTTGCGGCTGGCCTTCCGTCCACCGACTGGGGTGCGAGGCTCGCTGGGCTCCAGGACACAGGTGGAGCAGGGGGAGGAGTCAGACAGAGCAGACAGGTCCTCCCCTATGGAGCCAGAGTCTGCAGAGTGGGCGTAGCTCAGAGCGATCTTACGGCAGTAGGTGCAGGCCCGCAGGTCTCCTATACATTTAACATTTAAGTCATTTAGCAGACGCTCTTATCCAGAGCGACTTACAAATTGGAGAGTAACAGAGCGAGAGTAAGAGTAAGAGTGGGAGAGTGAGAGAGAGAGAGAGAGAGAGAGAGAGAGAGAGAGAGAGAGAGAGGAGAGGAGAGAGAGAGAGAGAGAGAGAGAGAGAGAGAGAGAGAGAGGAGAGAGAGGAGAGAGAGAGAGGAGAGAGAGAGAGAGAGGAGAGAGAGAGAGAGAGAGAGGAGAGAGAGAGAGAGAGAGGTGACAATGGAGGGAGGGAGACAGAGAGAAAGGTAGGAGTCAGTGAGAGGAAGAGCAGGTCCTGCAATGAGCTAGGATGGAGGCAGTATTGTGGTTACTGTGATGTGGTCACTGCATGGCATGGTTAGGTCACATCACATCATCAAAGGACAAACATGCTATTGATTAGATCTCTTGGTCTCAGATTCTCACATCACAGCAATGTTAGCTCAAACGCTAGCTCAAACGCTACTGGTCAACCAGTCAACTTACCCAAGTCCAACTTAAGTAACACACACAACCACAGCAGAAAAACACACACCATGCTATGAGAACCCATAGACCTCTGTACATACATATGATCCCAGCGGTGGCTCTCCTAGATCTCTTCCATTGGACCTCACTAACACATTGTGACCCTGCTTTGGGTTAATTCTTTAGGGGCTGTCTCCCCTCTCCTCAGGAGGTCTCTAGGGATAATGATGATGATGCAGGCAGGCAGAGGGTGGGCATGGTCTTGGGTTCATGCCCCCCCCCCCACCCCCTCCTGTGAGTCCCCAAAGCACTCACCCGTGTAGCCCATGAACTTGCCAGGGATTTCCTGGTTGCAGCAGCGGCTGCAGAAGATCTGGCCACAGAGCCGGCAGTGGTGGCGGCGGCGGAAGGTGGTGAACTTCTCATTGCAGTCGTAGCACTCCTTACACTGGCTGTCTGGCATCCAGTACTGCTTCAGGTCACTGTCCTGCAATATGCCTTCTTTATTTAGTGGACCAATTAGCACTGTGGTATAAAGTAATGCTGAAGCAATCTTTTCAAAGTATATGGAAACTATATTTCACTGAAATCAAACGGTTAGATGAAACAATAACAGCCTACTTTTAAAGAATAAGAGGTGTCCAATTTGTAAGTCGCTCTGGATAAGAGTGTCTGTTAAATGATGTAAATGTAAATGTGTCTTCACATGTTATCCTATATTTGGAACAGTTGCCTGTGTGTGACTGTGATAGTTAGCTAGGCTATATTACTCCAAGTAAAACCAAGCAGCATTAGAGTAACGGTGTGTAAAACAACAGCAGTGTAATGTGAAGTACAATAAACAGCAGCAGCAGTGTGATGGTGAAAAGGTATGGTAGATACCTGGCTCTTTCCCTCCATGATCTCCTTGAGTCTCTTTAGAGCGGTGCGGAGCTGAACAGCCGTACGGGGATCGTGAGTGCCCAGGGGGGTTTCCGATTTCCTACGGCCCTCTAGGAGCACACACACACACGGTGCAAACATTTAGCATACACTTCATAGCAGATTTCATCTAACCATTCATGTCATGCAAATGCTCCCTTTTCATGCAAATAAAATGCAGAAAGGTAAAGGAGGGAGACTGGGAGAGCACATTTTTTATACCTCTCTTAGGTGACTGTAGGTTGTAGCCCAATACGGGCATGGAAATTGAATATGTCTACAAGGATTTGCTTTTGATAATGGCAGGTTAAGTTAAAAAAGGATTGCGCAATAACACAACAGAAGCTTACCAGTATATCAGTTGCCATAAACTAGGCTCTAGTGAACAATTATGGTTATGAATAAAATTATACAGATAACGCAATTGGTACTTCAAGACAAATGCCATTGAGTAAGAAACCAAAAAGGTAGTATGATGTTAGTTCTTATATCATTATGCAAACACATACAACTTATCAAATATCAGTGTTGGCAACAAAATAACATCAGAAGGCACTTAATCGATACATGCCAAAAGGTAGCTAGCTCAACACTCACACCAAAACCACTCATGTGCTTGGGTTAGCCGCCCACTCTATGAAACCAGGTTGTTAAAAATCAAGCACAAAAACATTTTAGAATTCTTAGCACACACACAGTATAGAAGGCCCTCACCCTCACCAGGCCATAATGGCCAGTCCACTGCAAAAAGAAAAGACATACATCAGCTTTTTGAATGGATGTCATGTTACTCACACTGTGCATCCATTCTTCTCTGCACGTCGCTATCTTAAAACTATAAAATGTATAGCCCTCACAAAATGAGCAGTAGTCCAATACGCAGTCTAGCCCATGATAGAAAGACAGCACCTCTCCCTTAAGCTTGCTTAGGGGTTATAATGCCTCCAGTGTCTCTGATCTCTGACTGATGTCTAATCCCATCATAATGAAACTTTCATCATCATTATCAGGTCAAGCCAGAGAGACAGTTCATGTAATCACTCCAAATGTAAATGAAAGCACAAAGAATCACTCAAGTTTTATTTGTTACATGCATGAGTACAGTGAAACGCTTAACTTGCAAGCTCTACCCAACAGTGCAGTATTCAACCCCCCACTGTATAAGTATACAGTACCAGTCAATAGTTTGGACACACCTACTCATTCAAGGGTTTTTCTTTATTTTTACTATTTTCTACATTGTAGAATAATAGTGAAGACGTCAAAACTATGAAATAACACATATGGAATCATGTAGTAACCAAAAAAGTGTTAAACAAATCAAAATATATTTTATATTTGAGATTCCTCAAAGTTGCCACCCTTTGCCTTGATGACAGCTTTGCACACTCTTGGCATTCTCTCAACCAGCTTCATGAGGTACTCACCTAGAATGCATTTAAATTAACAGGTGTGCCTTGTTAAAAGTTAATTTGTGGAATTTCTTTCCTTCTTAATGCGTATGAGCCAATCAGTTGTGTTGTGACAAGGTAAGGGTGGTATACAGAAGATAACCCTATTTGGTAAAAGACAAAGTCCATATTATGGCAAGAACAGCTCAAATAAGCAAAGAGAAACAACAGTCCATCATTACTTTAAGACATGAAGGTCAGTCAATCCGCAAAGTGCAGTCGCGAAAACCATGAAACGCTATGATGAAACTGTCTCTCATGAGGACCGCCACAGGAAAGGAAGACCCAGAGTTACCTCTGCTGCAGAGGATAAGTTAATTAGAGTTAACTGCACCTCAGATTGCAGCCCAAATAAATGCTTCAGAGTTCAAGTTACAGACACATCTCAACCTCAACTGTTCAGAGGAGACTGAATCAGGCCTTCATGGTCAAATTGCTGCAAAGAAACCACTACTAAAGGACACCAATAAGAAGAAGAGACTTGCTTGAGCCAAGAAACACAAGCAATGGACATTAGACCAGTGGAAATCTGTCCTTTGTTCTGATGAGTCCAGATTTGAGATTTTTGGTTCCAACCGCTGTGTCTTTCTGAGACGCAGAGTAGGTAAATAGATGATCTCCGCATGTAGGGTTCCTACTGTGAAGCATGGAGGAGAAGGTGTGATGGTGCTTTGCTGGTGACACTGTCAGTGATTTATTTAGAATTCAAGGCACACTTAACCAGCATGGCTACCACAGCATTCTGCAGCGATACGCCATCCCATCTAGTTTGCGCTTAGTGGGACTATAATTTGTTTTTCAACAGGACAATGACCCAAAACACACCTCCAGGCTGTGTAAGGGCTATTTGACCAAGGAGAGTGATGGAGTGCTGCATCAGATGACCTGGCCTCCACAATCACCCGACCTCAACCCAATTGAGATGGTTTGGGATGAGTTGGACCGCAGAGTGAAGGAAAAGCAGTCAACAAGTGCTCAGCATATGTGGGTACTCCTTCAAGACTGTTGGAAAAGCATTCCTCATGAAGCTGGTTGAGAGAATGCCAAGAGTGTGCAAAGCTGTTATCAAGGCAAAGGGTGTCTACTTTGAAGAATCTCAAGTATAAAATATATTTTGATTTGTTTAACACTTTTTTGGTTACTACATGATTCCATATGTGTTATTTCATAGTTTTGATGTCTTCACTATTATTCTACAAAGTAGAAAATAGTAAAAATAAAGAAAAACCCTTGAATGAGTAGGTTTGTCCAAACTTTTGACTGGTACTGTACATCTGATGTATTAGAAGAAATGTGTGTGAGTGAGAATGTGTTTTTTGTGTGTGTGTGTGTGGTACCTGAGGCAGTAGAAGTCCTGCGTAGCAGATCGTGGTGTTGTTTGCTATGGGCCCCAGAGCCGTGGATGGAGTGTGCTGGGCTGGTCCAGTTCCTACGCTCCCCAGTGGGTGACGCCACAGCCACATCCGGTTTCTCTGTCACTGAGGGTGGCCGCCCCTCCTCTGTACACGCAGACCAATTAGAACAGGTCATTTAAAGTGGCACTCCACCCTCCTTTTTACCTCATTTAACACCTGATTTACTTAACAAAAGGCACATCTCAATAGATGGCCCAGGTATCCTCATGACATGGCACAACTGGGGGGGGTTTATGTAATTTTAAAATAAGCAGATAAAGGCTTCATAATTCAGAAAGGTTTATCTAATAGAACATTTTTTATAAGATCTCCTAAGCCTGTGTTAACCTCAGACCTTATTTTCGGGGTTTATCCCAAAACCCTATTCTTTCCCCATTCATTTTCCCCATAGGAATGGCTGAACGAATCAGAGGCAACTCATTTCTGTTTTTTAGGACTACAAGCTCTATTGTTCCAACAAGCAAGGGGGGAGGTTGATAACATCAGAGGGCACCATCAGACCAACTCCTTAAATGGCCTACTCCTTGAAGTTTGCATTTGTGTCTAAAACAAAACACTATTTTGCCCGTAAAGGTGCACTATGCAGAAATCGCGCCGCCATTTCCTGGTAGCTAAAATTCTAATACTTCACCTAATTTCAAGCAAGTATAATGTAGAGAACCATTGTACCATCTAAACCGCTGTGAAATATATTTTCCATAACCAAAAATATTGTATTTTCAGCTGGTGTACAAAACCGAAAGTAAAAGACGCAAAAATGAAACGTAAGAACGGAAGGCATAGAAATAGTGCACATAGAAGAGCTCTACCGCTTATTAGACTTGTTTTCAATGAGAATGACAGATCTACAACTCAGATTTCTATGTGAATTTGGTTGGGTCGCCCAAAAAGTTATATATTGCAGCTTTAAGTGTGTGTACATTATTGTATTTATATGTGGGACATAGTTTTTCAACAGGAAAAGTTCAAAAATACCTGGAATGCATCTTTAACGTAAAAAAAGGTAATTGTTGACTCAGTTTATCCTACAGCCTTTATAAATGCCATACCAAAAACAGAAGGACGTTATTGCATGCCTCTGGTGTGTCGGGTGAGGGTCTGTGCTTTTTATGCAATACACAATGTATTGTGTCTAAATGTGTACTGTATGAATTGTTGTTGTCCATAAATATTCCCTTGCTCTCTCTAGATCTAATCTTATCAGCGTAAAGTGATTCACCATCCCTCTAATAATTCCATCAAAAAGTTATTTAAAAAATGTGAAATGGAATGTTAATGCTCCATGCTACAGTACAGTGGGGAGAACAAGTATTTGATACACTGCCGATTTTGCAGGTTTTCCTACTTACAAAGCATGTAGAGGTCTGTAATTTTTATCATAGGTACACTTCAACTGTGAGACGGAATCTAAAACAAAAATCCAGAAAATCACATTGTATGATTTTTAAGTAATTAATTTGCATTTTATTGCATGACATAAGTATTTGATCACCTACCAACCAGTAAGAATTCCGGCTCTCACAGACCTGTTAGTTTTTCTTTATGAAGCCCTCCTGTTCTCCACTCATTACCTGTATTAACTGCACCTGTTTGAACTCGTTACCTGTATAAAAGACACCTGTCCACACACTCAATCAAACAGACTCCAACCTCTCCACAATGGCCAAGACCAGAGAGCTGTGTAAGGACATCAGGGATAAAATTGTAGACCTGCACAAGGCTGGGATGGGCTACAGGACAATAGGCAAGCAGCTTGGTGAGAAGGCAACAACTGTTGGCGCAATTATTTGAAAATGGAAGAAGTTCAAGATGACGGTCAATCACCCTCGGTCTGGGGCTCCATGCAAGATCTCACCTCGTGGGGCATCAACGATCATGAGGAAGGTGAGGGATCAGCCCAGAACTACACGGCAGGACCTGGTCAATGACCTGAAGAGAGCTGGGACCACAGTCTCAAAGAAAACCATTAGTAACACACTACGCCGTCGTGGATTAAAATCCTGCAGCACACGCAAGGTCCCCCTGCTCAAGCCAGCGCATGTTCAGGCCCGTCTGAAGTTTGCCAATGACCATCTGGATGATCCAGAGGAGGAATGGGAGAAGGTCATGTGGTCTGATGAGACAAAAATAGAGCTTTTTGGTCTAAACTCCACTCGCCGTGTTTGGAGGAAGAAGAAGGATGAGTACAACCCCAAGAACACCATCCCAACCGTGAAGCATGGAGGTGGAAACATCATTCTTTGGGGATGCTTTTCTGCAAAGGGGACAGGACGACTGCACCGTATTGAGGGGAGGATGGATGGGGCCATGTATCGCGAGATCTTGGCCAACAACCTCCTTCCCTCAGTAAGAGCATTGAAGATGGGTCGTTGCTGGGTCTTCCAGCATGACAACGACCCGAAACACACAGCCAGGGCAACTAAGGAGTGGCTCCGTAAGAAGCATCTCAAGGTCCTGGAGTGGCCTAGCCAGTCTCCAGACCTGAACCCAATAGAAAATCTTTGGAGGGAGCTGAAAGTCCGTATTGCCAAGCGACAGCCCCGAAACCTGAAGGATCTGGAGAAGGTCTGTATGGAGGAGTGGGTCAAAATCCCTGCTGCAGTGTGTGCAAACCTGGTCAAGACCTACAGGAAACGTATGATCTCTGTAATTGCAAACAAAGGTTTCTGTACCAAATATTAAGTTATGTTGTTCTGATGTATCAAATACTTATGTCATGCAATAAAATGCAAATTAATTACTTAAAAATCATACAATGTGATTTTCTGGATTTTTGTTTTAGATTCCGTCTCTCACAGTTGAAGTGTACCTATGATAAAAATTACAGACCTCTACATGCTTTGTAAGTAGGAAAACCTGCAAAATCGGCAGTGTATCAAATACTTATTCTCCCCACTGTATATGAGCAGAGCCCTGTTGCCTTGGTGAGGGGCCTGCCAGTAAGGGCGGGGCCTGGAGAGAGGGAGACACATGACAGACCATGTGGTTGGCCGGCCCCCAACCTTGCACCTAGCCAACAGGCAGCTTCACTTCACATGACCTCATGGGACATGGGATCTGCTCCAAGTTGCATTCCGTTCCATTCCGCTTCCTGTTAATCTTAAACTAATTCTGACTGTAACCCCGGCTGGTGGTCAAGGCTACAGTACCTTTCCCTGCATCCTAGGGTACAGTACAGTAGTCTAGACTGTACAGTACTGCATAGTATAGGCTGCTATAGGGCACTCCACAGAATAAGGAATAACAGTGTGACAAAACAACATTAATAGAGAATGTGCTGCCCTCGGACTCAATTATTCAGCTTTTTTGACTTGTCTCGTTATCTTAATGTATAGGCTTACTAGATGACAAACATTTCTAATGACTGTCAACCATCTCAAAACAATTACAAAGAGTGTAATTTAAGTTTGAGTGACTGTCTGCAATCGCTTAAATCTTGTCTGCTTTTACCATGCGCATCACGTGTGTTATCTTGGTAATTACCTTTATTAAAGCGGAACAGGTTGACGAAGGAGCTGTAGGCTGATCGGAGCGGGGGCTCGTCCTGCTCTGGAGTCAGGGGTTTGAAGTGTGTCAGGTGGGATGGGCTGCCAGGGGAAATAGGAGGCTCCACACTCCAATCCAGTGTAGAGGACGAGGAGGAGGATTTGTCGTCAGCAGCCATGTCACTGCTCCTGTTGGAAAGACAAATTATCACTTTGTGAGACCGGAACATTGTGGTTACATGGTGATCCTCTGCTTAACCGTATGTAAACTCCGTTGTGTCCTCCTCCCAGAGTGCGAAGAGCCTTGGCGTGACCCTGGACAACACCCTGTCGTTCTCCGCTAACATCAAGGCGGTGACCCGCTCCTGCAGGTTCATGCTCTACAACATTCGGAGAGTACGAACCTGCCTTACACAGGAAGCGGCACAGGTCCTAATCCAGGCACTTGTCATCTCCCGTCTGGATTACTGCAACTCGCTGTTGGCTGGCCTCCCTGCCTGTGCCATTAAACCCCTACAACTCATCCAGAACGCCGCAGCCCGTCTGGTGTTCAACCTTCCCAAGTTCTCTCACGTCACCCCCCTCCTCCGCACACTCCACTGGCTTCCAGTTGAAGCTCGCATCCGTTACAAGACCATGGTGCTTGCCTATGGAGCAGTGAGGGGAACGGCACCTCTGTACCTTCGGGCTCTGATCAGTCCCTACACCCAAACGAGGGCATTGCGTTCATCCACCTCTGGCCTGCTGGCTCCCCTTCCTCTGCGGAAGCATAGTTCCCGCTCAGCCCAGTCAAAACTGTTCGCTGCTCTGGCACCCCAATGGTGGAACAAGCTCCCTCACGACGCCAGGACAGCGGAGTCACTCACCACCTTCCGGAGACATTTGAAACCCCACCTCTTTAAGGAATACCTGGGATAGGATAAAGTAATCCTTCTACCCCCCCCCCCCCCCCCCCCCCCCCCAAAAAAAAAATTGTAAAGTGGTTATCCCACTGGCTATAGGGTGAATGCACCAATTTGTGAGTCGCTCTGGATAAGAGCGTCTGCTAAATGACGTAAATGTGCCCTTGAGCAAGGCACTTAACCCTAATTGCTCCTGTAAGTCGCTCTGGATAAGAGCGTCTGCTAAATGACTAAAATGTAAATGTAAATGTAAATGTAAACAGGTAGGCCTAAACAGAGCCATCGCCTCCTTAACATTTCAATGATCATGGTAAACAAGCTACACTTTCATTGCTATTCAAACCATTACTTTGGAACATTTTACCTGTGATTTGTTCCTCTAGTCTGAAATAAGTAAGTTCAATGATTCCTCAGTAGTCTAACTGAGCTGCAAGTGAGACATTTCAGCCTCTGACCTGAGTTCTTCTACTACTCATTTCAGCCACTCACCTTTCCACAATGCCCATTTAGTCATTTCTTGAGAACCAACAACAAAATAATCTGAACTACTCTTATTTCTACTAAAACTGAAAATATTTTTGGTGGCAGGTTTTTTAAAGTACCCAAAATAATTATGTGATTATTTGACCACGGAAAGCAGCAATTCTGGTTTGATAAAATTGAGCCCATAGCTTAGGTAGGACATCATTCTAAGAAACTCAATAACTGCAGAACAGCCAAGAGCTACTGTTGGTTGCAAACCACATGTTTTACAGGCTTACCCTCAAAGGAGGCACATGATTATTCTCACGCTCAGCGTATTTATAATAGAGGAAAGAGGTTCTCAGAGGTGTAAAGAAAAACTGTCACTGTGCAACATATCAGAAAAAACAGTAAGAAAGAAAAACCTGTCCTTTTTAAAGAGAATGTTGCCAATCTTGTTTTCCTACCACTACAGAGAGAGAGCGCGAGAGAGAGAAAGAAATAGAATTAGAGAGAGCGAGAGAGAATTAGAGAGAGAATACAGTCACTGAACTAAGGAAAGTTTAATGATTGCCTAAGTTTATAAAATGTAAATAAGACAAAACATAAGCTACTGTTTGATCAAAACAATGGGACCTGTAATACATGTAATATCTGACTCTTGCTCTTTTCTTCAAACGAAGATAAACTGTTGCTCTTGACAGCAGTAGTTACCACCGGTGGAGGGATGGACCAGAGGAAAATGACAACCTCACCAGCATAATTTCCACCCTGTAATGTGCCCATAGGCCTGGTGGCAGCTGAGTTAACCATCAACAACAGCCTTGAATGCCCACGACCTCACCTTCAGCTAAGGAGGCAATTATGTGAATGTGTGTACACTACATAGTTTATAGTAATATACACTAACAGTAAGTGACAGTATGCCTAGCTGACTATTGTTAACTTGCTAACTAGCATCAAAGCAGCAGTAGCTAGCTACAGTAACACCACATATAGGGTTAGTTATAAAAAATATTTGCTAACACAGCTAGATAGCTCGCTTGCTATCACTGCCATGCAAGAAGACAAACATAAATCAACCCAACTAACCTGCAAAGCAGTATAGTCAAATAAAAATAAATGATCTGAATAGCTGTCACATACTAGCTACAGTAGCAAACTGTGTCAGCTACCGTGCCTGGCGAGTCAGTGAGCAAACGTTAGCTAGTAGCTAACGTTAGCAGGCCCACTGTATTTAGCTAAATGAAGGAAGAGTGAAGTGAACACTCATATAATTGAATTTCCACTAAATAACACAAATTACCTGTGTGTTGGTCTCCTTGGACATCCCTGTATGAATAAATTGCATTAGGTAAATTCCTGCGAAGTCGCGTAGCCGCCCTATCTTCAGATATGTATTTCAAGCACAGTCAGACTAGTCCCGAGCAAGACAGGACGAATCGTGATCACAACAGTTCGATCAACTGTTGTGATCGCATTAGTGGAAACCAAGAGTGTTCTCAGGGCAGACCTGGTTGTAGCTAGATACAGTATGTTGGAATCGCGATGGGACAATTTTTGCATTTTAACTAACCGTAACCCTTTTCCTAAACTTGATCTAATTCTGCCACGAAAATTCACTTATGCTAGTCAAAACCGGCAGACCCGCCCTGAGAACAGTCTTGATTTCCACTACAGCGTTGTGATCACAAAACAAGGCAGCGCCCATCTATTACCTATTTAATCGATTGACATGAATCGTTCCCTGCATCCACCATAGCGTGTTTTACTTAGTTTCTTGTGAACAGACACTTTCAGAGAACAACAATTGCCATGTCATTTAGCTGTAAGTGAAAACTTTAGTATACCTATAATAATAAGCCACTTAGCAGACGCCCATAAATTTTTGTGTATGGGTGGTCCCGGGGATCGAACCCACTACCCTACCGTTACAAGCGCCGTGCTCTACCAGCTGAGCTACAGAGGACCACCTGAGTTGTGTTACTTGTGGACGTTTTTGTCCCCATTTAATGTCAAATAAATATATTCTCTGTCCTTAGTGCCCCATGCACTAATATGTATCAATAAATGATTGCTTATCTCCACAATTACTTTATTCAGAGTATTGCTTGAGGTATGCCAAAGATAACCTACCTGAGCCTGGCTATTCTGCTGTTCTAGGCCAGTAGCCATGAGCGCACAGAGTCCATCCCTGCTTTACTTTGAAGCAGCCTAAGATCACCATGCACAATGCCAAGCTTCGGCTGGAGTGGTGGGAAGCTCGCCACCACTGGACTCTGGAGCAGTGGAAACGCCTTCTCTAGAGTGATGAATCACACTTCACCATTTGGCAGTCCAATGGACAAATCTGGGTTTGGCAGATGCCAGGAGAACGTTACCTGCCCGAATGCATAGTGCCAACTGTAAAGTTTGGTGGAGGAGGAATAATGGTCTGGGGCTGTTTTTCATGGTTCTTAATGCTATTGCATACAATCACATTCTACACGACGCTAGGGTTGTGGGTTCGATTCCCACGGGGGGCCGTATGAAAAATAAAAAAAAATAAAAAAATTATGCACTCACTAACTGTAAATCGCTCTGGATAAGAGCGTCTGCTAAATGACGTAAATGTAAAATGTTTCCATCCAACCTTTTTATGCAAGGAAAGTACATGTTGGATAAAAAATTTAATGGCAGGCCTGATGGAAACAGCACATTTTTCGGTAAACTTTCCAAATGTTGACAAAACAAGATATGCTAGGCAAGGTGGGATCTTTTTGTGTCGGTAAAGTAAATTATGGGAGAAATGCCGGTGGAAACCCTTTTATGCGCAAATATTGATATAAAAATAACCATCATATCGAAGTAAACTTGGAGTTAAGCGATGACGTGATCCTCCCACTACTACAACTCGTCGGGAAAGCATGCAGTTTATTAGGCTATGATGAATTTCACAGGGTGCTGAAAGTGCACGGTGATAAGGTTGATGTTCCTTTCCAATAAATATCGAGGGTCTTATTCTGGTTACATGACGATCGAGGCTTGGCTGCCGTTTGACAAGTAAGGGATAATCAACGAGGGGCTATGCTTTTAAGAATTATATGGAAAATAATGAATGATGTGGAAGGTGTGTTCCACAACGCGCTAGAGGAGTGGAACTGATCTTCCACGGAGTTGCGTTATTTTCCAGAGAACGCATAGAGCCCCGAGTTGATTATCCTTTTCATACCATGGCTATAATTTAACACATTTGCCACTAGAAATGTGTTCATTTGCTGGTAGAATAACACGTTTACTAGATAGCCACAGTAGTTGCCGTGGTAACCAAACAAACAGACTTGCTATATATGTTTAGCAAACCAAACCATCAGACCTAGCTTGCTATTATGAAAATCGAATTCAACAATACCAATACTGTTTTTTGGTTAGCTAAACATATATAGCAAGTCTGTTTGTTTTGTTACAACGGAAACTACTGTAGCTATCTAGTAAACTTGCTAGCTACTTCAGTGGATGTTGAACACATTTCTAGTGGCAAATGTGTTAAATTATAGCCATGGTATGAAAGGGATAATCAACTCGGGGCTCTATGCGTTCTCTGGAAAATAATGCATCTCTGTGGAAGGTCAGTTGCATTTCGCTAGCGCTTCGTGGAACACCTGCCAAGTCATTCATTATTTTCCATAGAACTCATAGCCTTGGACCAAGGCGTGGTTGATTATCCCTTACTCAGTGTTGCCAACTCCTCAGTAAGGAAAGTAGCTATTGGCTGTCGTAAAAGTCGCTAGAAGTCGCTCAATGACGTCATCGCCTAATTTGCATAATTTGCCATGTGCATGTAAT